ACAAAGACTCTACTAACTTCGCTAGTGCAGTCGTTGCCACCATTTCTAAACGGGGAATCGTTTGCTTTTTCACTGGTGCGACCTTTGTCTTTGAAGCCATTGGTACCATTCAATTGTACAGTTCTCATTGGCTTTTTCTTACATAGACAACAGCACCAATTGCACCTTCAGGTGCATCACTGAATCCATGAACTTGTGTAGTAACGTATTTCGGTTGGGGGTAGATAATAGCACCTCGGTACACGAACGCCACTTAGAAACCTTAACTCTGACAATAAAACGTTCCACTGTTCACGTAGAAGGCCATAATGTTCTTAGTCCCATCCCAGTCTATCCAAGCACATGATTTGAAACAGAATCCTCAGCCTTATCGTAAAAGGAGACAAGAATCCAAGGTGATCGAAGATTTTAGATGACCATTTTAACAACGATCGCTTTGTGACAGGTAATAAATTGGCGTACACTATTATTTCAGTCAAATTGAACAAAAATGTGTCCTCAGCCGTATCCCACACCATTCCTAGTACCTCGACCTGAGTGGGTTCCCTTGAGCAGTGACTCTTTTGCAACTGTTGACTTTGTAAAGGACTGATCATCTTGAGTAACACTTGATTTGTCACCAATCAACCTCAAATTCTTCTACCTTCTAACGCCTCGATAGACTTCACTGTTACTGGAATTGGAGTTCCATTTTTGCAAGTTGAATCCACCCTTGGCCATTAACTGTGAAGTTAGTGAATTTTACCACAACTCTTATCAGATGCCATAACCCTTTCTACTTTATCTACTGCCAAATGTTCTGTAATGCCATTATTATATTCCTCAAGTCTTTGTGGATCCTTTAGCAGTTTTCGATGCAATGATCTCAATCCATTATGACAGAGTTCGTAATCGACATCAATTTTTACATGATCATTTTTCCATGGCAGACCAACTTCGTAGCGTGTTCCAATCGAATATTTCGCACGAAATCTTGTTCCTCGGGTGAGTTCTCTGAGTCAAATGAGTCAATGCCAACGCTCTCAGTTTCCCAAAAACGCTTCAATGATATTGTTAACTCATCCCTTTCGGTTACGACAGGAGAATTATTAAGGCAATCGGCTGCTAAAATGAGGCTGTTCAGAGTATGTTTGTTTGATTTTTGTGATGATAATGCAGACAAAGCCATCCCAATTTGCTGCTCATCACTGTCGCACCATTTTCTCCTCGTACAATATCACCAGTGACTACGTCCCAATAATGATCAGCTCCTATCAAGATGTCGATTGAATCACAGCTACCATTGTCATCAGAAGAATCAAAGTCTGCAAGTTATAAACCATGGAGATGTGGATACTTGTCTATATTTATTCTTGTAGGAAGCGGTGCACATATTGTAGGAAATGTAATTGCTGTAATCTCTACTACCTCACCTCTACTCTTGTTTTCAATGCTAACCTTGGACACTTCGCAGCATTCTTGTTTACTCTTGCTTTGGCCAAAAGTATTTAAGTGAAGTGTCTCTTCGCCAATTGAATTGAACCTAAACCGGCCTTAAAGTGACCTTCGAATATAAGACCTTTGGCTTCCGGTGTCGTGCTGGAACCGATTTTGATCCATTTGATACGAGAGCTCTGACCGTCTGTAAAAGAACACTTCCTTGACAGTTCATGTGACAGCTGTTGTGGTTAGAGAGGTAGGTTACACCTTCTGATACTTTCCAGGAAATGTATGTACATGAATAAGTAAAAAATTCACATGAAAGCAACTTTTGATATGGCAATTTCAAACAAAAATAACACGACACAAGTCATTATTCGTCAGTTGGAAATTGGGCAGTGAATGTATTGTGCCCAAGTTATTACAACTATCTTTATTGATTAAAGCGACTTGAAGCATGAGAAAGTGTCCTAGGGCAAGTCGATAGCTAATTTAATTTGCTGTTTGCCATGTATTAGTTCTGGAAGTTCTGTTGAATACATGATAAGACAACAATTTAAATTTGCTGAGTTCTAAAAACAGAACTCAAAATATCATTATATAATGCTATTGCTGTTTAAAAATCTATACTAATTTTTGCCAAAATGCTACTAATTGATTGTAAACTATTTTGCACAACCCTCGCAGAGGAGGATCTAGGATTTTTCAAAAATCACTCATAAAATGTCGGAGGCACTACTCACCTGGGGTACGTGGCATTCTCTCTTTGGAAATTTTGAATTTTGGAGCCATGGAAATGCCATTTTCAGTGTTTCAGAGCAATACAAAATGTATTTTGCTAGCATCGTTTTTTCGTAAATACAAAACATTTTGCATACGTTTTTTTCAAAATATACTGAAGTGAGAAATACTTGAATGTTTTGCCAAATATTTAGGCTCATTATCATGACAAATATACGGCTCATTAGCTTGTCTAGAAACATAAAATTTAATTTACAATAATGCTAATCCAAAAAAGATATTGTCTTTAAAAATTTCTACCAAGTTGTCAGGCATAGACCCCCCTAGAGACCCCCATTCAAACCTCTATGTAATGAGCTAAGTTAGAAATTTGGTACTACAAGGGACAGTTCATAGATGTAGAAAAGCTCAGACTTCAAACCATTAAAGTTTTTTATAACCTTTACCCATCTCCACATACAGTGCCAGCAAATTCACCTTTTGAGAAAAAACTCAAAGATTAAGCAAAAATTATCAGAGTGAAAATTTGCAGTTGAAGACAGCTTAATGCAATTAATGTTTATTAGGCAATTCACTAGACTATTATCTTCTTTAAGTATATGCAAGGTGTGCTATATAGCAATCACCAGTAGCATTGTATTTGGCAATACAAACAGAATGTAACCAACTTGCCTTTAATCATATAATTACATGAATGTTAAAGTTGGTTCATGTGTCATGCTTACTAGTTATGATAAATATCATTTCAAATGATCAAAGCTCGTTTAAATGTAAATCAGAAATAATTTAGTTTAGAAATTACGATGACTACCTATGAAAAATTGCCTAGTGATCATAAAAAATACTTTTCTGTTTTGCCAAATTTCAAGGTTTATCTGCATACATAGGAACAGTGGCGGATCCAGAGTACGTCAAAATAAATTACTGCAGCACATTTTGGCGTATATTTACATTTCTAAACACCTTAGAGGCTAATCCATTGGTGAAATTATATTCTTAAGAAACTAAAAACCAATAGTATTTTTCTGAAAGTAATTTGAGTTTCAAATTGAGGAGCTATGATTTATTTTGACGTACACTGGATCCGCCACAGCATAGGAACACATTTTTACTTTATAGAAAATGCTTTTTATACATCAATAGCCATTTGGAATTTATGGCAAACAATCTGGTATGAGCCATAGATCAACACATCTTGACATCTCTACGTGAGGTGTTCAGTTAGAAAAGGGGACAATTTGTGACATGGGACAAAATTTCATGTGTGTGAAATACTAAGGTTTAATACCATTTCAGCCAAATTGTCAAAATAAAAAACTTCATTGATCAGAAAAGACTCAAAATCACAGGTTATAGTAAACAGCTTCTCGTGTAATCAATGTTAGTTATCTCAAATCTTAAACAATGTTTAGTGTAACAGTCCAATGATTAAATGATCAATGATCATAAACTGAAAAGCCCCAAACATTTGCTTATGATAAAGTAAATAATAGTATGGAGCCTTATGGCTACAGATTTTTTGTCCATTGAAATATATTTGCTGGAATGTAGGATTTCGCTGCCATATAACGGCCACAATTCCCCAAGCACTAAAGAAATCATAGCTAAAAGTCCTCGTTAACAACAATTTTAGAAGCATCAATCTGCTTACCATACGCCATATTGACATAAATCGCATCACATACTTGCATAAATAGACTTTGATATTTTACATTCATGCATACACTTCAGTTGTCCTTTACTTACGATTTTGGATGTAAATTTCTGCTGAGAAAACTCAAAACTAAGTTGGCTTGCTATTGAACACAATGACTGAAATGTCACTTGCGTGATCGTCTTTGCCAAGCATTTACAATTCATCCATAAACTTTTCACCCTCTTGAAAAAATTCACATTTTGGACAGCAGCATTCATGTCAATATATGAATTTGTAAACGATTTCCATAAATTACATTTGATTGTAGTTTAGTTTCTATCATGCTTTAGAAAATTACTATGAAACGATCAAACATTCAATTCAGACAGTGAGCTTGACTATGTTAGTTCAGTTGGCTATCAGTCAAAATCGGTCAAACCGATCACAGTTAGACAAAAATTTAAACGAACCAATTACAAGATAGCAATTAGACTCACTTATAGGTCCGGCCACCCCGCTTATCGGTCGAGATTATTCCAGATCGTCCACTCATCTGGCTATTGACTAATGGAATGGCTTAAATAAGCGTTCTTGAACTCCGTTATCGGTCGAACCAGTCGAGCCATCCCGCTTATCAGTGAGCCAGTTATAATTCTAGATGTTTTTAACTACTGATCTGTTTACTAATGAGGCATAAAACATAATTTTGATGATGAAATCCAAACGATTACAGGACGAAAATTTAATGATAAAAAAAAATTGGGTTCGACCTTAAATGGTCGTACGCAAGTCATCTCTTCATACGTTTCACTTACAAAATCTCCGTTTCTTTGTCGAATTTCCTTATGATTTTGTCCGTTTGGCAAAAGGAAAGGTCCTTTTGCTCAGACCCTGACGTTTGAATGACTTAAAACCATGCAATGACGCAATAAATTGAGAAAAAACTTGGTCGATATAATAGTAAATTATACTACCGCACCTCTCTTCACTCCTACATAATGGCGATCAGTCAAATTTTTTACATATTGGTGACGAGCGTGCAAAAACTCTATAAACCTTTTGCCCTCTTGTTCCGCCATCTTAGTTATTCAAGATGGCCACAGCCGGTATTCATACGTCAGCAATCTATATTTTATTATATTATACCTACAGTTTTATGCCACTGTTTTACACTGTCGCAAATCATACCATAAGCACAATACTATTTGTGATGACTATGTTTATTAAGGCATAACCATTATTTATAAGTAGATACATCATATTATATTATTTCTAAATTAACTAGCACAATATTCATTTACTAGACATAAAACTGATACGCTTCATTTCAGTGCTTTTTTTACTTTAGTGTCTTTTGTTGTGGAAGATAAGTCTAACATTTTTTAAAATGAACAAGTGGTGTTGTGCTTATAAATCTAACTTACAAAAAAATTTATCATAGGCAATAGACTAAATTAGCTATATTGGAATCACATAAGTAAGTGCAGGCGGCATAATAGCAGATTAAAACTAAGAATCAAAAACTAAGTTCTAGGAGGACGGGAACGAACATAAAAGCTAAAGTCTAGGTAGGAAGCAAAATTAAGTGACATTACATTGGTAACCACACCGTTAACACTGATATTCTTCCTCCCAGGTATTTTTATTCCTACACCAATGGCTTGAGCAACAGTATTATTACATCCTAAAACAGAGAAAACACAAATTTGCAGTTACTTTAGAAGTGAAGACTGATCTTTTAAAATTAATTTCAATTATTCTTGCAACTTATCCGCCTAAATTTGTGTTGAGTACCAATAAACTCAAAGGGGAGGCAGTATTAACAAAATATTTTTATTTTAAAACCTTTAAATGTAGATGGAGTTTGTCAAACAATCCTTTTTTAAAAGTTTTTTTACCTGGTCTGTTAACAGAAACAATACCAAAACGAGCCTGAATGAAATTTACATCTCCAACGTTGAATCCACTATCGTAACATCCCGATGAAAAATTTGGCAGCTGTGTGTGCATCCATAGTTTTGTAAAAGAAGTTAAAAAATATGATGCTGAAATGTTCAAGAGCTTTTGACCGAAAAATAAACTACGAGCAGATGGTGCTGAAACTGAAATTTGCATAAAGCCGTAGTATGTCTGCAGACAAATAGTGGAGACACTGGCACTCCAAAATTGAGAATTAAAGTTTGTTTGTTCGTCTTCTTTTGACTGCCAAATTCTCGACTCGTAATTTGTTGAGCTCTATAAAGCAAAAAATACAGCTATATTCTCACCTTTCGGGATCATGATAATATTTCTCTGAGACTTGGCGTTGCAGTAACTTTTGCTATCATAGAAAACCATTTTATGAGTATAATATTTAGGTTGAAAGACAACACGATACGTTAAAAGGCGAAATATTTATTTCTCAAAAAATTTAGAGCTACAGCTGAGAGTTAGGAACAATTTAAGTTGCTGCTTAAGTATGTAATCAAAAAAACAACGACAGCTAGAAAAAAATGTTTCAACATAATGAATTTAGTCGTGCTTAAAAGAGGATTATACTTGAAGTAAAAAACATAATCTATAAAAGTGTATCATGACTTACTGATGAGGAGCTTCCACTTATGTTTCCAAGAAATGTCCATCCGATACCAGTACATCCAAGGTTTATGCTACCACCTATATGACATTCCGTTTCATCATAACCCAAATCGTTTCGTGATTTGAGATAGTATTTTTTTTCATCGCTAGTAAAGTAATTTTAAAAAGTAATTCTTCAAATGAACAAAACTAAGTAAAAAAGATAATAAATACTATGTGCAAATGACCATATAAAATAGAAATGCAGTGCGTTGATGTAAACGTAATTTTTCAGCAACAAAAATTAAACTAGATGATATATACATAAATTTTCTATTTTCAAATATTTTTACCTTGAACAAGATTTCTCATGGGCTTCGACACAATCGTCAAATAAAGTTGGTCCTTAAGGCAAAAGAGTTGTATAGTTTCAAAAATTAATGCACATATAGCAACAAACTCTGATTCTTGTCTTAATTAAAAATCAGCATTGATTATTCTCGTGGTTTGCCATATTAGTAAAATAATAGACGTTTATCAAAGCTTTCATGTGTTGTATGAAAAAATACTATAAATATTTAAATAAAAAATAAAAGCTAAATACTGACATAAAAGCACATTACAATTTTGGACTTATTTTCTGCATTTTTGTCCAGTTAAACACACACAATCTCGTTACTATTAATCACACTCACAGTCGCTAAGTATGACTATTATTACCAATGTGTATTTATACTGTTTTTAAAAAATTTAATTGAAATATACAACTATAACTCTATAATTAATACTATATACTAAACACTACAAATTTCACGAATTACTCAGATGTTTCAACCTTAAAACTGAGGAACTAAATGGTACTATCAGTTGATAAAATACGTAATTTTAAAGAACAAAAAAATGGACGTATTTTAAGCTTGTACTACTGAATGATGTATGAAACTGTAGAAATTCAATCAGAAATTAAATGTGGACGTATTTCATTTTAGCACACCAAAACACATAAAACCAAGAGCATAGTATATAAGATTTGAAAATTGAATAAATCTACAATGATTTCAGAAAAGCAAGAGCAGTAAACATGTTTAAATTGTATTGGGGGCTGATTACATAAGCCCGGGTAGCCGGGATTCAGCCAAGCGTTAAATAATTTAGGCAAATGGAAGCGATTCAAAACTCCTCATCAGATAAATTTCAAAGAAATAAATTTCAAAGGATTTGTTTTTAAAATAATAACTAAATTGAATTATTTAAAAAATGACCACAGCTTTAAGTAACATACACACACTTAAATTATTATTACACATTAATTAAAAGTTTAATATAAACAAATACAAAAGTACGACCCTTACCATTTGCACCAATTGTGGTTGTTGTGGTAGGTGTGGCTGTAGAACAAAGAGTACAGATATATTGTCTCTCAATTGTCATTATATTTCAAGTTCTGCATTTACTTTAAACAGAACTGCTATGTACTTTGTATAAAAAATTGAAACATCCCTTTTGTTTTTAACAAGCAAAATTTTATGGATTTAAAATCATGATAAAAGATTCACAAATAAGAAACTCGTACTATAATAGATGATTGCATGAGGGTAAAGTATGGGTAAGAGATAAAATTAAAAGACGTATGCTCTTCATTTGAAACACGACTTGTAAAGAGTAACAAATAAACTTTTAAATTTTTATATATACTTACGGTAGGAAATCGTCGGAGTTGGGTAAATGGTTGCTGTAGTATCTAAAAATTGAAATTTTATGGAGAATCGATTAAAAGTAAAAGGAACATGCGACATCTCTATACAACATCTAATACGATTTTTGATAAAAATTACTTTTTTGATTTAAAAGTTAATGAATTTGATAACTATAGGGAATTCTTAAGATCTGTGTTCAAGAATGCTACATGGTTACAATGTTACAATGCTCGTAGCAATTGCTAAAACGAAAAGAGACAAAACAAAGTTCATTAAATCTTTTAATTCTTTAAAAAACAATGTTTTACGTACAAGTCAAAGCTTTTCTTTTCAAAAACCGTTTTTTTATTGACATTTACGCCAATTTTTAATGGTTGTTTAGGGATAGTTTGTCTGGTTAACAACGATTAAAATTTATTAAAACTTTTATTCATACATCAAAACAATGCCATTGTAGTCCTTTTTTTGCATAGAAAACACGAGAAATACATCTTAAATATCAAGTAATTTTGTATTTAAGCCAGTAAAACTCGTCATTATATAAAATTACTTACTGATAAGACGAGGTTCAGCATATGTGGGATGGATATCACATGAACCATTAAGAAAAACAAAATCATCTAGAGCAATATCACCCGTATAGCTGGAGCCACGGACACCTTCAACGATGATCTGCAAAAAAAAATTTTCAAGCAAGGTTTTAGCAAGATTTTAGTAAGATAATATGCTGTTCGGTGATTCAGATAGACATTGTTTACTTTATTACATATTCAAACTTTTACAAAGTAGTATGCAAAGTGTACTCAAAAACGATTATGCACTTTAGTAATTTAATGTTAGATATATGCATTTTTTTCACTTTTCATTGCCAAATGAGCAGTTTTAATTTATAAGTGCGCTGAGTCTTAGAGTCATAGGTGAATAAAAACATGCAACATTAAGTTTAGTTGCTAGTATAGATTGTTTGATCTTTTAATAGAAAGTGGGTAGAAATGATATGATGAAAAGTAAGAACGATGTTTTTGAAACCGCGAAGGGCAGCCAAAAAGTTGATTTGCAATGTAATGATTGAGAACAAACGAAATTTTGGTCTGAAGACACGTGGCTTACAGGGATATAAGTTGTAACATTTGTAACATGGATATAAGTTTTAAGACATTAATACTCCTTTATAATTCTACATCAGCATCCAAAATTTAAAAGACGTTACACGATAAAAAAATTTAAAAGGGATAGAAAAATGATTTTCTGGGGAAACGCTACTGCCAAACATTTAACTGGTTGAAGAGTTAAGGAAGAGGATAAAATTATTTATGAACTGTGAGAACAAACAATTGAAAATTTTTCTTGGAACTGTTTATCTTCTCATCTCCCGTTCAACCCTTTCAGAAATCTAAATAGCTTTCAATGTTAAAACTAAGCGTTTTTGTACTCTGTTATGACGAGTTTGAGAACATTGATATTTATAATCACCCTCGTTTTTGCTTCGGTAAAGTTGGTTGTAACTTGAGCTCTGGACCATTGATTTCCTCTATTGCCACTTAACGTCCATAACAGCTTTAATCTACCTCCCATATATTGTTGGTATATATTAAGAGAACCAATTGTTGATCCATACATATGATACCAAAATGTAAAACATCTGGTTGTTGTATTAAAATAGTTGCTAACCAACCAAGCTTTATCACCCAACATACGGGGACTTGATGTTTCAATGTAAATGTATTTTCCTAAAAGACAAATTTAAGCAAGTCAAGAAACTTTGTTTTGTTTTTTTTAACAACACTCTCGTTTTTTGAAACTACCATTTTTTTCAAATTATGTTTTAGTCATAAACCTGCATAAGGATTTGTATGCATTTCATTTACTGGAATTGATCTCAATTGTTTTTGGGTAAAGTAACCATTACAAATAACATGACGTATGTGCAAATTCCTTAATCTGAGAAGAAAGTCCCGAATCAAGACCCCCCTAAAATGGCAGTGTCGACATAGTTCTAATGTCAAAAATGACAAAATATGGTTGAAAACGTGTTTCGAAGGAAGCTAGGGGTAAATAAAGTCCATTGTATGTCAACAAAACAATGTCAATCATTCTTAAATAGTGCATGATTAGAGTTAATTAAGTGTCCTTTTTTCTTTCACGTGATTTTTACTTTGAAAATAAAAAATTCAATCTCTTTGTATTCATTATCATAAATGTCGATTTATGCAAAATTGACATTTGACCAGAGTGGTGATTTTCTCAAATATATATCTATCCTAGGCAAATATTGCTTTTTTTGCACTTTGATAAATTTAGGTATTAAGGGATGCAAAGACTGTTTGTAAAATGCCAATGACAATCAGTTGATTTCTACTAGAGACGTAAAAAGTATGTAGGATAGTAATGAAGTGAGCATTTCATCAATTTTTTTGTACTTTTGGAAAGTGTAAATAAAACGACATGGGCTTGACTGCATTATATAAAAAAAATTAATCAAATTTTTCTTTAATTATATTGTTAGGAAGACTATACCATGTGAAATATCTATGTACTAGAGAGATTTTTGCATAAGTTCAGTATTTGGTTTACCAACCAAGAACCTTGCTATCATTACTTCTAGGTAAATATGTTTCAGTAGATAAATTATTTCTGAGCATATTTGTGATATATCCTCTGGGCATATCTATAATACATCATGAAAGATATTCATTGCCTTAATTGTTGCGTTTGTTAAGATTTGTTTGATGAGCTACAAACTGATGCTTTAAACAAATTCATTGCTTGTACCTCATAATTTGATCAAGGATAATTACGGGAGAAACTCATTTTTGCATTTTAAAATGCTTTTCAATGCTTGCAAGATTACTCACCGAACCATACATTTAATGATATAAATAGCAAACAAAAGAGTCGTACATATTAAAAGACACGTCTTGTGCCTCAAACTGTATAGATAATCTCACCAGATTAACGGATTTCGTAATCTTTCTGCAATGAATATCATTATTATTGTTCCATTTTCAATTTTTCATTCAAATTTATGCAAACAAATTTTTTTACCTGCATAATGATGTAATTTCTAATAACAATATGGGTCTTTTGTGAAATGCTTATGTTTCCTTTTAAAAGCTGACAGGAAACAATCCGTTTTATTGGTATTCCGTGTACTTTATTTGCATGTGAGTAGTTATAATAACCAAACAGGAATAAAATTTTTTGTTTTTCTCTACATATGATTGCGATGTTCAACAATTGAAACAGTTGGGCAAACTCTTGGACTGTCATCTTTTCGAGGTGTATTGCAACACTTTCTTTCAAATTACATGGCACTGATCTTAATGGGGAAGCGACTTGTCTAGCACCTAAATCAACATAAAGTTTAAATTCGTGGTCTTTGAACTTACTAATTCTCGCGAAATTTCGTAGATATCTCTGTAAGATGTCTTGGAGCGAATTCTTGCTGGTACACCAGATATGTTTTAGTTGGTTAACTTTTCAGTGCGCTGTACTTTCTCTTTATTTTTCTGTTTCAACTAGTTTTTAAAATATCTGGTACTCAATTTGAATCTAAGTTGAACGGCTTGTGATACTTTAATTTTTTATTCCTATTATTTGAACTTTCGGGCTACCTAATAGCTTGATTTTTGTCAAAATTGAATTTTGAACTGTTATGTCCATCTGATTGCAGAATATTATAAAATACTCATTGAGATTTTGTGCAAAAAATTAAAACAGATGGTCTTTACAAGTAGGATTTCGTTTGACACGTCGCCGTATCCTTTTTAACATCACCATTGTCCGCAACGTCTTAGTTCACTAACATTCGTATATTTATGAGAATAAACCAAGGTGCTCTTCTGGCGTTCTTTGTCGCTTATGTCGTCGTATTGCTGCTAATTTCTTTAATCAATGCATATGCGCGTGTCCAAAAAAGTTTTCATTGGATTAATAAATGTGTAACATATCAGATTTAAAAGCTTTGAATAAATTTGTAAAAAGAGGGTAAGGTACGGCTGGATGTAGAAACGAAGTAAAATATAATGTTGATGTGCTTAGTTCGTACTTTCCATACTGATCGATATTTCAGCATGGATACTCTGTACTTGATATATCTTCTAATGCGCGTTTCTTAAATTATTTTTCGTTGATCTTCGTCGTGAAGTGTAAGTGGTTTTTATTTTGTACATAATTAAACAAATTCATTTTCAACCATGCGTACCCTTTTTTTTACTGTCTCTTAGCTACCTCTTAATATTTTGTCTTGTTCAACATTAACATAATATATACATTGTTAAAACAAGAAATGCTTTTACAATAGGCTACATTAATTGAAATATTACATAAAAAACGTTTTAGCAAAGTAACAAAAAATCGGCAATGTATACTGTCGATCGTAAAATTATTTGTTATGAACAGCAAACTTGATGCTTCATGCATCAAATAACAACACTGCTTGTCAGCTAGCAGTACACAAATGTGAAAAAAATGCTTGACTTTTTCCGCCACTATTATTTACTAACATATGAGAAGGTTTACCAATCTTCTCAATGGCTTGTTGTTGTAATCTTTTACACTGTATAAGACTACTAATGTTTTCTGTACAAATAGATGTCTTTTGCCTTAAATGCATCATGCACCGTTATGTGATAATGTAGAATTTGTGTTTGTCTAAAAGGTAATCTTCTTGTCTTAAAGTACAGTAGACCTTAAATTCTCATCTTATTTATTGGAGTGTAGCTCAACTTGACTTAATTACTTGTTCTAATTACTTGTTTTAAAGCGGTGTTTGTTAGGAAAGTTTTATAATGTACGGTTGCTCAGTCGTGGTTCCATGATCATTCTTAACTTATGAAAAAGTGTATGTAGATGTAGCTGTGTTAGGGAAAATAATAGGAATAATTGCTTAATGTTTGCTTCTTTTTATGTACTCTAATTAATGTCGTAATTGCCCACTTTGAAGTAATATCACTAATTTAGGCTAAAATACTTCCCCAGCTGCACTCAATCTCCTCAATAATAACATTATTAATACTATTTTAAAACATTTGCGAAAATTGAATAAAATTTTGGAAAGCTATGTCAACTGAAATGGCATTTAACATGCAATTACAACTACGTTTTTTGTAGAATTCACAAAAATTTAGTTGCTTTCGTCATTTTAGACTCTTTTATTTAATTTCAATGTTTTATTTAAGGATAAGTTTTAAAACATGTATTTTAATTAAAGACTTACCGGTAGTCAATCCTCTTCTGTCTGAGCTAGGCCCAGTATTCGAACTTGATGTTGAGCCGGAATGGATGGTCCAATCAAAGTTGTCAAGTGGATAATTAACATTCTTCCATGTGCATCTGGAATTGTTAATGCCATCTTCAAAGGAACAACTACCTACTCAAATGAAAATTTTTTTTCATACTCCTCTTTTAGAATTTGTCAATTTAATGAATTGTATGTTTCAAAATCCGTCATTAAAATTATTACAAGAAGAACAGTTTATGAACATATCAAAAATATGTTCAAACTTGAATATTTAATAAATGGGCTCCAAGTTGAAAAAATACGATTTTTGATTAACATACTTTCCAAATTTTATCAAAAGATTTATATTTTGACACGAATGAATGCGCGTTTTACGGACTTTTCTATTGCTGCTATTTAACAAACACGTTTGCATAAAAAAAGGAACACTTTTTATTAATGCTCATACGAACATCATTTTATTTTTATTTTTACCAAAGAAACTTCAGGCTATTTTTTATTAAAAACACAAATCTTAAAAAATTCAAAAGTAAAATTCTTACCAGTTCCCCCAATCGTACTATTTGAATCAGGTGTAACTGGAAAACAAACGATAAATCGTTAGAGGAAACTCTTTACAAGTCAATTAATTCTGTTTTTAATTAGGAAGTTAATGTGAGCAAAGTGTGTATAAAGTCAATGGTTTAAACCAAGAAACATCGTTATATGTTTGTAGAAATAGATCATTTAGGTCAGTAGAGTCCAGAGAAGGACTGTTGGTGTTGATGCTGACTAACGTTTCGACAATCTTAGCAGTGTTTATATTCTGATTTAAGCAAGGAGTAAACATTAGGTTTGCCCCATCACAAAAAATGCGGATCATTTAAAGATGTCATTAATGTTTTGAAAGCTTGCTGCACTGTTTTATGATTTCAACTTGTTTCTTCCTTTCTCCGTTCACGACGGTCAATTTTTTTTCATTAAATAAAATCCCAATTTTAATTATCCTTATCATTAATATACAGCAGTTACAAACGACACCGGCACTGTAATACCTAAACGCTAGATCGGCTTGTGCATATTAAGATAACTTCCTGTGAAGTTATAACTAATAGTTAACAAATAGTATAATCAAATTAATGCTAACTTTTGTTAAAAATGTATATAACTAGTTTATACTATAAACAATAGCGTTGGCGAATGGTAAAAAATGATGCAATTATATAAGTATTCATAAAAAATTATGTCGTACTAGTATTTTAAAAGCATAATTTAACATGTGTATACTTACAAGTACGTCTGCCCGATCGTCCAGATCTAAAATCAGCATACAGGCTACTTAAATATCGGACAAGAACAGAAGCAATATGTTGTATTGTCGTCGTATTTGAAGCTAAATTTTGCTGTCCGGAAACCGTAATAAGATCGAGTAAGGTTGTTTTCTTCACAAGCTCAATCTGATAAGGAAGTATTCGAAAATATCCAACCATATCGATATCAGAAAATTCTCCATTGTTCGTTAAAATACCCGAAAGATTCGAAGAATATCGTTCTGATAAGTTTGGAAACACAACTCCAATTGCTCTTGAGTAGTACATGGTTAGATTAGTGTTCTGACCTACAAGAGAAACTCTTGCTAATTATATTACCTCATTTATTGAACTTACATTTCAAATTAATTACTACTTGAATAACTAACATTATATTATTTAAATTTCTTCTTACTATTTAAACTTAGTGGCAAACCAGGCCTGTTTGTTACTAGTACAATGAGCGTAAATTTGTGTTAACTGACTTAGAGAAAAACGAAATCAAAACAGAAAGAAAATTTTTGGCTGAAATTCAACAGCTTGTGTAGAAGCTCTGTCTATCTTTCCTCAAACTTTGAAATATTAGCAAAATGTAAGATATTAGCAAAATCTTTGACACTAAAGCAATTTGTAGAATACTTTTCTGTATATCAGTGATATCACTTGAAGTGTTGCTGATAATTATGCAATAATCTACTCTGTGCTTAAATCTTTCTACTGAAATTTACATTACATTAATAAAGAATTTGGAGCTGTTAATATTCCTTCCATCGCATTAGCGATAAGTTCAGTTGTTGTCTACATTAAAATCCAACATATTTCGTTACTGCTGATTGTAGAGAAAAAAACTGATCTTTTTTGAACCAAATTTATGAAAGAAATAAAGTTTGTTTTTACCTCTTTGAATTGTTTCAATAAATGGCTCCAAGAATTTTCTTACATCCATAAACACGCTGTAATATCTAGCTTGCACACAAGAGCGTCCCCAAGAGACTATCCCTAATTGTATCCAAGTATTATTGCGTTTACATTGATAGGGTCCCCCACTATCACCATTACAAGCACTGACTCCACCTGATCTACGACCACCACAGACTGACCTCGGTGAGACTCTCCCGTTAAAAAAGCTAAAACTATTGCATTCTTGAAGACTAATAACATCAAGTTTCACCTGTTGTAAGTATGGAGAAGTGGAGCCAGATGCAGTACGTCCCCAGCCAATCACAAAACATGTATCATTTCCATTAAAAATATCATCTCGACTAGGAAGACAAACAGGCTGGACACGTTCGGTAAAGTTCAAAGGTGTCGGAAGTTTCATCAAAGCAACGTCATAGTCCGCAAAATATACAGGTCCGTTTACGTAATATTTAGGATGAATATACATGGCCACTGACGTCAAAGAGTATTCATAAACACTGGTTGTATCTGTTCTATGATCAGCAACATTTATTGTAATTCCGGTGAAAAAAGTTGCAGGTATTGTTGACTGTACAAGACAATGAGCTGCTGTCAAAATCCAATATTTGTCAATAATTGATCCTGCACAATGAATAGAGCCTCTTCGAGTCAAACTAACTATCCATGGCCAAGAGTTTGGTGTAGCCTCTGTTCCTCCTACAATGAGAGACTGTGGAGACTGAGATCCAGGGAGTACCTTGCGCTTGCCACAGGAGCTCATTTGAGAAGAAATACCTGTCAAATTTTCATCAGATTTCTATTAAAGTTAGTTAACAAACATTTTACTCTGTCAATAAATTTGTAATAAAACTTAGTCGGTAATAAAAAAACTAGGATGCTTTGTCATTTTATTGATTTGGTTTACTTATCTTGAATTATAATGTTAAATATCATGTGAGAAAAGTGGGTCAGTGCAATTTTAAGGACGCCATGCCGTCAGTTGTTTTACATCCAAGTAAATATTTTATACTTTGACAAAAAAGTCATACATAGTATTTTTCAAAATAAATAACTGTTAATCTTTAGGGAAAACTAGCTTATTGTTGTTCACGTGGATCTATACCAATATTAACTGCATTGTGCAACTAATGATATTAATATCATATTATACAAGACAAGGCATTAATTAATCGACCAATTAAGATAAATCTTCTTAAAATTAAAGCCAAAAATTACTGATGAGTATTTAAAATAAGTGTTTCAGCAACAATTGTTTGGTAGAAAAAATCGAAAGGTGTTCAAAGCTAACAATGAGCATTTTAAAGTCAAATGTCAGTATTTCATTGGGTTTGAGTGGTAAAACATTTTGTTTTTATGTTACATTTCTGTTAACTGCTACATGACGTGATTTTTCTCAAGTTTTGTTAAAAAAAGTGGCTCGTTACAGTAAATTAGTCATAAATAAAGTGGTATTTGGAAAAGCTTTTTATCAGAAGCAATTTAAACCTTGAAATCGAATTACTTGAGAGGTAAAATTTTATTAATGTAAACTTTCTTCTAGGTTGCATCATAGCCTACATTTATAATAGTGTCGGTATCAAAAGTTTATTTGCAAATTGGCTAAGAAGTTGAAAAAGGAAAAAATAAAATTGTGAATGATTTATGTTATAGTCTTCTTTATGGAATAAGTGCTAATATGTCTTCCAAGCAATTACGCAACACTTTTCGTCTCTCAAATCTTATCTAAAGCATAAACATCTGTTCAAAGTATATTGGCATTGTTCATAAGTCACTTATCCAGGAAAGTTCAGATCTAGAATAACTAAAAAGAAACTGACATCCCAAGGATAGAAATATTAAAGTATAGAGACTAAGGGCATATTGATAATAGGACAAATATTCAAATTTATAGCAGCTGACAATCTAAAGGGTTATGGCTAGAGGTAAGGTTTGGAGTTATCTTTAAAACAAAGCAAGCCCGTTTTTTACTCTTAAAACAAGAATGTTTTTTGTGCTCAATCTCTGTAAGGAAAAACAGTTAAAGTACAAATGGCTTGAAGCCGAGAGTATCGTTGCTAGTTTTCAAATGTAGATCGTCCTTGTGTAGGTTAGTATAGAGTTATAAGAAGGACTGTAAGTGTTGATGTTGATTGACATTTCCACAACCTTAGCGGTAATTATCTTCAAAGTCAATTTGATTTCTCAGAAATCTATACTAAACTAGATGTTCTAAATTTAAAAAAAATTAAGAAAAACAGTTAATGGAATAGTTTTCTCTAAAGCTATGAATAATAATTTTGAGAAAATTTGAATTTTAGGTTTAGAAGATCGGGAAAGCTTTGCCACTGGACATAGGTAAGAGTTAGTGTTATAATTTCTGTAAGCAGCAACTGTTTTCTAAAATAGTTTGCAAATTGCACTTGTCAATAAGTGGTTATACTTTCTCATGTACTTAATCATCTCTCGCATCTTATGTAGTTATTAATTGTGTTGATGCTACAAAGTCTGTCACAAGTGGAGTTTGTTCACGTAAATGTTTTGGTTATATGTGTTATTTTAAAATGGGATTTATTTGAAAAATAGTGGTTTTCAAATGTTGGCGTGAATCTTATAAATAAAATTGTCCTTATTGGTTCAGAATGACAAGAGAACTGTCTTTACTGTACATTTTTTAAGAACTTAGTCACAACGGCAACAGTAACTTAAGACAATCAAGATCCTTCAAAAAACTACCTTGTTTGACACATTCTCCAAGAACAACTGAAATATCATCTAAGGCAACATAACCTGGGTATGAATCGACGAGTACTTTTAAGACTATCTATAAAACAAGAAAATTTTTTATTAAAACACCCTAGAATGCGAATAAAGACGACGAGTTTTTTGAGAATCAACATGTTTCGACATCGCATGATGCCATCTTCAGTATAAATGAATAATTACATAAATAATACAAGGTTTATATAAAAGTAATATGTACAGTGACATAAATATATAAATATGGATAAATTTTAACAATGATAAGGAAATGACATAAATTATTAGAAGCATGTTACAAACCAAATATTGTGTTAAATCAAAAAACTTGAACATCAAGGTTAGGTTTAATTAGTTTTAGTTGTTAGTAAGGAGTGCTTCTTTTATTTTAAGGGAGAACGAGGTGTCTGCAGTGTCGATTATTTTGAAGCAAGTGGGTGAATAGTTGGTTTTACATGAATGAGATTTAAGAAGATGCCGGTAAATATGAAAGTTTTTGTCTGTTGTGGTATGTTTCCTGATTCTGGTGGATAAATGGCTCGAAGTTTCGCCGGTGTATCGAAAATTACATCCCGCGCAATTGAATTCACATACCACCATGGATTTAAGTGAATCAGGGATTGGGACTTTGAATGTTTAGAAAAACAACACAAAAAATGAGAACCAGAACAATTACGTTTACTACGACCCATAGTTTCATCAATTAATGCATACAATTATAATCTAGCTAAGTATTATAGTTCTATACTAACACCAATTATACCAGAGGACCAGTTCTTAAAAAAGATTCTTTTACTTTCTTCGACGACCTCTAATCTTTCAACTCATCAAACTTCTTGTTAAAAATTCTTCATCTCCAACGAGGTTGAAATCCTATTTACTAACATACCACTTACTAAGACTATCAACCTAGCAACTGACGCAATATTCACTCACAACCCCAGGCTAAGTATAAGCAAGACAGACCTCACACAACTGTTTTTAATAACAACAGCACAGACGCATTTTTTATTTTATTGAAAATTTTCTGAGCAGGCCATAAAGTTTTATAATTACATTAACATACAGCACGCAAACATTAAATTTTCATTTGAAACTTAGCAACAAGATCAACTGCTATTTCTTGACATTTTACAAACAAAAGCCCATGACAACTGTAGTACTTTACATATAACAAACCAACATACACAGGACTTCTGACGAACTATTTTGATTTCACGTCACTTTCATAAAAAACTGCACTTCTACGCATACTTATCGACAGAGCATACAAACCTAACATAAAAATATTTGCTTTCAACGAGACATAAACAAAAATTCCAAAATAACAAATCTATAATTTAAACTACCATACATGGTAAATTACCCACGACACACACAGCGCACACTTACGAACATTATGAAACGCTTTTGTACCGATATTGGCATTCGACTAATTTTCACATCATTCAGAATCAAAAACCTTTTCTCATTCAAAGACTCAATCCCTGACTCCATTAAATACATGGTGGTATATGAATTCAATTGTACGGGATGTGATTCCCGATATATTGGCGAAACGTTGGGCCATTTATTCACCAGAATCAAGGAACATACCACAATAGAAAAAACTCTCATATCTACCGACACTTTCTTAAATATCACTCATGTAAAACCAACTATTCACCCTCTTGCTTTAAAAACATCGACGCTGCAGACACTACATTCTCCCTTAAAGTCAAAGAAGCACTGCACAATACTAAAACTGCCCTGACCTCAATTTTCAAGTTTTTTAATTTAACACAATATTTGTTTGTAACACGCTACCCATTAATTTATCTAAAATTTCCTTATTATTGTTATGATTTATCTATATTTATAAATTTATTTCATAAATCACATTACTTTTATATAAACTTTGTAGTATTTATGTAATTGTTCATTTATACTAAAGATGGCATCATGAGATGTCGAAACATGTCTCTTCTCATAAAACTCGTCGTCTATATTGAATGCATATTAGCAATAATGCTTCAATTATGGAAACCTCTTGTTTTAATATTCTTTTCACCGAAAAAGAAATATGCGAGCGTATAACAAAAAATATAGCTAGTTGAAAATCCGTTTATCTACTTGCACGAAAAAGTTTTCGAATCACAAACAGTAAATAGCAATCAAACAAGTAACACTTTTGTTGCACCTGATGCCAAGCAGTATCAGTCATTTTTGTTTTTTGTTTATAGCTAAGAATCAGGAAAAAATTTATTGTAACTATTATCATGTATTTACAAACTTATAGCTTGTATAGTTTTTTTTTCTATTTTGGCAAAGCAATTTTTTGCCATCTGCTAAAAATGATTTATGTACATTAGCTATAATGATCCAAAGGTATCATTACGTATTTAAATGATTACAGTATGTTAACTTTTAAGGATTAAGGATCTAACAAATAATTTGGTAATGGAACTTTTATCAGTACGTAAGAAATTTGAATTTTTTTATGACTAATGCATTTGATCCATTTTCTATTGCACTACTTACTGTATAATTTCCATGAGTAAGATTAACAGTTGACTGAGCTTTGTTCCAGAACAAATCATGCTTTAGCGTATCATTCCACATGAGCATGACTCTTTCATTTGAGATCAAATAAACGCCAATAGTATTTGTAGCACTCGTATTGCCAGAGCTTTGATACCAAAAACTTAAACAAGACTTTGTTACATTTGCAGTCAAATTGAAAGTGATACTTCCTGATTGAATTCTTTCGTTATAGTTCGTTTGTAGCAAAATATAGTAACCTTAAAAGTGGAGAAATTATATAATTAACATTAAAGGTGAAACAACGTTGAAGAATGTCAAAATTAGCAGTTACCTAATGACACAAAAATTCCCACGACAAAATTTAGAGCACGTATAAAACAGACGAGTCAAGGTTAATAAAAAAGGCTATTTAAATAAATAAGAAGAAACGCCTATGAGTTTGTCATTAGGAAACATGAATCCTTTAAAAAACTAAAACCCAATATAAAGCTATGTTTAACTGTGTGCGAGAGAAATTTCTCTTGCAACTTGCATAATTTTTAGTATGTACGTGATTCAGTAAAACCATGGGAAGAACGTCAAATCACCTATTTCACGTCCTCAAATCAACATAAACGCCGTTCTAAACTTAACCGGAAATATAAGCACGCTACGTCACGCAATTTTCTCGTTATCATCGACGTCGCGTTATGTTTACTAGAACTGTCTAATTTTAGATTATGGAACCAAAAAAGGGCTTCTTAGATTGGAGACTTGGGTCACCACGTTAAAAATTTTTGTACTTTCATCCGAAAATTCGTAAAGTACAAACAATTTTAACAACTGCTTTTTGAATTAATACAAAATATAAACATCCATAGTTCGAAATTACATTTTACTGGGAATAACAAGTTACGGGTTCTGTACGCTATGACAAAGTTTTGTGCCTTTAAGTGATATTTGTATTTCTCTATCATGTTCCGTTTCTTGACGACGCTTGCAACTTGTGTTTGCAACTCGTAGTGTAAGCAATGGAGAAAAGTTCATTTTAAAGTTCAAACAAAATTTTGAAAATCAATTTAAACAGTAGATAGTAATCAATACGAAGATTGCATTTTCTTAATACTTAGTCGTTTCTCGTACTATTAATGTTTTAACAGCATAAATGTTCTAAATTAATCACATGTATGTAGCCAACGGAGTGGCAAAAACTTAACACCAACAAGACGCTTTTTTGAGCGTTATTTGCCGGGCCGTAGCTTAGAAAAAATCAATGTATCATATACTTATTAACATTTGGACATAACGTCAGATTTAGACAAATTAAAATACAGATTTATAAAGAAAAATATTTTTATAATGAAAATGCAAGCTGTACAGGTAGCCGGAAAGCCCCACAAAGGGCACTTGTGGATAACTATTGATATCCGTAGAACAATTAGGGGCAAAACAATTTCACGCAGCGTGATTAAAATCGATCTCTATGTCTTTATTGCTCTTATTTTGACATTCAGTTTGTGCAGGTGTTGTAGATATAACAACGTTTAGCTTTTGTGGCATGATTTCCTTTTTCTTTGTACAAGTTAAACAAATTATCCATTTTACATCTCTTTCCCATCGCCAATGTTATGGATTTTTTGTTAAGTTTACATAAATTTTCAATTTTTGAACATCAACAAAGATTCGACATCGAACAAAAATGCTCGTCAAAACCGATACTCGCCTGGCCTCCGGCCAGTGGCTAGTTGTACGTTAAGAAAGAACTGACCTCATAAAATCATGTGCTTTTACGCTTAAGTATTTAGCCTACTGGATGATCCGCTATTGATAAAGTTTTTGTTAAAAAAAGGTTATTTATAATTACCTTAATATAAAAGTTGTCAAGGTATTCTAATCAGAATGATAGAGTTAGTCATTAATTTTAGTTTTAAACTTATTAGGTCCTGCTCAATAAGTGTACTGAAGTTTCTTTTATTGTTATTATTTCTTGATACAAATCTAGTAGTGTTGGTTATAACTTACAACCTTTTAATAACATTTCAAAAAAAAAGAATTTTTTTTTTGGGGGGGGGGCTGACTGAAGCCTTCATTCTCTTATGATCTGCAGCGCTTAAGTGCAATAACATAACAGTACGTGTCATAGTTTAGATTATAAAATACATGACTTTAATGAGTGAACCTAAACATCCTACCAAGAGCGTATTAACAAACTAACTAACATCAACATTGTATAAATTAGAATGCGATAGAATTTAAGTTCTCAGAGCACAATTATAGAAGAAAGTTAAAATCTTTATAATTTCCACAAAATAACTATCACCGCTATTTAAAAATTTTATTCCAAGAGTTTTTTGATGAAGCGTAACGCAACTCCTTGGTCATTATACATTATAAATTTGGCAGTTGTCAGATTTCATGCTTACACTTGTCTATAATTGCAAAATCCTTGTTACGGGAAATCGCATTTAAATAGAAAAACTTTCATTCTTTCCAATATTTACCACTTTTTTGCAAGTTAATTTGCAGAACCTTACTTTTTATTTTACTTACTGCTTATAAAAAACTGACACAATGGCATGTAGGACTAATTATTGCGAACTTTCAATTAATATAAACTAGCTTTATTGCAAATTTATATGTAAACGTATAAAATTAAACAAATGCAATATAACAGTGTTTCGACTTTATTCCAAAGCCATCATCAGAGTATATACATAAGCGGCAGACTAATATCCTGAAGGTGCGAGTTCAAATCTCGTCCAAGTCACATCTTTTTCATGTGCATATTAAAAACCGTGTTAGGATTAATATATTATGCAATGAAACAGTTCGAAATAAAAAAAGAGTTTATTCTAGGCTATGGTAGAAATGATTTTTTTTCTTAACAGTTCCAGGACTATTTAAACATGTCATGTTTTTTTGTGGTCTCTATAATTTTTTTCGCAAAGGGAAAACAAAATATTCAAACTCTAGATACAACTTTACTCTACATACCTGTTGAAGTGCCAGTTGTATGATCGAAGGTGGGACGATTAATTCCAGATGCTCCATTAGTTCTTACCCAATTATCTGTCTTTGTCTGGTTGCAAAAACCATTATCAAAAATGCAATCAATAGACGATCCTAAAAAAAGTATTGAATTGTCACAAATTGTCGAACGAAATGGAGGTATTATTTGGCACAAGTGGTAAATTTTATTTACCAATTCAACATTAAAATTATATAACAAGAGTTATCCACTTACTTATTAAAGGAATATTACGAAAAGTCAGCAAAAATCCAGTACGAGTAATAATGAAGTCAGATGTAAAACTTATGACAACATTCCCATCGTTAAATTTCTGTGGCCGACCGTTGATTGGCGAGTGACCGCAAATGACGTTTGATGTGGCACCATTTGACAATGACAATTTATCCCATACACATGTGGAATGTACTAATTAAATGCATCGAAGTGTTTAAGTTCAAAAAATAAGCTAAAATATAACTGATGAGGATTTTTTGTCTGTTTTAATTTTCATTCTATTACATCTTTTATACACATATTTTTTGATTTTCTTTGAAGTTGCTAGAGCTGTTTTTTTCTCTATCTCATATCATTAATGATAATGATCAAAGTTAAAATACGCAAGTGGAGTCTCTTACTTTAAACCTTTTTAATCGATCAGGACATATCTGTCCATCAACAAAGAAACGTAAAATCAATTACGCTGTATTTGAATAGTAACTAAAAAATTTCTTTGTGTTTTTGTACACCGTTTCCTGATTTAGGGATACTAATTTACAATTGTAGACGTAAGGAGAAAGAAATGAGCCCAAACTGTAACAATCCTCAAATGATGTGTGGGCACTGTGTTAAACTTGAATTAAAAACATGATTTGTTAGTTTATTCTTCACATAAAATAATCAACAATTATTTTAGAAAAAAGTTTACAAGATGACAAATTTTTGTCGCACCTACAACATTGGTGTGCAATCTTTTGCAAACTAATGTCCGAAAGTTCTTGTGCAAAACGTTTTCAGGATTCTAACATTTTAAGGTAGCATAAACAAAAACCTATGTATAGCTATCGAAGACATTTATTTAATTATTTGGTAGATAATATTTTACATGGAAATAATGCATAGAAAATTAACTTACATTCGATATCATAATAATTGATCACGATTTCCAGTGCTTTTTCAAAAGGAACAACAATTGTGACACTACATCTTAGATTGTTACTGTAGGCATTAGGAAATCCAGGTGAGTAAATTCGACCAGCTGAAGTGTATATGATATTATTTGAGCAAACACTTGTTGCAGAAGGTAAATCCGTTCCTAGATAATTTAGAACAAATAATGGTTTTATAAAAACGAAAAGGTGGTGCATGTAAGTATATAGCGAAGTGGGCACGAAGCTATTTTTCAGAACAGTTAATTTTAAAAATGATTTTTTCGAATATGTAATACGAATGACAATATTCTTTAAAAAATTATCGACCAAATTTTGCAAATATTACAATGGCAAATTTTTTGCAAAAAAGAAGTGATAGAAAGATTCTTCTATAAGGTTTTTATTTGTTTAGTTCTTTTAGTTTTTATTTAATTTTCCAGATAATCAATTATTCCTTGTATTTGCAAGTAGTAACAAAACCAACTCACATAAGATTTTAACCACTGTCAGTGTCAATTTTGTCAGAGATAAAAGCAATTTTGTCATAGAGAGCTTATGAAAGTGTGTTTTTTAATAATAAGCCAATTATTTATGGAAAGTCTCGTCAAAAATTTACATTTGATTGATTTAGACAAAGGTAAACCGTAGATATATGAATAAGCGATAGTAATGAGTGAAGTATTTACTTTCCCAAATAATTCATAATAAATAATCGAAAATAATGCTGAATATAAATTATGCATAGATAAAAAAAAATGCAGGGATTTTTGTCAACAGAGCTACAGAGATTTGAAGTGATGGCATATTCCGTTTCATTTGCGTTGCAATTAAACTGGAACAACGTGAAAACCCTTAAATATATTATAGATTAAAAAAATGATTCTTTAAAGTTAAGATAGATCATGTAGCTGCGTTTGCTGGGTGCTGTAACACATTTTAGTCACACTAACTAATTTTGTATTCTTATTTGTCTTTTAACAACTTTATGGCAAAACTCTACATTTGCTTATGCAAACAATTTTGTATCATTATTTTTGTTTTTGTATGGTGTGTATTGGCATATAAAGCACCGTTGCATACTTACGATAGAAAGTTGTAAATGTAAGATTAAATCCTTCCATAGGTGCCGTTCCATTTGATCTGAATGTCAATGTTACAACATTGGTATATGGTGTAAATGTTAAAGACGTCTCGTTGCCACAGAATTGTTTTGATGTTCCACCAGATATAGTAATGGAATCCAAACATATTATTTGGTTACCTGTTAAATTCATTTATCTTGTTATATCAATTAAAGTTTAATTTTGCTTATTTTGATACCAAAAGGACCATACATAAATGGTAGATTGAATTTCCAGTAAAGTCTGACAATGTACTAATGCAAATATTAATATAAAAAGTGAATGAGTTTTTGGCTACTTTGAAAACTTTTAGTCAATTATTTAAAGGTTCTATTTAATCAGCAGTTTGTTCATACTTCATCTGTGAACAATAGTCAAACATACTTACCATTTTTTATATGTTTTAAATTTATATACGAAACATTGAACTTCACTGCGAAGTTTAAGGGTTGCCTGATTGTTAAGATACAGGTCCTGCTACCAAAGCCATTCGGATAGTTAGGGGATACAATAGATCCTGTCGTTGAGTTGATTGTTGAAAAAGAACAGATGTTGATGCCCCGCTCTTAAGAGAAATTTATTTCTAAGAAACAGTTTTTAAAGATTAAATGTTTATTAAAAATAATAATTATTACATTTTTCTATGATAAAATTATTTTCGAGTGAGCTATACATAAAAAATACTTTAAAGACCAGCAAAAGCAAATTTATAACTTCCTGCAAATACTCAAATACTCAAATATTGTTATATTTGAGTATTTGAGTATTTGCAGATTTTACCTACATAATTATGTGAATATCATATCCAATGTTCATTACCTGATAAATTGTTATTATAAAACCATTGAAAAATCTAGAATAAAAATTAAAAAGTAATAACTTACGATAAAAGCTCGAAGGTGTAGAAGAATTCACTGCAATTGTTGACGAATACCCTATAAATTCAGAAAAAAAATTTTAAAAATTGTCAGTCGTTAATTTGCTAATTTTATATATTTATTCATTTGCATTTAAATTACTTCAATATCGTAAGACCTGCGTGTTTTGGACATGTAAAGAAAGTAGCTATAACTAATGAGAATTCCAAAATATGTGCACAGTCCTCACCGTAGGAAATTGTAGGAGTTGGATAAATCGTTGATGAAATGACAGTAACACCTAAAATACAAAAATTTTCAAAACTAGCACAGTTAGTTTTTGTTATGACATAATTGCACTGCTGTAGAGTACACAATGTTTATGAATGCTTTAATGGAAATTTATTGTCTACTTAGCTACAAACAGATAAAAAAATAAAAAGTAAGAAAAGAGAGTCGTAAGCATCAACATAATGAATTAGGAGGACTAATTTAGGAAATTAAATTTTTCTATTTGCATCACGTTAAAAAATTTTTAAAGTCATGATTGCAAATGATGGCAAAGGAGCGAGTGGAAACCTAGCAGCGGAGGGAATTTTACGATATCTGACTGCACTCCAGAATCCAATAGGTAAATACTTTAGCAAAGAGTTTCTTTCTTTTGTTTTTTCTTTGCTTTAAAAAGGAAATTATTCTTGCAAAAGTCTTAAATTTGTCAAGCATGGGAGGCCTTATGTGTGTTTAGATGATAACATGCAACTATATTTTAAAGGAAGACAGGAAGCGTACAAGGTTATTTTACCTTATTGGGAGGATAAAGTAATGATTCCACGTAAAAAGAGAAGTCCGGAAATAGAAGAGTTGCATAAAACTCACAATAGAATGTGCAACAGAAAAAGATTTAGCAATAATCTATGTATGTGTGGTGGCCACAAATAGATAAGGTATCGAAAAGTAAAGTATGTAAATATAACTGTTACATAAACAAAAAAACTCCTCTTGTGGATATGGCCCAGCAGACCTTTCAAAAGGATTCACATTACATAGGCTGGTCCATTTTCGGGGAAAATTTTCCTATTTATTGTAGATGCTTATTCAAAGTTGCTTCCAACAAACAAGGCATTGTCGAGAGCGGAGACTGAGAAACAACGCTTCACTTTTGCCACCGATGAATTTCAACAGCAGAAATATTCAAAAGCAGAAAACCACAATCTCGTTTAGACTTGTTACATCCAGATACGAATGAAAGAGTGCAGAGAAAACAGAAAGAAGTTCAAGCCCAACATGCAGTGTATCGGCGTTTACGACCCTATAATCCAATAGTCCAAAAACAAATTGGTAAACTACAGAAGAAGAGCCTGGTGTCATCAGACACAGACTGGACCAGTGCAATATACTATGCAAGTAGATGACTGCAAAATTAGTTGTCGTTAAGACAAAGTCATTCACATACAAACACAACAAGGAAATGAGCTCATTGACCAAAAGATTATAACTAATAACCTGATACTGATCAGAGAGTAATGGGTGCTGAAAAAGCTGAATCCACAACTAAATATCTAATAAGAGTTAAGGTACGTTTACACACAACAATTTGTTGGGCGGACACTGACGTCATATTAGTTGTTCTTGCTATATTTGGAAAATTGCATGCAATAGCTTCAGGCATTTGCGATTCAAAAATCGTACGAAAATCTGTGGCAAGTTAAAGATTTTTTTCCCGATGTTAAGTAAGGTGTTATGGCTACTGAAACAAGCATATTATGATTATTTAAAGATAATTTTAACAACGTTTTCTGTCAGTTCGGGAAACGAAGGTATCAAAATACAAGAGTGTTGTTGCATCTCATGTGTAATCGCACTTTTAGACATGCACTAGACATTTATTCATAAAGCTTTTCAGACTAGAGAACGAACTGCTACTTAATTTTTAAGTTAGGTAATTGACATCCGTTTACTTTTAAAAGGTTGTTTTGATCCCGAAAAGAATAAGTTTTTATCTGGTAGCTTTACTTCCAGAAAGAAAAAAAAATGTACATATATATATATACGGAGATTTGATGCAGCGAAAATTATATTAGGCGTATTATTTATAGCTCTATGCAACGTCAAAAACAACTTGACCCGTTACATACCATCTTAGTAAGCTTTTACCTAAAATCAATTGCGTTACTCAAAAATATATTCATTTCGCAATTTTAAATAGCCAATATGAGGAGTGTGAATAAAATTGAATAAAATTTAACTTAAAGAAGCAACGAGACTCGCTTGCAAGCTAATTTCTAAAAAAGGCTTTGCGTCTTTTTACATTACTAAAAAAACCAGACTGGATAACTTTTGCAGTTTAAGATTCAACTCTTTAGGCCAATTTTTCAGATTCACTTGCAATTAATTCACTACTGATATCAAAATTGAAAATATGTAGGACATGGATAAACAGTACAAGATGCACTACAAACATTTAATTTTATAATATTGTATCATTTTTTATAAAGCAATATTTATTTCAGATGCTGATTATATTTAATATAGATGCCAACTTATTTTATTTTTGCAATGCAATGATGACATCAATACATAAATTGTTCCTGATTCAATTCGTTTTTATAGTTGGAACGGAAAATGAAATGTCTGTTTATGTCATGTCTCACAAAGACAATTCTTTGCATTACTAGAATATTTTACTTGATTGAACAAGGAAATTACCTCTACAGAAATAATCATTTAAAGATAACTTTAGTCTATTATTTGAATTTACTAAAGTAAAGAAAAAATATCAAAGTTTGTGACATAAATTTTTGTTCTGCTTAGACTCGCTAAATTTCCATGTCTATGAAAGACTCGCTATCTGGACACATATAATTTCTTACAACTTCTTAAAAGTGAAATATAAAAGACCCGCTTACCACATGAGACCAAGAAAATAACAAAAAAAATCCATTTTGTGAATGGTTCCAGCGGCATTCTACAAACGCATAAAAAATTTCGATTATAATCAATAAGAGACGTGATGTTCCTTGCTCAAGGATTAACAATGTTTCAATCCATAAAGCTTTTAATGATGAATTGAAATAGAAGCCGTTTCTAGTATAGTTGTAAACTTTACCTGAAAAATAGTATCTGATCTTCTTGTGCTGTTATAACTAAAAGTAAAAAAGCAAAGTTTGGTTAGAATTGAATAAAAGCATCAGAGCCTAATGCTATTGAGTGAAAATATACAAGCAATCAATCATTTCGTGTCAACTACGAGTTGTTATAAATCATTAAGAATCTTTGTAACAGCTAAAATATAGTACTTTAATATAAAATTGAAATAAATATCTGAAGCAGCTTCACAAGAAAAGACAAGAAATTCATGTTAACGTATTATTTAAATCATGTAAAAGTATTAATGTCAATATAAATGTATTTTTTAAACTTCACTCAATAAACGAAAGATAACTAAACGTCAATTATACATGTGCATCTTGCGAATGAAGTATACCTTAAAAATTAATTGTAAAAGTGAATTATTAATTTTCAAAAATAAAGACTTACCAATTGAGATGCTTTTGGGAAATTTTAACAGTAAAGATCGGACGCTTACTTGCGAACATTTGAGCTGCTCCTGTGCTATGATAGTTATGTTATTTTATGTGCTTCTAAATCTCCTTTCTGAAGTGTGTGGGTGAATAATTGACATTAACCAAGCGTATCAGTATTCTATTAACAGGAACTAGATTTTATAATATACGCAAGCAAAGTATCTAAACTATGTGTTTTTTTCGCAATATATATACGTAAATAGATCATAATATAAGTACGGTATTTAAATTAATAAAGGATTTTTGTTAAAAAGACGATGACGATGGCTGAGGCGTGTATATATATATGTATATATACAAAGAGAATATGTTTCATGTTTTTGAATAATTGAATAGAATGAATCAAAACGAGATCAAAACAGCCCACATATATTTAAAAATCAATTTTTACAACTTTGCGTAACTTTGAAGGAATAGCATGCTTAAAGAATTCCAAAGTTGCTAAACACAGCTACTAGAAATATGCGTATCAAAAATTGCGTGGCGCCGCAATGCTATAGTTAAAATTCTCTAAACAAACAAATATATATGCAAATTATCCCACTCAATCTTCAATGTTGAAGATTTTAAATTTAAAAAGTCTTCTTGCTTGAAAAATCATATAGGATCTATTGCATGTGCATTTGGAAGAACAGCAATCAAATTTAATTGCTAACTTATGACTAGTCATTAACGTAGTTTGTTGGCTACATCTGCCTTTATTGAAACATGCTCCTTAATGTCAAGATTATGAATAAATTATCTCCAGCAGATCTTTACAACGCTTTCATTCGTGTCAATTGCACGTTCTAGGTCGTGTTGTTGTTCTTCGCGTATTATGAAACCACTTGGCAATGTTCATGCTCAAAAGACGTCTCTTTGTTATATCTCAGTTTACTGTTCTTCGGTAATGCTCATATTCCTTTTATCACGGGCAGAATATTTTTCTTTAAACACTGTTTCGGATTTAAAGATTTTATGACTTCATGATTAATATAATTGTACGAATTCCAAAAGTGTGCCAAACATAAACACAACGCGGCCATAGCGTCAAATATTTTCTATATTTGTGGACCAAAATTCACTCGTTAAATTCGCTTTTGAGGATATGTCGTTCTTCTCATTAGGAGACAGATGGATTTTTGATGATGGATGACAGACATCAGGCAGATGAAAATTGAGAAGAAGCGCAGCTTTAGATGAGTGTAGAAACATTTTGAAAAGACTAATCTTAATTATATTTTCCGAATTCCAATCATGAAAGAGACATTTATAAAACAATCTCAAAAAGAAACAAAGTAAAAAATTCGTTGCATAACCACTTAAAGTTATAAATAAGTGACCATGTATGACATTTCATGGATGTGAAATAACTTTTCACACAACTTCAGTCAGTTCTAGCCCTTTACTCCGGACGAACAGATTCCTGGTGGACAAATATTCGTTCAGGGATTTCCCCAGAGGAACACTGGAAAAAACTTTTTCAGAATGGACAAGGGCTTATTTTTTAAAGTACTGAGTGATGTTGAAGCTCGTTTAAAACCTTGCAGGACTTCTCCAAACTATCGAGGGTTGGATGCAGAAAAAACTGGCTATCATGTCGTACTACCTAGAGGATACTGGGTCATAAAGCATGACTTCGAACAGTTTTGGCGTTGCAACAAATGCAGCATCTCTAGTCATATATCAGGTCTGTCACGTTATTTGTAGTATCCTAGGGCCCAAGTATATTTTTTTACCAAAAAACAATCTGAAATGATGGAATCAGAAATGATGGAAAAGTCTGAAATGATGGAAAAGTTTGGTGAATTTAAGGCTGCGTTTACACGGTACCGGATAAGTTTTAATCCGGATTAAATTGTGACGGATAGGCCCCGCGTTTACACGGATCCGCTCTGTCCGTGCAAGTTTTGTGTCGACTAAGCGGTACAATTTTGTACCTGAAAAATCGAGGTACAATTCTGTGCCGGTACTGTTCCATTCTATATCAGTTACCGTGTAAACGGTTTAACCAGGTAAGTTTTTAACCGTTTTCACTGGTATTCGACAAAACAGTGAGTCAGTGCTCAATCAATATTTTTTTAATACGGCATTTTCCAACATGAGACAGATTGTTATGAGCATTTTTGCATTTATTTTTGGTGCTGTGGCGACGTTGAACGTTGTTTATGAGCTGGCGTTGGTAAATTTGGTAAATTATCGAAGGCAACGACAAAGGTAAACGCTTGATGACAAACGGAAATATGTCGTTCTTTGCATCTAAAATGCAGCATAAGTTTTGGATTTACGGCAGAAAATAAATAACGCAGTATTGTAATCCACACATATTATGACAAAACTTACTGGCTTATTCACTCAAAAATTTGCTTCATTTATTTTCAAAATGACGCTCAATTCTCTTTTTAAGGTATGCTACATTGCTGACACAGTCGTCCATCGTTAGAGGGAAGAAAATAAAAAGTAAAAGAAAGGCAAAAGGAAGTTGGGTGAGGCCTGGGAGAACATCTCTGTGGTGGGGAAATTTCTTATCCGGTGCTGTAGTAGGTCATGAATGGAGAGAGAACTTTAGGATGTCACAAGACAATTTCATGAAACTGTGCAACAAAATCAGAATCCCACTTCAAAAGAAAGTCACGAATATGCGTGTTCCTACATCTGTTGAGAAGCAAGTTGCTATGACTTTATAGTATCTCGCTGACGAAGGAAGATTACGAAAAGTTGCAAATGCATTTGGCGTTTCCAGATCAACTGTATCGTTGGCTATTAGAAGAGTATGTTTTGTAATTTCCACCGTATTAAGTCCTGAGTACATCAGATTACCTCAAACAGAACATGATGTATTTGAAGCTGTCTCAAATTTTTATGAAAAACATGGCTTTCCACAATGTATTGGTGCTGTAGATGGCACTCATATCTTCATTAAACAAACAGCCAACAATGCAAGTGATTTTATCAATAGGAAGCATAGATATTCACTGAATGTGCAAGATATTGCAGACTACAAGTATTGTTTTCTAGATGTTGTGGTCAAATGGCTGGGGAGTGTGTATGATTCAAGGATATTTTGTAACTCAAAAGTAAATGAGATGTTAAAAGAAGGTTCAATTCCCAGTTTGCCAAGAGTCTTATTGCCAGGCACTGAACCTGTTGGAATTTGCATTCTTGGAGATCCAGCATATCCTTTACTCCCTTATTTGATGAAGGAATTTCCTGGTGGGGGCAAGACTGCACAGGAACAATTTTTTGGATGGCGACTTTGTTCAGCCAGAATGATTATTGAATGTGCCTTTTGACGCCTGAAGAGTAGATTTCGGTGTCTGAAGCGTGAAATGGACATAAACCTTGCTGATTTGCCAAATGTTATTTACAGCTGTTTTGTATTGCACAATTATTGTGAAATGAATGGTGAGATAATAGCTAATGAAAGAGGGGATAATGCAATAACTTATGACAGAGAAGTTCAACCTGCATCTTCAAGTGTACGGAATCAAGGATGTGAGGCTTCAGCAAAGGCAGTAAGAGACATTTTTGTGCAGTATTTTGATTAGAGATTATATCTACAAACACCTTATTGAACAGACTTTACTGATAATAATATACTTGTACAAATATGATTTAATTGTTCTTGTACATACAATAATCCATTAGTTGCATTTCAAGTAATAAAATTATTGGAATAAAACATGACAAAAAAAGGCAATTTAAAACTGTTTAAAATTATATAAGTACTTTGTCTAAAAAGTATATTCATGACAATAGTTTTTGTGCGATATTTAAGCAATGTATTACATTAGATTAAACAATGGCAACCAAACACTAACAAATGTATGTTGAAGTATACCTATTAAAAGAATAGAAATCCTGGTTCTATGACTTTGAAAACGGTATAAAATAATCATTGGCATTACCATGGCTAGACTCGACATTGTTATTAGTTGACATAGTCGCTTGTTGGTATCTCCATGGTTGTTGAAAATTTGGAAAGTTAAATTGATTTGGTTGCTGTTGAAGTGATGCAAGCAATGCAAACCCATGACTTAGTGTATCATTAAGTGATGAAATTCCTTTGGCAAAAGCAATCATGTTTTCTTGGTGCTTCTGTTCAGCTTTTTCCATTTGTTCCACAATCCTGTTCTTAAGACTTAAATCTTCCTTCGCCATGGCTATCATCTGTTTCTCAGCAGGTATTTTCTTATTTAACTTTGAATTTTTCTTTTGTTGTACTTTTGAGATGAGATTCCTTCTAGCTTCACTTAACCTACTTATTGCATCAGTATTTAAAATCTCTTGTTGAGCAGAATTGTCGAGTGTTTCACTGCTTACATCAGAAAGCTGAACACACGATTTATTTGATACTCCAGAAAGAGAGTCTTCGGAATCACTGACACTTTCGGATGTGCTTAGTATGCTTTCTCGAGCATTCGATATTGCTTCTACTGCTGGGCTCCCACACCAAATACTAGCACATTCATCGTATAAAACAGCTACAACTCTACCGCCTCCACTGCGTCTTCCAGAATCAACTGCTTTTCGAAAACAAAGTTTAATTCTTTTGGTTTTAGCTATTATTCGACGTTTGGTAAAAACGCTTGATATCGTATCATTCACATGTGGAAATCCTGAATTTTCTATGGGATAACGCTCGAGGTATCTTTCGCGAATTTCATCGTATTTCGATTTAACAGACTCCCAGTCTACACCTTCATTTTCTTTATCCACCTTATACGCAGCAATCACATCACGAAGAAGAGCCATCTCCTCGTCCGACCAAGTAAAATTCTTTTCTTCTGACTTGGACGATTTTTTCCTTTTAGCAACGGTAGCCATTTTTCTTTCATGCTCTCATTGCACATGCGCGGTACTCGAAACTTTTATTTCTCTCATAAATGTACCAGTTCCGTGTAAACAGAACGAATCCGTCACAAATTTAATCCGGATTAAAACGTATCCGGTACCGTGTAAACGCAGCCTAAGGCAAAGTTTGGAATGCCTCAAGCATTCGGCTATATAGATGGGCCTCGCGTGAAAATAAAAAGACCAATTGAGAATTCACAGGATTATTTTTGCTTTAAACAGTATTTCTCATTAAACGAGTAAGCAGTTCGTGATGCTAGAGGGTGCTTTCTTCATGTAGAGTGCATGTGAACTGGAAGCGTGCGCCGCGCAAAGGTTTTTTCAAATTTCAAGATCCAACAAAAGCTGCGGGATGCTGAATTGTTAATCTCATGGCAAACATCTTGTGGAAGCACCAAGGTGCCTACTTACCTTATTGGTGATCCAGCTTACTCTTTAATGACGTATTGTATTAAGGAATATGAATCGTGTGAATGCGATGAACTAGTGATTTATTTCAAGGGCTGCTAGGAATCAAATACAATGTACCTTTGGACGTTTAAACGCAAGATTGACTTTCTTAACAAAAATGGTTGATTTGAAACTTGAGGCTGTACCTACAGTGATTTATACATGCTTCATTCTGCACAACATATGTGAGCAAAGCAAGGTAACTATTAAAGAACACAAACTCAAAGAGCAAATTGATTCATTTAAACAAAATGAAGAACAATTCCAAAGCAATCCTGACCCTATATATTCATTTAATGAAGGAGAAGGAGAAATTGTTAGAAAAAGCATTGTAAAAATGATAAAAGAATATCTTATTATAGACCTTTTTCAAATATTCACCACTAGAGAAGATAAACTGGTATTTAAATATATAAAATACTTCTAATTTACCAATAAATCCAATACAAAAAATATCAAACACACAGAGGGAAAACAACTAGCTAAGCTCTTCACTAGATTTCATAACTGAAATAAATTAACAACAATATCAAACAACAGAGGTTGCAACAATAACAAATTTCTTTAACTATTATTTTACTCCACATGTTCAATACATGTGCATTATTTGAAAAATTATTTTCCACTCATGTTTGTTGCATCAGAATATGTGATGTCATTTGTCATGTGTGAGAAGGTCACGTGAGGGAGATTAGGATTACTTTGAAATTGGGGGCCTTGGTGAAAGTATTGAGGGGGAATGAATGGTGGTTGCTGCTGTTGTTTGTGGAGTAGAGCATTTGTCAACATTTGAGTTGACTGGGAAATTTCTGTCCCAATACCTGTCATTGCCGAACTAAGCTCTTTAAAGGCCGAACTCATTGAGCTCTATAAAACCTGGAGGGGCAAAGGGGCCTGGACCCCGTGGTCAAAAACATGGCGGTAATGGCGGATTTTGGTGGTCAAAACTTCCACTTTAAAATTTTTTTTCAATATTCACTCCCTCCTGATTTCTAATACTGTTTGTATGAACAAAAACAAGCGAGAAAAAAAACAATTACGATACCGACGGCATATCATGTGAAAATAATGCTTCAGCATTGCGTGAAAAACACAGTACAGACACACATCAAAATAAAGAAGATCGATTGTAGAGAAACGCATATTTTGGATGTAACATTTAAGTTATTTTATGACATTTTAGCCTTTTAAAAGTGAAAATCAAACGGCATTCTTTACTAGACCTATCAATCTCGTCAAACTTATACATTATTTCATGCTTTTGTGTGTTTGACTGTTTGTAAACAGTTTGGTGCAACTATTTTTCTTGCTTCAAATGGATAAATCTGTGTAAAAATGCTCCTAAGGAAGCGAGAAAATGTTTGCTTCAGTCCTACGACATAAGTCAACTGAAAGTTTACCATGGATAAGTATCATAAGTGTATTGTCATTACCTGATAAATCTACTGAAAACTCATAAAGAAAGTATGTTGAACTAGAAGAGCTACAAAAAAGAAAAAAATTCAAAACACCATGATACTGTTGCTTGGAAATTTGTATTTTGTAAACAGCTTGGCAGAATCTTGGATCTATTACTGAACAGAACTACATTAATTTTCCATTGAAATTACAAACTTGGAAACTAAAGTGCATTGGTTTCTCTGAAAAAAACACTGTCTATTGCTGCATGAAGGCAAAATAGTTATTTGACAATGTAGGTGAAGAAATTTATCAAGTTCTATAGATATTATTGTGCATTACAGTTTTTTGGAATTGTGTAATATATGTCATGAGCAAGATATAATTTTTCAAAAATGCTAACCCCTTTGAGCACTACTACTCTTCTGTTTTGCTTAAACAACTTACAGCTACCAATACTGAATATTTAATTGTACAAACTAACATTTGGGAATTAAATGATAAACAACTTGTTAAATCTTTGTATTTTACATCAAGCCTTTGAATTAGTTCCTTTTATCTCTTGGTAAAAAAATATTAATGAAAGACTTACAAATCAAGTTTCTCGAAAATAGTATTTTGTACAAAGAAACTAAATAATTGGAAAGGTCACATGTTGAAGACAGACTTTGCTTCTTTGACTATGTTGCTTGACCATGAGCAAATTTAAATTTGTTTACAATTTGTTTAAAGAATTCTTTTTATTGATTTCTACTAATTCTTCATAAGACACAAAGAATTTCTTTGCCATCTATTTTTGCTTCTTCTACATTCAACTTTATTGTAACCAATGCATCCGATGTGAATTTGTGGATCATCTGGAATCATACCAAGTATGGATTTAATGAGATGAGCCAATAATATGTTTAATTTTTCATGCATATTAATGATATAATCATAAGCTACGGTTGAACAAAAATTTCAAGGTAGAAACAAATCTTAGCACATTGTTCAACACACCACTTTCATCTTGGTTTTGAAGTATTAACCTGTTTACTATAACAATAAATACTTCATTTACAGAAACCCTAAGTAGTACTTTAAAATTGTTTGCATAAATCCAACTTTCCAATCTCATTATAATTGTCTACACCATACAGTCAGTCAAATTGAGCAGGCAAACAGTTTAATAGTTATTTTTATTATACAACATATACCATAGTTCTCATTAATTTTGCATGGCACTGCATTCAATTTCAACACAACTCTGTTGTAAACTTTCCCTTCATCTTTTCAAAAAAAAACATGAACAAATTATGCCCCATTTTTGGGAGGTAAACTCAATTCAAATTAGGAGAGTTTAGCTTGATGCCTTGATCATGATTCAAGATGGATGCAAAAGTCGATAAAAATTGACAGCTTCGCCACGTCTGGCGAGCGATTAAGTGAAGAACAAACAAGACTGGACCAAAATAACTTTAAATTAAAACTTAGTAGTAGAAACACTCTTCAAGTATAGTGTTAAAAACAAAATAGTAAAACTAATATTGTTGTACTTACCGGAGTCAAGAAATGTTCCCTTTTCTGTCGCTATTTTAGCATCCGCAAACCACAAAAGTTGGCAGTTTAATAAATAAAGTTTTAAAAAAGTGTTTATGTTAGGAAAATAAATAGTTTTGATATTTTCTATACTCGCAATCGTGGTGGTCAAATCAGGGTGGGCGACAAAAATTTTATTTCATGAGCCCGCGTCTCTCCGCTAACTTTGACCACCAAAATCCGCCATGTTTTTGACCACGCGGCTGCGCGCTAATAATTTATACTAATTTTGTTGACGTTTCCCCTCCAGTTATTATAGAACTCAATGGCCGAACTCCACTTCGACCGTATCGTAGCGTAACGTAGTAAAACGTAACGACGAGAATGCGCAGTGTCACTATAACTGAGGACGATTGATATTGAACGTGTCCAAAGCTTTAATACGCGTATAAAAACCAGAGTTCGTCGACTGTCAACATTTTTGAAACGAATTCGTAGTGCGTTTGATTTAAACCAATGAAATAACAAGTTTTCTACTCAAAGTGGCTTGTTTTTTTTTCAAAATAGAGTCGTTTGAGGAATGGCAAGACAATTTAAAAGAATTTTCCAGAGAAAAAGGAAACTCAGAGTCATCTATGGCAGAATCTTTCAATAGAAGTAACAGCGAATCTACCGATCGCGCTACAAATGTACAAGAACCTCAATTTTTGATTAACTTAATCGAAGAAGTTTCGAAAATAACCTTGCATCTGGAACGTTTCGTCAAAGTTGCATAAAGACAAACCAAGGAAATTAGAAGCATGGCGACGAATTTCTGCTGCTTTCTATGTACCTGGTGTGTTATTTTAGCAATATATTTTTGCTTAAAATTTTGGAACCTAAAAGAATAAGATACCTGGTTTTCATAATCCTTAAATTCATAAGGTTACAATATCCTTAAATTCATAAAACATGTAAAACTCTGCAATAAAATACAGTAGCCATTTATGTAATCACTACAGTTCTTGGTCCAGCTTTTGCAATTGAAGTGTGTCCTACATTTACTATTGAGTGTGAAAATTGTATTGCTATTAACTGCCACTTGTTGGGTATAAATTTTTGTCTATTTAAATGTGTTTGATTGGAAATATCTAGTTATGAGAGTTTTGCTTTATTTTATTCAATACTTCAGTTTACAAAACTTATACAACAGAGCCGTTATGAGTAAAAACAAGCAAGCAGTACATATTACACTTTTTATTTATTAAAACATTATATTATTCAAATGTGACACTCACCCATGCAATCACAGCGACATGACACTGATCATCAAAATGCAAGTTAATTAAGAAATGATAGTATTAAATGAGCTATAAATGGAAGTTGATATTCCTAGATAAGAATAAATATGTCCATTTTGCAACATTCCAGATTAAATTTAGAGTAGCTCACCATATGTCGCGTTGCTGACATCTCTTAAACCGTTATCTGATTGTGTCACTTTTCTCTATTCTCCAAGCTCTCTTCCGTTTTCTGTGTCGTTGTCCACGAAACCAGCTGGACAGTATTTTGTGCTGTGCGAAAAAGACCTTCCAGCCATTAAATATTTGTGCAGAGCGATTACTGCTTTTGTAACTTGAATAACCATTTCAACTCTGGCGTGAATTGGTCGACGAAATACCTGAAATCGCGCTGCTACAATTCCAAACGCATTTTCAACTACCCTCCTCGCACGAAACAACCGATAATTGAATACCCGCTCAGATATTCCCAGATTTTCTCTAGGGTACGGTTTCATGATATTTTGCTGTAACCGAAACGCCTCATCTGCTACTATGACAAATGGATAGCATTTCTGAGTGGAAGGGAATGCCTCGGGCCTAGGGATGTCTAAGCTGTTTTTCTTAATTGATTCACCCATTGTACTGTAAGAAAATACACCACCGTCACCATTCCGTCCTGAGTCACCAATACCAACCAATGTGAACTGTTAGTTTGCATTGCAAATAGCCATTAAGACAATAGAATGTGTTTTCTTATAATTAAAGAACATCGACCCAGAGTTAGCTGGTGCCTGCATCACGACGTGTTTTCCATCAAGCGCACCAATACAGTGTGGAAAATTCCATTTGATTTCAAAGCCTTTTGCTATACACTTCCATTCTGCCTGATTGCTTGGACATTTCATGAATACCAATGACAGTACTTTCCACAGAGTCTCATATGTTGAAAAGATGATTCGTCCAACAGTGGTTGGGCTCATTCCAAAGTTCATCACTATGGTTGTTTGAGGATCTCCTGTAGTTAGATACCCGCACAGTAAAAAGAAATGGGCCATTTAGCCCCCAAAATGGGGCCAAAATATTGACCCCAGAACGGCCCCATAATTTAGAGCCAATTTTGGCCCTTTAGAGAGGGGCCAAATTTTCCCCCATTTTTTTGCCAATTTTACCACAAAACGTAGCTGAAACAGCCCCAGGTAAGAGGACCAATTTAATCCCATAGCGAGCTATTTTGCCCTTTTTGTGTGAAACTCAGCTCTAAGCAGAATAGCCAATTTAGCCCCATTATCTCATCAAATCGGCAATGTCTAAAAAGCAGCCCCTTGCCCTGGAAAGAAAAGAAATTACTGAAAGCTTACAATAAACATATTCGTATAATATACGTAAGCACATAAGTGCTTAACATCTTCATTACAATACTTTACATGCACGTATTTTCATCTCACTCAAATTAAACTTCACAAAAAAAGAATTGAAATAAAACATAATCTATATAGCCATGCGCATTTATCATTAGTTGAACACATTTGATAACACTCCAACTAAACTTTTCACAGAAGATGGACACTTCTCTGGGATAATTCCAAAAATGCCATGTCAAGAAAGCTATAGACATTCTTGCCCTCACTGTATTTTATATTTTACATATAGTATATGGCCAACAAAGCAACAAGAGCATCGCCAATCTTTTTGGTTGTTACATTGCACAAAACTATTCCTTCTGCCACCACATATATAATGTCACATTGATAAAGGTCATCCACTACCAAAATACAAGGTTGAATTTGCGTTCTTATCCTTTCATCAAGGAAAGCGCCATTCTACGATAAAAAGACAGCAGAAAATTTAGAAAATTAGCTTGAGACTGCACAATAAAGTCTTAAGTGTCTACTTTCATTAGGGTTCACAAGTTCCTTGTTGTTAAGTGAGAAACAAAAATGAAGTAGTATGGTAATACTCATTTTATAGTAAAGATATAATGCCAGTTTTACCTTAACAACTTTGATAACAGCTTCTTTAACATGAGGCGTCCTCCTACTGTTTGGCTCCTTGAAGACAATTTTAGCGATTTTTATAGCTGCTCTACCAGGACATTCGCCTTAAAAATAGCACACACTGCTACACAAACGTTGATCGAGAAACAACTGCTGATCCTTCTTAGTTTTATTTTCTTCAAGAGAATTTCTGATGTGTATAAAGTTGATTATCAGCTGAGATACCTTCTTCAACAATACCACTGTCAGTTGCATTGTGCATTTGTTCAAGTCTTCTGAATGTTTACCATCGTTTTTCTCAGCAAATTGCAACAACCTGTGACGCCAGACTTTGTTGAAGTTTTCCTTTACCTGTGTAGCTACGTCTTTATTCCCCATAACTTTTGCAAATTCAGCCTTGATCTGTAGTAATACAATATACAGCAGTTACCTATAAGCTTTGCTAAACTTATGTACGTATTTTATGGGATAAAAATACTACCAGCTACTAACGTATAGCAGATTTTTTAAAGGAGAGAACATTTCAACAACTTCCACTATTCTTCTGACGTCTTCCAAGACAAGTGATCTCCTTGAAGCATAGCATGCAGCCATCAACTCCTGAATTTTTTCATGATCCTTTTTAGCTGACTGCCACTCCTTTTTTATTTTTGATATCACTGCTGTAAGATCTTCATATTTCGCATGGCTCGGGAACGTTCGTCCAACAGTGACTGTTCCTTTTCTTTGTTGTTTTGCCTTTAGTTTGCGAGACATTGGTAACAGGCGTGTTAGATTTCTTTCTTTGCAATTTTTGAATCGGTTATAGATTTTCATCTCAATAGATCCCTATAAAAGAAAGCTCTCATTTAAAAGTAGTAAAAGACAAGTAAATTTATTTTTTATCAGATATGTCCGAAGAGCTTATAACCTGGTGCTTTTTTCTTTTTTTCAATTCTGGAGAGTGTGAAATAATGACTTCATGCAATTCTTGGAAAATAGTACATGAGGCAGAAGTAGATGAATCAGAGCTTTTTTTCTGTTGAGGCATGGGATTTCCATTGGAATCAAACACCTTAAAAATAAAACACCTTTGCTGGTATAAACATTACATTCTGTAAAAAATTTTTAGAAAGAGGTTGATCTATTAAGTGCACACGTACCATGCCAGAAAGTTTCGAACAAACTGCAATAGCAGTACGCTTTTGTCCAAGATTCTTAAACATGTCACTAAACTCTTCTCTAGTCAATGTTAGAAATAGTTCTCCATCAATCTCTGCTGCTGAGAAGGTACGTACATATGTTATCGTACATATGGTACGTACATGTGTAGGAAGATTCTAAATTCAAAATAAGGAAGTTCTCAAATGAGGATCTAAACAGCATGATCAAAGTTCAGTTCGTAGGAGAACCTGCGGTTGACGAAGGCAGGCCGAGAAACGAATTTTTCTCATTACTCCACAGTGAAGTATCTAAATCCTGCATGTTTTTTGGTGAGGATAACAGAAAAAGCTTCAACCATGACATTCTTGCGCTACAACAAAGAAGCTTTTACACTTATGGTCAGTTATGTTATGTTGGAATTTGCAAGGCTCTGCTTCTCCTTGCTTTTTGTCTCCGAGTATTGTAGATTACATTTTATCTGGTGAAATTGATCTGGTAAAATCAACATGCATTAGTGACATACCCAATCAAAAGATGAATCATAAGCTTCAAGAGTTACAAAAAATGAAAGATCTAGACGCCTTCGCCAAAGCTGCTTCTTTTGACTGTTCATTTTGGTTTAAGGCTGGTTTCAGTAAACCACTCGTATCGTTTGAAGAAAAAGATCTGCTTTTCCAAGCTATTGTATTGCATTATAACCTGTTATCTTCCTTATCTGAAATAAATCAGTTCGTCGAAGTGTTGAATGTCCATGGCTTCATCGATTAGCTACGCCAATATCCTCACTATGCGCGCGCATTGTTTTTGTACAATGAGAACAAACTTACGGCTGAAAAACTGGAGGAACTTTTTCAACCGGTATTCTCATCTAGGGGGAGCAACAGATGTATAAATGAGGAAGCTGTGTCATTAAACTTTACAAGATATTTTGAATATGTGGAATCTGAGAAATTTCTTGTCCTATCATTGATCTGGAAACAGAAAATTGTCTGAAATGGTTGTTACATTGCCCATAGTATTGCAGTTTGTCACCGGGAGTACAAGTGTGCCAGCAATTGGTTTTTACCAGCCAGCCATCCATCACATTCGAGCATGATACTGCAGGAAGAAAGCTGAATGTTCATAATTGCTCTAACACTCTTTGCCTGCCAGTGAATGACATTCTTTTGAATTATGACAGTTTCAAAATTGAGTTCATATCTTGTTTAGGTGAATCTCCAGGTTTTGGAAATGTGTGACATTCTATCAGATAGTTTTGCCAATGAAATGAATGTAACATCGTATTAAATTTATATTCATAAACGCACGGACATGAGTCAAATGTTGTTTAGTTACTAATATTAGCTTTCTTAATTGTTTTTGGAACAATTTTATATACAAAGTTACAAAATTTATGTTTGTTGATAATATTTAGAGCATACAAAGATAAAGACTCATTTTGCAAAAGTGATGCAATTAGAAAATTACAGTATACTGTATAATTGTGCAAATGGCTTTTTCATACTGTTATTTCATATTTGTTACATGTAGATGTAGTTGTGAATTGCACCATGATGATTATTAATTAAAGGTGGTAGTTGATTTAAAATGAAAGCAACAATTTATTCTTTAGTCTTTCCAAGTTTGTATGTTAAAATGTGTGGTATAGCCTACAACATATTTGAAAAAAAACTAAATAATTTTACCCAAATATAACTGTGCTTTTTAAGTATGAATTTATTCTGGTAACATTACCAAATAATGAAACAAATCAAGAGCTTCACACCAGTGATTTGGAGCTGACCAACTTCGAAGATTACATACATATTCAAAATATTTTTGGTGATCCGTATTTCCAGCATTGCAACAAGTTTCAACTTCATGTAAGGAAATGACTTCATTCAACTGATTTTTATGGACAGGCTGCAATTGATCGGCAGTGCACTGTTATTTTTTAGGTGTTGAACTAGCACTTTCTCTAGTGCTAAACTGACACCCACCGCTGGTGTTAAATAAAAGGTGTTATTATAACACGAATATTGGTGTTGATTTAACAACGTATGACCTTAACCATATTGTAGCGTGTTAAATTTACACCTCAACACTTTAACACCCAATTAATAGTGCTGAAATAGCACCTTGTGCTGCCACAAAGGTGCTAAATTAACACTGTTTTTTGGTGTTAAGTGGTTGGTGTTAAATTAACGCCATTTGCAAGAGTTACAATAATTTATAAAGGGCGGTATTTCTGCACCAATCTCCTTGTAACATCATGGGTGTCAAAATAACACTTATTTTAAATTTTTTTTTAACTTATTTTTATACTTATATCAAACTGCAGCTGTTTTCGTTCTGACACGGATAACAGAACAGTTGACCTATGCGTTCATTTAAACAGTTTAAAAACTGTTATATTAACCAGAGGTGGATTAAGCATAGATTTTTTAGGGGAACCTTGGCTTTGTGAGTTCATTAAAACTTAAAAGTAATAAGAAATACCATTTTGGCACACCTCAATGCAACCGTGTTGACCAGAACATAGATGGGTGAGCACCCTTGTGCACTTCCCCCCCTATAAATCATTCACTGATAATAAGTACACAGGTTAAACAATAAATAGAATAATTTCTACAAAGATAATCAGCTTTTTTGAAAGGCCATAATATATACATTACGATAACGCAACGCATGAATATGCTGTGTTCAGGAAACTAAAATTTATTCTACATCTATTTCATATCTATGGCAAATGTATTTTGTGTTACAGCCAAATGACTTTATCAAGTTAAATGGCAAATGTGAGGTTAACTCTTTAAAATATTTAATTTTAATTTCTTTCTGTTTTGACTGAGCAACTTCATAAGCCTGATAATGTTCAGAAAACCTGACAGTCTGTTTTCTTGAAACAACAAACATGGCATTTGCAACATTTTGGTTAATGATATAAATACCAATAACTTCCCAAAACTGGCGAAATTGAACATAATCATAACCAATGTGGACAGTAGCTCCTACTTTATATTTTTTTCCATTGATAGTAATCCATTTGGTACTAAAATTATAATAGGAAAAATATTAATATTATTTAGTTCACAGAAATTAATTGTGTACATAAACTTTACTGAAAAGCAAGTAAATAAAGAGCAATTTTAAGCAATTTCATCATTCACAATGAAGATATTTCAGTCATCTGACTAATTACATCAATCTGACTTACCTATACAATGGTGTTTGTCTGTTCACTTCAGGAGATTCTGTTCGAATGAGCCCACTCTCTTCAACATCACCAAAATATAATGTTTTACCTTCAGAAAGACGAACATAAGTTTTTTTAATTACTGTAGCTGTAGCTTACATAAAAAATAAAACCAACTCAGGATAATGGATGCACCATTGAGCTATAACTATATATTGTATCTGAATGAAAGAAATCATTAAGAAATGCACCTGGCATAATTTCAGTGCCTTTGCAAATAAACGTGCTATTTCCACCTTCAGCAAACTGTAGGCGATAACAAACTCCTTCTTGGTGCCTCTTTGCCAACGAGTATGGTAAGTTTATAAAATTACTAATCACTATTGCCAACCTCTTAAAGTAATGGTGTTTTGCTTCGTAGCGCATGCACCAACTTCGCAGAAGAGGCCAAAAACCTTTAATTGATACAGAATACAAGCAAGAATTGTAAATTAGTTTTGAAAACTGCAAGTTTTTGAAGCCATATGGTTTGTAATTGTAAATCAGAATTCTAAACTTACTGAAGTATTGCTCTTGGCATATAAACCATGTAGTGCATCTTTGGAATGATACTGCATTCTGGAAACAATTCTTTAAAATTTTGTAATAACTTTTGAATGAGTATTTGAAGATATGAAACTTGCTTTCTGCTCACAATTGGAGTAAAAATTATACGAACAATTTGAAGTAAGGTACAGAGTAACCCCCTGTGCTGATCTTCTACTTCTATAAGGCCACCAATAAGAAATGGAAAATGTGGGCCAAGACACCACATCTGATTTGCTAATAAGACGGAAAAGCGTCATAAATTATCTTCCTGAGGGAACGTGCGCTTATTACTTCATTTTTAGGGATCCCCTGACCTTAGAATAGCTTATGCTATCAAATAGTTACATACTGTATATAGATCTATATAGAATTTAAGGATTTTTAAAATAGTGGAAAGGAAATTACTGTACCGTGCTGCTTTAAACTATTGTCTGATGAAAGAAGTCTTCGGGCTTGAATTGGAGCAAGTTTATTGGTATCATTATGACAACCAAAATCAAACGCCTGCATCCTTTTATTAAGGTCGTCTAGTTTGAAGTATCTCTTTTCAAAGATGAATTCTTTTAATAATTCTTTAACAATGTATTGTAGCATACCTTCCAGTATATCATGCATAGCATCTGGGGGGAGTCCTCCAATGACATGATAGTACTTTGAGTTGTTAAGTAAAGAAAACTGATTCAGGCCATAAGTTTTTTTGAAATGCTCTCCTTGGTCCAGTTTTTGACACTGCTCATAGTAACCTTGCACTGTTCACAAAACAAAGTCATCCTCATGAAACTAAACAAATAAGTTAAATTAAGTCACCCTAAACACATACAGTATCTACCACTGAAACCATTTAAATTAATTAAACCAACACATTGTCTGAAGTAAAGCACTTTCATATCAACTAAGTACTTTATACTTTTCAAAGTTTATATACTCTGTAGAAAGCATAAACCATGCAATAGATGCAGTGGCAAGTGTCAATTAAGCATTACTGTAGCTACATTATATATAGCATTTCAGTTATTTCTGTAGCATTTCCCATACAGACTCTGCATTTTCTGTAAGACTGTGATCCTTGCTTAAACCCACCAAGATATTGTGAACCAAGATTATCTCCAGATATAAATGCAATTGTTCCTGCAAAGCATCTTCGCTGATTATTTATTATAAACTCATAGCCACCATCCTAAAAAGTTAATTTGTTCCTTAATTTATTAGAGTTAAAAGAACAAAACATGAAAAACATGCATCGACACTAGTCCAATACCTGTTCGAATTTTTGAAGGTCTCTAAGAAATGCTCTTAGCATAGGTTCTACACCATATATCTTGAGATGCTTACCAGAAACTAGTCCAAGTAGTTGAATGGAATTGATGTGAGACCAGTGTTCCGGGCGTATATTGCCCAATGTATAATAAAAAGCGGCTATATGAAATGCAAAAGGCAACCGGAAAATTTAATGAATTAGACATTTTTAAACCTACAGTATGGGAATTACTAGCACATTAAATTAAATTATGGCACTAAAATAAATTTATGTTTGTTAGCTCTTGATCCTAATGGGTTACAAACATCTACTTCATCAAAATAAGTAAGAAGTTGCAATGCCAATGGATCTTTACTGAATAGTGGGTGCTCTTTAAAGCCTTCACCATCACAATAATCAGACAAAAAATCACTGTTGCAAAAATGAGGATTTTCCACCTACACAAAATTGGATCGGATACTGTCATGTGCAGAACAAAGCTAAGGCAATGGTAATATTAAAATTTTCTATATTCAGCATTGTGTTCAATGGACAATTATATACATACATCACATGCACATGTAATCAACACAAACCTCGTTAAGAATTGACTCATCATTAAGAAGCTGTTGCAGACTTTCCAACAAGGGAATATAGTATGCATCATCTGTTTTTTTCGACATCTCTCAATCTATTTCCTCTTCTTTTCTTAGTGTGGTATTTTCCAAGAACAATCTTTAGTGGTTCCTAAAAAGTGAAAGAATTGATTATAAAATTTTGATTACTTTTTTTATAAATTTCTAAACCAATTTTACAACTTACCACAAGATTAAACTCCTTCTTGTAGTATTCATATTGGAGATACTCTTGGTCAATACCAGCAAAAGGATTTGAGATTGAGTTGTCTTCATCAAATAACTCATTCACCTCTGGTAGGCTGTTTAAGTCAATCCCAGCGTTTTTAAGGCAGCTAGTTATACCAGACTTTAAAAGGTTAATGCTTGTTTGAGTAACATTCGTAGCATTCTCAACGAAGGAATCAAAAACAGTTTGAGGTATACGTCCTCTTTCTTCGAAATTTAACAAACATAAAGCATTCGCTCTAGATAAATTGTCCTGGTCAGCCATAATGTCAAACTCTTCTTCCTGTTCAGGGTCTGTATTATCAATCTCATGATTTTGATTAGCATCGTCGTTTCCCCTATCAGCATTCAACTCTGCGCTGTTCCTCGTATTGCGCAAGATGTTATGTTGTCGAATAAGGTGATTTCTCAATGATAAAAATTTCTTAAACGTCCTGGCACAGCCATCGATGCCACAAACAACATGAAAATTTGGTTCATCACGATGAACACGGCCAATATGTGCTATTAGTAATTAAAGAGAATCTGAAACGAATTCTAGGCAAATATTACATCGATATAGACGCTCCATGACATAATTCACTTCAAGAATACAATAGACCTTCTCAAGGTTATCGCAGCCGTATTAGAGACCTTAAGATTTCACGACGCGCGTTACAACGACGCGAGCTTGGCGCGCATGGCCTGGTGCGAATGCGTCCGCGTGTCATTGTAAAGGCGGTTTTCCATTACGGTCGCTTTTCCCGCGCGGGCGGTTTTTTAAGTAAGCGCATGCGTATTAAAGTTCTCTCTCCATATTTGCATCGTTCGCCCAGCGTTAGCCTGAACGCTGACGGACAAGCTGACGAGTCGAAGTCACATCGACTTTCATCGCGAACCATGCGGCGAACAGCAAAAACAACATGGCGGCTATGGAGGAAGGGATTATGCAGCAAGTGAATCAAGACGAAAACTTGAGTCACTTTCATGTTGTATTACCAGAAAACGTTGAAGATGACGATAGTATAGATGAAATTTTGATTGAAGAGGTCAGAAACAACGGAATTCGCTGGAATACATCGTTACGTGATTACAAAGATATTGCGAAAAATCGCAGGCTTGGGGTGAAATTGCTTGTCGTTTGAACCGAAATAGTAAGTTTTGTTGGTTAAGTTAAGTCATTAAGATTGGATTTCCTTAACGACGCGAACTTGTGAGTTCACTACCTATACTTTCAAAAAATGGCCTCCTTCAAAGAAACAAGAAATGCTCTAGCTGTTGCGTATGACGCCGATTTGATAAACGAAGAAGAATTTGCGCTTTTGTATGATATTTCGCGTTCAAAGAACTCAGAATTAAAACATGGCGACTATTCATCTTTTGATTTGGAGGAAATTGATGAAGTTACATGTGCTGTAGACTTTCGTCACAGCACATGTAACTTTCGAAACACGAAATTCCTTTGCTGGCTAAAGCGTTAGATTTTCCTCATCGTTTCAAATGTAAACAAGGAACAGTTTGTGATGGGCTGGAAGCTCTCTGCCTTGTCCTTCGTCGGTTTGCTTATCCATGTCGATACAGTGATCTTGTACCGCAGTTTGGCAGGTCTGTTCCAGAACCCAGCATGATCATGAATACCGTTGTTGACTACATTTTTGAGAGGTATGGGGACAAAATAACCAGTTGGAATCACCAGTTGCTCAGCCCAGAAAATCTGATGGTTTATGCTGAAACCATCCATCAAAAAGGAGCAGCTCTTGATAATTGCTTTGGTTTCATTGATGGGACAGTAAGGCAGATTTGTAGACCAGGTGAAATGCAACGAGTAGTGTACAAAGGTCACAAGAGGGTCCATGCTCTTAAGTTCCAATCAGTTACACTTCCCAATGGAATAATTGCAAACATGTTAGGACCAATAGGTAAATGCTACATTTGTCAAGGGTAAATTCTGTTGAAAAACAAACTGAGTTATTTTTCTTTTAGAGGAAGAAGGCATGATTCTGCCATGCTGGCTGAGTCAGGACTTCTGAATGACCTTGAAGAGTTTGCTCATTGGAATGGAAAACCCATGTGCCTATATGGAGATCCCGCTTATCCTTTGCGCATTCATTTTCAAGCACCATACCGAAACTTACCACTAACCATGCCAATGGAAGAATTCAATAAGTCAAAGAGTGCTGTGAGAATATCAGTGGAGTGGATTTTTGGTGACATTATAAACTACTTTAAATTCCTTGATTTTAAGAAGAATCTAAAAATTAGCTTAAGTTCTGTGGGAAAAATATATATATTTGCATCACTGCTTAGAAATGCTCTAACTTGTCTTCAATAAAATATGACAAGTGATTTTTTTCAGTTGGAGCCACCCTCTCTTCAAACATATTTCTCATAATTTTTTTTTTAATATTTCTTGTTTCTCATACATTGTAATTACAAATTATTTTCTTTGTCTGCAATTTTTGTTAAAAAAAAAACATGATTAGTTTATTTGTCAGCAATTTTTGATAAAAGAGCTACTAGGGCTTGTGATAGTTGTTGCTGTTGTTGAACCAGTAACATTTGATTTGCTTGAATTTGCTGGTTTTGTTGCCTTTGCAATTCAATCATGTTTTGCAGCAACTGATTTTGTTTCTCCATGAATTGCTGTTGACTTTCTTTCTCATTCTGTATTTGCAGCCTTTGCATTTCTATTTTCTCTCTTTCCAATTTTAAGCTTTCCTCTCTTAATTTTCTTTCTTTCTACCCCTTTTCTCTTAAAAACTCTACAGTAGAATCTCCTCCTTTCCTAACTTTTTTTCTAGCACCACCTTGCTCGCTTTCCTTTCGCTTCCTGGTTTCGGATAGGTTTTCCATAGCCCTTCTCCTTATCTCCTCTGCTGCTTTTTTATCTGCATTATTTTTTCTTCTTTCTGCAGCTGTAGCCTCAGCAGCAACAACATCACTAGCTTTTTCTCTAGCATGAATTTCTTAAAGTAAATCAACCTGCTCAGTTGCTTCTAGAGAAATGCCACTTGCATTTCTTTCTTCTCTTTCTTTCTTGCAATAGTTTGCAAGCAATTTTCGCACTCTGTCTCTTACTGCACGCTGGTCAACACGAAAGCAAATGTGGTCATGTTGCTCTAACTTCCTAGCAACGGCTTCCCACACCTTCCCTCTTTCAAGGGATTTTTTTCTTGTTTCAAAAAGTCTTGACACAACAACTTCTTTGCACAGTTCGACATCATGATTGATGAGCAATCACTTGATGCTGATGAAAACTGTTCTGCCATTTTCTTGCCTTGCTAAAAGGAAAAATGTAAACATATTTTACTCACAGATAAATATCAACACATCAATCACACACCAGACTCTACAGACAATTATAACAGGTGAATTAAAAGCTGAAATACTTACTTTAAAACTTTTTTTGTGAAAAATTCCACCTTCGATATAGGACGACGTGGGATTAAGCAAAGACGCCGCGTTGTAGAAGCACGACAAAACTCAACGACTCACGCACATGCGCATTGGTTTAAAATTCATTTCCGCTCGCGTTGTAGATGAACGCGTCGTTAAATCTTAAGGTCACTATTGCAGGGGGTGCAAAAACATTGGGCCGAGCGCGCGGTCACGCACGGCGTCCATATAAATTACTAATAAATGCGCAAAAATTACCTTATACATATTGGTGCACAAGGTACTTTAATTTGCTCAAATTATTTTCCCTTGGGAAGAACCCCAAAGATCGATCTCAGATCGATCTCAGTCAGCTCGCTTCGAAAGGTGGTCTGAGATCGATCTGAGATCGATTCGGTTTATATGTGAACGTAAGTGAGCTTATTTCGATGGAACAGTTTCGCTCCCATGCCGTTTCCGCAAAAACGCAGATATTTTTCTCAAAATTTAAAGTCAAAACAGAGAAAAAAGCTTGGAAAATGGCGCAAAAACGAGAGGTTTGGTCAGAAAAAGACTGTTTAGCCCTCCTCTCAGCGTACGGTACAGAAGAAATTCAACAAAAGTTGAAAGGTACCCAATAAAACGCTGATATTTATAAAAAAATCAGCATTATAATGAAAAAAAAAGGGATAGATCGTGATTGGACGCAATGTAGAACTAAATTTAAGCATATGAAATCTGAATACAAAAAGTTTAAAGACACATTATCACGATCATGAGCTGGGAGAGGTAAGGAACCTAAATTCTTTAACTTCTTTAACGTTATGGACAGTTTCTTTGGTGACAGACCAGAAGCAAGGGGTCTAAAAAACGTCATCGATACATCTGATGAATCAACGTGTTCATCAGCTGAAGCTGAAATAAAAAGCATTAACGTGCATGATGATGATGGTAAGTTATCGTGGATGAGTTGATATCGAGTGGGTTTTTTTCAAAAGAAAATACGGACATGGGAGAATCATTGAAAAAAATGTCCTCAGTGCAATGAGTTTGTGGAGCTTAGGACAGCAGGAGCCCATGTTGGAAACAGCACTGCAGTATACGCTGATGATGACAGATTTATTTGCCCATATTGCGATTACATTTAAGCCGGTGAACAGTAGAGCATTGCATGTGTGTACTATATTTTGTTTTATTACGTCGTAACATTTATGAGATATAATATGTAGAAGTCAGTAACGCAGATGAGAAGTTACCTATTGAAGAAAATGAGGAATCCCTACCATCTCAATATGAAAACAAATCAGTGCCAAGCAAAAGAATACCAAGGGGAAAGGCAAAGCCCTCCAGCATGCAAGTGGCATTCGAGAATGCAATGAAAGAGCACAACAAATATCTCACGGAGTCCAATGAAATGTTTTTGTAAGAAATGAAAAAAGAAGCAGAAAAAGAGCGAGAGTTGCGAAAGGAAGAGCTTAATGTTTATAAGGAGTCAATGTCACTTCTTGCAAATGCAATAGCAATGAGGTCTCAGCCTGTGCAACAACCATTCTACAATGTTCATCATGATGCTGAAAGTCAACAAACATATTACAAACTTTGATTTAATTTAAGAACATGAGTAATTTAGCTATCATCAGCTTATTGTGTTATCAAAAACTCAGTTAAAGAATTTCTAATTTGCTCTGCACTTGTGTCTGTATTCTGTAAAACAAATTCTGAAATTTCATCATCAGGAATAAGTTCAACATAATCTGCAAAAAGTTTGTCAGCTCTACTCTCACAAATATTGTGTACAACACAACATGCTGCAATTTTATACGCAAATGATCTAAATTTGTATAATTCTTGTTAAGTAGGCATCTGAATCTGTTTTTTAAACGGCCAAATGCACAATCCACGACTTGCCTTGCTCGACTTATGTAGTAATTAAATTTCTTTTGAGCAGGACTGAGATTGCCATCGTTAGGATGCCTCTTCATCAACCATGGAAACAGTGGATATGCTGGATCACCAACAAGCATGAATGGTACATTGCAACCACATATCTCTTTTCCTCCCAAAGTATATCAAGACCATGAATTTTCTAGTGGCTATTATCAAAATGCAGTAAAATTTGCCTCTGACCTAAGATAAGCTTTTATTATAAGAACAGAAAACTTACATTTGGGAAAAGTTTTCCTGCTTCAGCTTTGCAAACACTCCCGAGTTTGACAAAACTCTTGCATCATGGACTCGACCTGGCCACTTTATGCAAATGTCAGTGAATCTTCAAAATTTTTAAATATATATTTTTACTTTTAAGTGTGTGTAATTTAATTCACTTTGTGTAACTTACTTACTCAACTAGTTGAAACACATGTCTAAATTAATAAGAAACCTATTTTACATCAGTCACTGTTAAACTCCCCATGGGATCTAAAATTGTTAGAAGGTGAAAATGTCAGTTGCATAACAGGGAGGCAAAAATTATTAAGTCAACCTTGACAAAAGCCGTACGTTTTGGTACCTGTATTGATGATCAACAACAGCTTGGAGAACAATAGAGTAGAATCCTTTTCGATTGTAGTAATCTTGTGCAGAATTTGAAGGTGCTACAATTTGAATATGAGTGCCATCAATGGCTCCAGCGCATTGAGGGAAGCCCCATGTTGTTAGAAAGGCATCAACGATACTCTGCAGTCTATCGCCCGTTGGCCATTTGATAACAAGACGCAGTAACACGTCAACAATAGCTTGGCAAACCTCGTTCACGATTTCACAGGCTGTACTTTTTCCTATACCAAAACGCCAAGCTAAAGAACGCAAATCTTCATTGGTAGCCGAATGCCAAAGACAAATTCCTACTCTTTTTGGCACAGGGATAGCCTTTCTGAAATTTGTATCTTCTCGCAAAAGAGTGTCATTGATCTTGTCGCAAATGAAATCGAATGTTCCCTTAAACATACGACAATTTTCTAGCCACAACCCATCATCTTTCCACAAATCGATAGTTTTTTCCCAGAACAAACCGGTGCCTTTACTTGCATCCACCCAGAAACGTCTTTCACTCATTAATTTATTTCCTAGAGCGCCAATAAACCAAAAATAAAACTGGCCGTCCCTTCTTTTACTTCGCTGCTTTCTCAGTTTCAAAAAATATTTCTTTCTTCTTTCACGACGCATTCGCATTTTTTTGTGGTATTCAGATGTAATATTGAAAATGGTTGCGATCACTTCGTCCGCCATATTTGGATTGCAATAATATAAAGGCTGAAACACACTGGGCAGTCGCTTCAGTCGCGCGTCCAAAGCGAATTGATGCGCACGCGTCAGTCGCTTGAACGCTAGAAACACACATGCAGCGACCATCGCGACATTTATCGTGGCGTCTATTGAACATGGCGGTGATTTTAGTTTGTTACAGACACAGATATCACTTAAACTTTTTATTTTGGCCTTTATTATAGCTACTAATATATGAATATTTACTCAGTACAAACTACTATGTGGAGAAAAGAGAACAAGCCAGTTAAAACACGCCAATATGATCATAGCACATTACGCGTATATCGTGGATAATCCTATTCTGTGCATTTACGTTGTGCATTAGGGTTCCAGTTTGTAGCTCCTATTGTCCCTATTTGATAAGTCATATAAAAACTGAAAGATTCCAGTGGGAATTCACTATATATTGCCTTCGTTTTCCAAGGTATAATCTAAAAATTTCGTATGATGCTTATGACAGGAAATATGATATGCATTTAGGAAGTTAAAATGTATCTATTGGCCAATCAGTGTAAAGAGACTGAAGCGACCAAAGTCAAAAGTTCAACATGTTGAACTTTCAAAGCGACTAGCTGACGCGACTACGCTACTAGCTTAGTAACCACGCAAAGCGGTAGTTTTAGACGCGCGACTAAAGCGACTGCCTAGTGTGTTTCAGCCTTAAATATTGCACATTGTTGTCAAGGAAACTAGCTCGGCTTACGTTTTGGCGTGAACGCTCACAAAATTGAGCTTGGTCATTCACAAGATCGATCTCAGATCGATCTTCTCGGATCGATCTTAAAGCGAGCTAAGTGTGAACAGGCCCTATGAAGTAAAAATACCAAATCATTATTATTGCAGCATGCTAAGTTGATGTTCGAATAAATGACTTCATTTTTTTTACTCCGGTCCGCGGAATCCTGGCAATAAATTAAGCTGTTTTAGTAATTTAAAAAAATTCACTCGGAAATCGTGTTTTGCTATGCCGACGAGCTTGGAAATATCGTGGAAAATGTTAGCGAAAATATAGCAGAAAACGTAAACATGGATGAAAGGAACGAAAGTTTTACGCATGAAATTCAAGATTACATTATGGCACAACGGCCATAACCGCTTTACAAAAAATAAATACGTTATTTACCGTTTATATTTCGGTCCGAATAGAAGAATAGTTCCTCTCGACATCAAAAACGGCCTTTGGCCTCGGGCCGTTTGGGACCTCTGGAAAGTATTTTTACATTTATTTCACGCGCGTTCTGATTGGTCAAAGCCAATCCAAACATCAAATGGCTGTTCTTTTTTCGCTTGAATGGACCTCCCCAAAGTCTCGGTCCGCACAAGCGAAAAAACAACTCGACCAGTATCCTCCTGTACGAACCTCTCGCTCAGTCATTAACATATATATAAATCTTTTTAATTTAATTTTGATTTTTTGTACTTGAATAGTTTGATTCAGCTGGTATTTTAAACAATACATCTGATGAGCTGTTGAAGGCATGTGGCATAAAAGGATGGCAAGTTATACGAATCAAAAATGTATTGGCAACGATTAACAACTTGGACAAGTTTCTACCAGTAAGAAATGTTCCATCCACCATTGAACCATCCACCCAGAAGATCGCTTTATCCACTAGTCATTCCTTTGCCATAAATGACAATGTCAGCAATTCTTCAGCGTCAATTGAAGAAGCTCATTTGTCAACAGGCACACCCTCACCTACAACATCCAGTACACCTCGACATACCATAGCATCTGAAAAGAGTGATCAACCTTCACCATGTTTTGTACTTGTGGAAGAAAGGAAACCGAACAAGAACTGGATAAAAGATTTTAAACTTCCTATTTCTGTATGTTAAATAATATACCTCACATTCTAATGTTAAAATTTATCTTTTGTATTTTACAGTTTTCTCCAAGAGTGAATCATGGCCTACTCAAATTTACACGGCCTGATATCTTGCCATAGCAAGGCCACAAATGCAAGGTCATTGAATTTTCAATCAGTCATTCAACGCGCTCTCGAGAAAATCGAAAAATTAACGTGTTAAAAGCAAATTAACGTGTTAAAAGCAAATTAACTGCGTCAATTGATGTAAAATCAAACGACTAAGTAAGCCAGGATCATTTTGGTACCTTTTTCATTGGATTTGAGCGAGGAAAAGCGAAGATATCGGCAAAAATATAATTGCCACGTGGTAACGCGTCGTTTTGCTTAGACGAGAAAATCCGCTTCGGCGGTTATTTTCTTAACTTTTGGCAAGACCGGGATCGTTGCAAGCAATTTTGGAACTACCAGAAGAATCTACGGTAGGTGGACCAACGCTTGTTCGTATACAGCTTTTTGAAAGCTTAGTAAATTGCTGGATTAGCCGCGACGAAATTGAAGTGCTAGAATGGTTTGTTGTATTTTATAATCGAGGAACGCGACAGAAATATGTGAATAAAGACTTTGAGTTATATGGCAAGACCTACAAATTATTAAGCAATGACATTTATGGTCGACCTAAGAACACATATGTGAAGATTTTTGGTTATCCGATCGATACAAACATTAATATATTGAAACAATCACTTGAAGTTCACGGTCAACTGATCGCCATACGCGAGGACTTTGACCGGACAAGCGGCATCAAGACGGGAGTAAAAACTGCCATTTTTTCGAGGATAACACGGCCCATTCCGTCATTTATTTATGCTGGACGCTACCACGTACGTACCTCATACACAGGACAAGTCAAAACCTGTAGAAATTGTGGTCAAACGGGACACGAAGCGAAAGATTGTAAGGCAGGTCGCGTTTGCCGTATTTGCGGTAGCCCCGATCATACAAAGGGGCAATGTCCCGAGCGAAGATGCTTTATATGTCACGAGAAAGGACATGAGCAATCCGAATGCCCGCACTATGAGAAATCATTTCCTAGTTTAAACGACACGAACAACGAGATGGCCAACGAGAAACACGACAATCATGTTGAACCACAGGATCAAGACGAAACGATGAGTGAAACGGAGAATACCACAAGAGAAAACGTATGGAAACGCCTTTAATAAGGAATATGAGGAAGACGAAGCCTCCAACTGGGGAGAAACCAACCCAGATGAGGTACAACCAAACGAAACACAAGACAATAATAACAAAGAACAAGAGAACAAAGATCCTACGGAAAACGAACAAACCATGATGAACGAAACATCAACTGACAACGAGCAAAATACGGATGAAGAACAAACCAAGACCAAAGAAACGAAAGAACCAGACGATTGCCCACAAAAGAAACTGAAAACCGGTGAAACCCCTGATGGAGGTACAGCATACATGAAACCCAGAGTTGACCAATCGCCCTCCTCTAAAAGACGGAAGAAAAAGAAACCTAAACACTCCATAGTAACGGCGGGAGGACGTAATCGATTAGTTTACAACAAACTTCACAATAGCGGACATAAAGATAATGACCCTAAACGTTAATGGAATATCAGGAAAACACAAAAGAACAAAAAAATTTGACTTTTTGGAAAATAGAAGAGCAGACATTTACCTACTACAAGAAACGCATTTGAACAAGGAAGAAGAACGGGATATATGGACAAGACAATGGAAAGAGAAAACAGCTTTGAACCCAGGGACAAATTTTAGCAGAGGGGTGGGAATTCTACTTCACCCTCTTTTTCACGGGGAAATAGCAGAAACTAAACAGGACAATGAAGGACGGGTCATATGCACAAAAATACAGTGGGAGAATCTGGAGATAAACATTATGAATGTATATGCAACGAATCTAATTGGGGAAAGAAGAGATTTCATATAACGGTGTTTCGCCATATGTGCAGTTACTTTCTCGTGGCGGATTGAAGGAACCATCTGCTGCGTTGGGTAATTTTGTTGCTCATGGATTTGCTGTACTGAATGCAGCAGCAAATATTATTCAAGACTCTAGCTTGCCATCGCGATTTGTTGCGGAGGATCTTTTGAAAACCGTTTTGTGTAACGAAGGGTTCGTCTGCGAACAGCACGAAGATATCGGCAATAAGAGGAAAAGGCGAACAGAGACTATTGTCAAAGACCGAGTTGTTGCACTAAAGCAAAGCAACTAATGGCAATTGATGTAATTGATGTAAGCAAAGGCAATTGATGTAATTTTATTTATATTAACCGAGACTGCGTTTTTTAAAAGGCATCTACTTTCAACTCGAGTTTTTGTTTCAATTTCAGCATGCAAATGTCTTGTTTGTCTCTGAGACACTTGATCTCTAGTATATACTCCAATCCGATTTCGCATATAAGTGTTAGAAGTCGAAATCATTTAGAAATCGTGAATGCCTTAATGGCCTTGCATTTTTGGCCTTGCTATGGCAAGATATCAGGCCGTGTAAATTTGAGTAGGCCATGAGTGAATGAAGCACTGCAAGGAGGAAAACTTAATGGAAACCTTAGGGATGAGTTTACTAGGGACATTTGTTCTTCTATTAAAGCTCATACAATGTTTCCATCCAGAGAAGAAAAACAAAGAGTGGCGTCCATGATTGTAGAAAAATATACTTTTCTTGTCGATTCACTTGGAGCTGGTACAGTAAGTCATATTCATATTATTTAATGCATAAGATAATCTTTAGAAGAAATCCTATAGCTTTGCTCGCTATCTCTTATAATGTGTAGCATGAACTTTCTTCGTTACAGAGGTCATGGTTGAAAGCAATCACTAATCTATTCAAAAACATGCGTAGAAAGAAGACAAATTCAACAACAAGATCTGTTTGTGTGTCTCAAACTACACAAAAGCAGCCAGAAACAAAAATGACAAGACGTAAGATGTATGATGTTTATGATATGGATAATGGCGAGACTGCAGAAACGTGTGAAGAACATAAAAAAGCCATGGTAACCGAGATGACGAAAACAAACAAAAGATATAGACTAATTAAAGAGCTCATGGAGTTGATCTACCCATACCGGAGCCAAAAATTTATAAATGAACCAAAAGTGTTGAATGAACTACTGACTGAGTATCCAGCTCTTCAGCTTCTTTCAGAGGTAAGAATAAATATTTTTTGAACAGAACTATTGCATAGAACTATCCTCAAAATCATGGGGGCAGCTAATTTTACCAGCTGTAGTTGACATCTTTTGCAGTAAACTTGCTGTTTTTTGTAACTTGTATTTTTGCAACTGGAATAGGTAAAAGCAGAATTTGGTCGAATTTTGGCAGACCAAAATGCAGTCAGCAACATGGTTATCCATTACAATAATATGGTTCAAAATGTAATGAAATGGGCAGGCAATAGTGACAACAAACACATAAAAATATTGATGTCAGAGATGGAGGCCATGCTGTTGCAAAAACCTAATAAGGAAGTTGGTATGTGTATTCAATTAAGTCTGACCATTTACAGAGTTCCAGCGGTGGATTTATGGGAGGGGTGCACAGGGGTGCTCACTTCTCTAAGCTCTCGTCAACAGCGTGGTGCATAGAGGGATAAAAAAATGGCATTTTTCATGACTTATACATCATCTTGTACGGCTAACCAAAAGTTTTTCGAAAATTTATTCAGGTTGAAATAGACTTTGCAACATTGTATCCAGATGTCGCGAATAATCTTCTTCTGCGATGTACACCAGAAATAGTGGAGAAAATTTGTTACGCAGATACACAAACAGAAAAATGGACAAATACTTGAATATACAAGAAACCTGAATTCCGGTGAAAATTGCAAAAACAGTTACATGTGCATGAAACATATGTAATACATGAAATACTTTCTTCATCTAAAGTCCAAAAACACTGACTTTTATTTATAAACTATTTTATAGATGAAGAGAAAAGAAATGCTGCGATTGGTCTCCTTCCATGCGTTTCTCCTACTGGAAGAAAGAATAAAGATGTGTACAACTGATGTAATTAAAGGGGACCATATTCACATATTCTGCATGCCAGGCTGATTTGTTTTGAAAGGGAAATTGTTTTGAAAAGAAATTAGACTGGCATATGAGTATGATTGCCACCCCCACCCACCCCCCCCTCCCCCCCACAAGCTGTCCTAGAGAACAAGAAAGTAGCAAAATCACTAAAAATTTGGCTTAGTATTTGGATTTTATTTTTTCTGAGCATTTCTTCCAAAAGTAGCTATAAATTGTCACTTATACAAGTAGTCGCATAATCAAACTCGTGTATTTGATGTAAAGTCTCAGGTCAGCTGTTTAATTATTTTTAGGTCGGTACAAAAATACCTAAATATTTAGAAACAGCTTCAAGATGGCCGTTTGTTTAGCTATTAATAGTCGAACGCAATTAGGGATTTTACTACAGTGAGCAATATATGTGACATCATAATTTTCTTAAAATTTGAGGTAGAGAATTGAACTTTGACAAGGAGATAGAAAATCCGTTAATCTAGTCCCTGACGTTTTTATTCTTTTTATGAGTGATATTTATAATACATTTGCATACTAATTAGTGTGGAAGTTGTGGTAAAATTTAGATTTTCGTCAATACTTTTTTTAAGAGGATCTAACAAAAAGCGTCAGGCACTAGATTATGTTCTGAACTTTCCAAAAAGGTATCATTTATGATATTAAACATATTAAACGATATCATGTTAAACATGATATCGTTTCTGAGCTTGTACGAAGGATTGTCAGTTCACGTAACGCTATAGAGTAGAAAATATTGTTTATAGCCACGGCCAACTCCTACGCTCACACTGAAAACGAGATATAAAGGGTTCCAACAATCTTCGTGTGAAAAGAAAGATAGGTTGTGCGCTACTGTGGAGAAAAAGCTGTTATTTTATTCCCTTTATTTACTACTTTGTCTAAAGTCCAGTACATTGAACCAAATTGATTATGTCAACATGCATCATTTACTGGGCGATTGCCAAAAGCATGAAATATCAAATTCGCACAATGAAGCTAACATAACAGGTGGCACAGACGACTTATGTTACCATCAAATGTACTAGAACTTCATGTTTGTTCTCGCTATAGCCCAACCAGTTGTTTTTGTCAAGCTACTCCACTGCTAAAGTGGTACAGTAAAATTCAAAAGTTCAAACAATATGATATGCCTAGTAGTGTTAGTCATTTAAAATTTTATTTTGCAGTAAATTGGTCTATAATGATAACGAGTGATAGCAGACAATTCCAATCACGACCTAGTGTTGTATTTTGCGAACAGAAGAATATAGCAAAATTGCAATAGTTGAAAAAAAATGTGGAAGTTTTGAAGTGGTAAACTGTCACCGAATATTATATAGACTAGACATGGAAAGAGTGTAGACAATGCAAACGCAAACAAGTTGTCAATGGTTGCAATGAACATTTTTCAATATGTTTTGAAGTCTTTTTTCCCTTAACAAAATTTTAGTATGATTGTCTTATTTTTAGTTCAACCTTTAGTTCTACATTTGAAGAAACTGAATAAACACACCTTCCTAATGAATAGCAAGGTTGCCCAGTGTTTGTCTAATAAATGTCCCTTGATCTACTAAGACATGTATAAAACAAAGATAGACATAAACGTGTATTCAAAATTAGACACAAAACTAGACACAAAGTTAGACAAAAAGGTAGACAAAAAGATACACATGAAGGTAGATACAAAAGTAAACGCAAAGGTAGATACACACTTAGACACTAAGGTAGACAAAAAGATGGATAAAAAGGTACAAACAAAGAAATAATAATGTAAACATAAAGAAAGTATGGTTGCTTTAACCTAAAACAAGTCGATGGGCAGTGGAAATAAACATTTTCTTCCTAATGAAAGACTTCTCCTTATAAACGTCACGATCTTTTCATATTAGATACAATAACGAGATCGTTGGGTGGACTGCCAACAAAACTGCCTTGTTCGTGATAGCTTTGGCACCAAAAACACGAGGGTGTAATTGAAAGACAATTTTCCAAAAGGTTTTTCGCGATTGTGTCAGAGGCTTGAAGATATGTAATTCGAAGGTTGAGATAAAAAAAGTAGATCGAAAAGAGGTCCAATATTATAACCAGTATTTGAGGTCCAATATTATCAACCGTTGCTTATTGTGCAAATGGATAAAATGGTTGATTGGAAGCAAAAAGTAGGTCACCTTGTGCATACTTAATGGACGACGCATATTTAGTGTTTGTTAGGGAGCTTGCATTGTTCATTCGAGGAACCACTGCATTGTTCTTCTATCGATGAGTTTCTTGCTCGACAAGTAAATAAGTGGTACAATTCAAATTGTTGCCAAATGCATTTTCTAATGCTTTCTCATCATCTGTTCCAAACGCCATTACGTATGTACGCGTGGTTTTTGCCTCGCTTTGTTTGATTTTTTTTTCATTTCAGAAAAGATACCAAGTATCGTCTACTCTACGTTTTCCTGACGCATTCTTCCAGTGATACGTTATGCTTATTTCACTGTTTCCTTAACGCTATAGACCACACGCCTGTTGTCGATTTCGGGGTATTTGACCAATGGCAATACAAAAACGTATGCCCTCTAAATTTTCATTGAGGACGTCACAAACAGCGTAACAATAAAGTTCTTCATTGGAGGCAATCTTTAGAAACGTTCTTGGTGCTTTCTCATGTGTGGATGAGCTCGTCGGTCGGGCATTATCTTAGCATTCGAATGTGGATTTAAATCAATTGCGAGTTCGTTTCCCATTTGAAATAATGTTTCACATTGAAATAGCAATCATTAGAAACTAAAACACAACAGAAAAACAACATTAGAAAAAGGAATCATTAGGAACTAAATCACCACACAAAAATAACATATAAGTTAGTCGTGTTTGTGTTTCGTTCAACAATGTTTTGTATACGTCGTCTGCTGGTGGATAATTATCCACCATTGTTCAACAATGTTTTTTATAATTATCAATTACCTCTGAATTAACAAATTACTAACAGTTACCGTTTTTGGATGGCCCGATCCAAACACACGAGAATTAAGCGAGACTTGAGCAAAGCGCGCGATACACGAGCCTAAGGTGAGTGATCTGCACCGATTTTCTTAACGCGAGGAACATTCCCAAGTGTTTGGAATAGGTCATCTTAACACTTGAAACCGTTTGTAGATGTTTTATAAAATAACAACAAGAGGGTAGGGTCGTGAGCTTTATTTAAGATAGCAAGATCCTTTTCAGTCAAATTTTTTAACCAGCCAATCCTGGCAACTAAACTTAAATATTATTAATAAAATATATACAGCCAAATTTTTTCCTGGAATTCTGGTAATTGGGTGACAAAAATGGCCGACATATTGAAAAAATAGGGGTAGTCCTTAAACATAATTTCGCAGGGAGATTTACAGTTAAGGTTCTGAAATTTTTTGAGTTTGTACCTGGGATGTTTAGGTAAGGTTTGGTGGTAGAAATTTTAAAAATAATTGCTCAGACATTTTCTAGCCTGTTTTTTGTAATTTTTTAGTTCTTGGCTACATATGTTATAAAATCATTTTAGATGGTAATATTTCTAATTTAGACCTATAAGGCCCCTGTAACTAAAGGAAAAACTCGTTGCTAAGGAGGGTAAAAGCTGAACATAGTTTTTTTATGTGGAAAAAAACCTACTATAGACTTACAAAAAGTAAATTTTGCTTGTGATTTTAGATTTAGTAGGGTTTAAAGAATAGAAATACAGTTTTTTACAAATACGTCAAAATTAAAAAAATTCTGTATTATTTGGGATCTTGCTAGCTTAAGCAAAAAGAAATATGAGAGCTAAATTCTCCTAAACGAAAGAGTGTAAATTTAGTAATCAACGAAGTCAGAACCACGAATACGTAGACATACAACGAGGTTTTTGACTTTAAAGTTTAGAAAAATGAACAATCTTGATTAAAGTTCGCATTAACGTTGCCAGAAATGTACTCCAAAAAGCCAATTTGAGCAAAAAATCGTCTTTTCTCTTAGGCATGTTAAAAATTCTCACGACAGCATACTGACGACAGCAATATAAATTTTAAATTTAAATTAAAACAGAGGCATCGACCAATCAGAGCACGTACTTTGCTTATGTTATTTTATAATTATTTGTTCTCCACAAAGAAGGTTTTTATCAAACATTAAGCCCCTTAGTCACTGCTGAAATTTCGCAAAGCTACTAAAAAAGCAATCTTAACTTCACATATTCATGATTCATGCATAAGAGAGCATATGCATCATCAATACGACAAGCATAGGAAGATTGATGGTTGAAGAGACTCATATTCATATATTTGCATAATATGCATTTTTCACTTCGTTTAAAATCCATTGTTTTCAACGGAATGTAACATGCATTTATGAACATGAGCTGAAACAGGAATTCCCAATTCGAGAGAGAACCTAAATTTAAGTGGCCCTTTCAGCAAAAACTTTTATTTGCAATATTAAAACTATGCCTTATGTTTAACGTATAGGTGAAAATATTATTCAATTTGATGAAACAGACAAGAATTGAATGGCAGTTCATGTTACCTTTCAATGGACCCTGCACGTCGCGGTAATAAGTCTGTGTCTTGCCAAACTTTGACGTCATAAAAGGTGATTGGTATATATAATTTGTGTTGCGTAGTCCCTTGCATGACGTTACAAAAGTCATTTCAGATTTTCCATACGACCGACAACATCCATGAAAACGAGCATTTTTGACAACTTTAAACATCCATAAAATGGAACGATGTGGTCAACTTAAAATTTTTTTTCACTAATACATTAGAAATCACACCCAAAATTGACTCTCGCAAATAAAATTTTAGGCGAAAGGCGCACTTTAAAGCAATAACTTGGCACAAAGTTTATGATACTAGAAACAATTACTATTTCGTTATTCTGCGCTGCACACGATTTTGGGATGTTTAAAACACCAGATGGCCATTTTTCGGAATTCGAACGTATAGTGGTACAGCCTTTAACGTTGTTATCTGGAAAACTTTCATTTTAAGCAGTGGAAGCGTCTGGATTTGGATCTAAAAGGAGAAAAAAATTAGCATACTAAGGGCATACATCGCAAAAAATCTTGTGGGAGTGTACGTTTGAAAATGACTTTTGTGTGTTTGATAGAAAAACTCATAATTTTGCTGGCACGCATTTTTTTTGTCCTCTATCATTTTTTGAACTGACTATTTTCACATCCTTCACAAAAGCTGGGGGGAGAGGATTGGTATAAGTACATATTAATAAATTTATTTTATGAACTTTTCGGACATTAATACCTGCAAATGCCTCATGCATATTGGCTTCAAGTAAATCAGGCGAAGCTACAGCCTTTGGTGCTGATCTAAAAATGGCAAGAAATACGAAACATGGAAAAAATACTGCAATTGATATAAATAGGTCATTCATTTCTGCGCGTAAATGAAGAAAATTCAAAATTATAGTTGTACAATTCAATAGCCGACTTACAATAATACGATAAAAATTTATAGTGTGTTGGCATAGATGTTCAAAAAATCATGCATTTGTAACAAATCATATGAATTAGATCTAGAAAAAATAACTTGTAGCTAATAATTGCATGCGTTTAATTATTCAATCAATTTAAATGCCATCTAAAACCAGTTTCACCCAAACATACTAAATAAGGTTTGTGTGTTTTGCAATACATTACTCTATATACGTAATTCTATTTCACTTACATCATAATTACAATAGACTGACGGCTTCCATCTGAAAATCCACACCTTTTGAATCTTGAACACAACCAATTATATAAAAATGAACATTAACTTTTACGTGCACCAGAAAAAAAATGCAAAACCAGGTGAGGAAAGTCTGTGATAACTAGTTCTGCAGCCATGACAACTTCAGTTTAAGCACGCTCAGAATTATCAGCGTAAAAGAACACGATCCAGAATTACACAAGAAAAAGAACATGAATTGATGGCATTTTTCTACCATTCATTCCTCATATTCATTTTTTTTCCACAGGCATGTATTCCGGCAGCACTCTCGATGGCAGCGTTTTTGACTTACAGTCAAAGGTACAAACTGAAAACGTAATCCATGACATTCATGGCAGAAAACGATAATGGACAAAAAGAAATGCACACATACAAAATTATCAGCAACATGTTCCATTCTTGAGAACTGTGCAAATGATGTTATTTCACTGAATTATGGGGGCCTTTCACTGTTTTTGAAGTAGTTTGTCAGCAAATTTGAGTTCAACTGTACTCTTAGATCATACCCATTTTCTGCGCATCTTTCACATCGAAGTAGAAGGGAAACTCTTCGTCAAGATTAATTATTAAGCGTTGCGAATTATCTGTCCAGCTTCAGTCAAAATCTTGATTTCTCGTACCGAAAACGTTGGAGTACCCCGATCAATGTCTCGCATTCGTGTATTGGCAATCAGTTCTACTTTTATTTTATTGAGATCAGGGTGACGTATTCTTGACATAAGTGTTAGTTTTATTTGAAGTAACATTCTAGTTAATTACTGATAATAATATTCCATAAACCACATACGGCATACGGTAATGTGAACTAAAACATTTTGAGTACGTATATCATTTTTTCAGCAGTAAAGTTGTAATTTGTGTCTCGTATGTCTTCGTTAAAGCATTCAATATAATATTTTTCATTCACGCTGTACTGAATTTATCAATATATTCAACAATATGCAATTGTTGTAACTCACAGATAACATCTTTTGCAATCTTAAGCTGCAACTTTGATGAAAACTCGTCAACGGTGTATGTGGAATCCAAATGACTTCCTCGAGGGAATTAATTTCCGTTAGGAAAATGGTAAAAAATCAAAACAGACACATTCCAGCATTATTGCAGTTGTTTCGACACAAACCATTTTTCATTGACCAACGTTTTTAACGTAATTTCAATAGCACGAGTATTTGATATCATGTTCACACCAATTTGCTCTTGGCTTGAACCATAGCTCGCATTTAGAATTAGAATCAAAAGATGCTGGTCCATTTTCATCTTGTTCAGGTAGATCTTTTCATTTGAATTAAGGCAAACCCGCATTTAAAGTTTTAAACGATCATTTTAAACAAGGCACAGTTGGCAGGGATAATGACATTTTGTAATAGAAGAGTTCTAGCAACGAGTGATTACAACAAAATAGCACTTGTATACGTATGTAGACACTTGTGCAAGAGAAATATGATGTGAGATGACAATATTAAGTTCTGTAAGAAATTTATAAAAAACAGACATTCGTTTACCTAACAAAAGCATATGGACATCAAACAAAGGGACTCTCTTGGAAAATTCGACCTCAAAATCGGTTGAAAATTGCGTAAAATTGATCATTTGCATTGGGTGTGGAAATTTTTTAGCCATGTCTTGTCGATATAATATGTGATGACAATTGTAGCACAATCATTGCAATTTTTGTTATTGCCTTCTCTTTGCATGATCAAACATTGGTTCATAATTAAAATTTTCTATTATCACTTTGTATCATCATAGACCCGTAAAATAAAAAGAAAACTGCGTGCAAAAAGTATCGCGTATTATACGTACATCGTATAGTAAAATAATTTTCCCTTCGTTCCATAGAATAATTCGTCATTTGACGAATGATGATTGCGCATGCATACATAATCAGTATATATGTTACATGTATCATACGCGAATCAAATTATTATGGCATGATACGCGTAGCGTGTGTATGTTAAGAAATACGCAAGCGGTACTGTAGCAATAACAATTGATAGAACATGGGTGAAAAGAGGGCATAGTTCCCTTTATGTGGTATTGTCTCGGCTTTGTCATGGAAAACTGGAAAATTGCTTGATCACAGCATTATGTCAAAGTTTTGTCACGAATACAATTGCTGGGAAAATAAAGAAGACAGGTCTTTACAAGATTATTTTCAGTGGAAAGCCAATCATTTTTGCAATCAAATACACAAGAGTTCATCCATCAGCATGGAAGTTCAAGAAACATCAGAGATTTTCTCACGTTTGATTTCTATGTCACAATGATTGCTGATGGTGATTAAAAAAATCATGCAAGTGTGGTAGCAAGCAAACCTTGTGAAGAAGTTGCGATTGACAAAGAAAAATGTGTTAGACATGTTGAAAAAAAATGGGTAGACGGGTAAGAGATCTAAAGCACAGTTATCTAGGGAAAAAGCTGAGTGATAGAAAGAGTATTGGAGGTAGACAAAGACTTACAGTCCATCTTATTGACTTGTTCCAAAAGCACGTACTATGGCAAGAGAATAAGAACAACAAAGGAAACAAGGAGGGATAAAAAAAGACAGATTTGGTCAATTTTATATCAGACTGTTTCGTCTCCCGAAAATTCATAACATGAGTTTTGGCCTGAAGGAGAGGATTCTTGGTGTGGCTGGCAGAGAGACAAAGAAACAGGGAACAGACTTATGAACATAAAACACTTTTGCCTAAGTTTATTGTGTATCATTGACAAGAGACGAGTTGTAAAAGAGATGTCTCGCTAGAGCAACTCGGAACAAAAATGAATCTTTGAGCTCAGTGACTGCAGCCTTCTTCCAAAGAAAAATTTGCTGGTTTGGCATCTGTAGAAACAGCATGTGCCGTTGCTGTTGCTTGTTTTAATGATAGTGCACACGGTATAACAAGCATCGTGAGAAAGCGCGGTTTGAACCCAGGAAAATATTGTTTGCTATCGGTTCAAAGGGAAGATAAAAACAGGAGTTGGCACTTCAGAAAAAAATCAAGAGAAGGTGCATTGCTGGCAAGACAAGAGACAAGAAACAAAAGAAAAACCCAGAAAAAGATATTTATTGAGAATGAGGGGGAAACATATGGTTATGGACTGTGTTCATGATTATTGTTGGACAACAATCTTTATTTTCATTTTCATGAAACTGTGTTTTTAAGATACGTAAGTGCGTTTTGGCAGCCATAACAGCTTGACTTTTTAGAAAATCACCTGTAAACTATACATTTTTAATTTTCGGTGCAATTAATTTGACTGTAAAATGAACTTAGCCTGTTGAACATCATCTTTGGTATGTTGATTTTTGGAATGAAAGTTCATGGTAATATTATTTATGTTGTCATGAAATAGCAATGAAACGTTAAGATTTATTGCAATAACCTTTCTTCCTACTTATTGTGTGGTGAAACTTAAATGTCTCAGTGCAAAGGTTTTTTTCAACGTCACTACACATATTTAAACTCTGCTCTCGGGCGTCGAGCACTGTTTTATACGGAGAATCATAACATATAAACTTCCTATATCATATATATATATATATATATATATATATATATATATATATATATATATATATATATATATATATATATATATATATATATAAGTTTTTTTAATCCAGGCATTGAATATAAAGATAAAGTTTCTCCGGATTTTCAAAATCCGGAGAAACTTTTATCTTTTATATATATATATATATATTTGAAAATTGGTAACCCAGGCATATTATGATAATGATAAGGATTCTCTGGATTTCACGCACGAGAATTCAAAGAGGCATGGTACCGCACGAGAATTCAAAGAGGCATGGTACAGCAAAGACAACAACACAATTAACAGACATATTGACATCCCCATCATCTATTCACAACTAAAGACAAAACCAAAACAACAAACTAATAACACAACGACTAAAATAAAACACTCGAATGTCATTAACGTAATCGATACACCCGAAACCATGACAACGCATCTTAGACCATCCAATAATATCAACTCAACTACTAACCAACCAATCAGACGCTCCAAACGCCTACAAAATCTTTGTAAATAATATATTGTCACATTCTGACGAAGGCTCGAAGCACCGAGTTGAAAGCTTAATAAAAATTTAAAACAAATCCAGAGAATCCTTATCATTATCATATATATATATTCATGTTTCCAAACGTTTAATGTTTGTTGAGGGATGTTTTTCTAGCTCATGAGTACCTTCGTGTGAATAGATTACAACATGCGTACTTGTGAAACGTGTTGTTTTGCAGATTTGTATATTTTAACATGAGATTTTAATATGACAATGTTTCCTGAAGATTCTAAGCCAATTGCATTCAACTAGCTAATGTCTAACCTTTTTAAACACAGACGGACGCGCAACTTCTAAAATTGGCTGCGCATCTTTAAAACAGGGAACAGGGAAAAGGGGAAGGGAACGGGAATGAGCAGGGAATGGACGGGGGATGAGCGGAGAATGTACTGGAAATGAACGGAGACTACAAATGACAAAACTAGATTATTAGTTGTACTTATATAAGATATATGAATCCAAAATGACATAAGTGATTTGGTTATTATTATAAATACGGTCGAACTGACTCTTTTATTGGCTAGTAAACAGTATCTACGACTTTTCCAACACAAACTGTAGATGTTTCGCCTTATAACGATGTTTGTTGCGATTTTTAACGATTCTCTACAGCCTTATTTTCATGAATTTTAATAGGCAGAAGAAGATTGGTGAACATTATAAAATGGCTTTGTAAAGTTGCTAAGGATTGAGCATTTTATGCTCGAAAAAATGTTGACCTACTTCACTAAAAGAGAGCCTATTGTATGCTCTATAAGATTTACAGACACTGATCTAACACACTCAATCAACCATTCAAGCCTTTCTTTTCACACAACTTTCATTGTAAATATCAAACTTCACAACTTTCGTTGTTAAATATCACACTAGATTACTCTGTTTGCTTTAATTAGGTTAGCCTAATTCGAAAAACTTTTTTTAATCCGGATAGCTGAATGTACAATTCATTAAGTTGTGACTGACAGGTTTGAGAGGATTTGGTTATTTATGGTTTCAGCTTTGATATCAACAATAGTATTGCCTTGAAATATTTCATTAAAATGTTATACGACGAAAGTTCTCAAAAACTTTGAAATAATTTGATTTATTCCCCGCTCATTATCGTTCATTCCCCATCTATTTCCCGTTCCCTTCCTTTCCCTTCCCCATTCCCCTCCCCTATTCCCCCTTCCCTGATAGCCTTCGAAAAATTCGCTGTAGCTGCGTAGAATAGATTAAAATGGCGTAAATTCCCATTAAAAACACAGCTCGAATACTTTACACAAAATATCTATTAGTGAGAAAATTGTTTGACTTACGATTACATATACCCATGGCGTTGGAATGGAAGCTCTCAACAAAGGAACTCGACGAAGCAAGTACAATGAAATGGCCATTTACTATCAACTTCAATTTGCTGGTCATTCCTAAAAAAAACAGTGATAGCACGGTGTTACTGATTTATATAAACATGTAACGTTTTCCATTCTTTCATGTGTTTCACGAAAGAAAAATAATTAATGTTCGCTATAATCTGATGATGGCTTTTCTCTTGTATTTTTGAATTAGGTATTTGCAGATGACTTTGAAGATAAACTCATAGTACTTGCACTTCCGCGGCTAGGGAAATGCAAGTACCAGGAACTAAGTGCAAATTACTAAGAGAATAAGAGAATCGTTTAAGCTTAAAACATTACATTTTCTTAACATTTTTCTTTCACAAGTACGTACTTTCATACTTGCTAAGAAAAGTGCTATTCCAACATAGATTGCTCTTACAAATTTCTCAAAAGCCATATGGCTTAAACATTGGAAAGATGACTACATGGGACATTTCATGAATGTGAAACAAGGCATTACTTCAGTAGCTTCTAGCGATTTACTTCAACCCTAGAGAAAATTTAGGGGGGGGGGAAAGGGTGACAATATAAAACATTTCATGCGTGTCAAATTGCTCAGATTTCGGAATATATCAGTTGATTCTAACCATTTACACTACTCCTTTCCCCACATACAGTAGAAAAAAGTTCACCCACTAACAAAAAATCACTTAAATAATTCGGCCTTTCAAAATAATTGCTCTTTTATCTCTTTTTTTAAAAACGTACGCGTGCATGCTTATGAGTAAAAGTATACCATTAGCACTACCTGAGGTATAAATAAAGATACGATGATGTGATACACTGAGCCCAAACAAAACTATTTTACGTAAATAAACCGTGATGCACCAAATACCCAGGTTATGGTAAACATTTACATAATTGTAAATTGTTACATTGGTTGCACAGGATGTAGGGTGACAGCAAGTGTATTATTATTTTATTGCTTTGTAAATTACTTTAAGAGCTTAATTTGTATTGCTGTATAAAATTACTTCAAGTGCTCAATTTTAACTTTAAATTAGCTGCATGACTATCCGTAAATCTGCCACTGATCAAAATTACAGCACACTATCAAAAACTTTCATAATCTTAATAATAATTTCCAAAGCAAACAATTCCCAAACATTTGTTTAACACGAGGTAGAAAATGAATATGGTAAACTTCCCTTTCTCAATGTCAAAATTGTTCATTGTATTGATGCTTCCACATACTTCAACAATCTTCAGTGCAGAAAGAATAGAATATATTTATTCACATACAAGTGCATGATACTTAAGATGGTCATTCCCTTTCACAATGTGAATTTTGGTTGAAATACTTAAAAAAAAGTTTTTCAGTTTTTAGATAGACATAGAACTTATTTCTTAAAAGTATTGATGAACCTCAAATAATAGTTGCTTGGCTGTTGACTTCCATGTGAATATTCCATATTTCAGCAATGAAAATGATATAAGTAATGCCACAAAGTGTTCTCCCTCCCCAAACCCTGGAGCATATTTCTTCATCAGAATAAGGGAAACACTGTAGACAGAAATACATGGTACTTGAATGCTAATTACTTCAAATTACCAGTGAAACAATTCCAAAGAGTAATGTGCCAGTACAGAAGAGTCTAATTATCCCGGCATTTTGTAATATTGCCCATTGAGAACATGAAAGACTTTATTTTTAATTTTTATGATACTACAGCTTAAGAAACAGCCGGTAACATGTTGAGCATACACAAACCAATGTAAAAAATTATTACTTTAATATGATGATCACCTTTGAAGTTTTATAACAATGTGCAAAACTCCCCCCCTGGTTTCGACATCATCACCACCACCACCCACTTAAATACACAAAGATTTTTCATATGATACCACAATACATTGACAAAATTATTTCAACATCCTCACTTGCACAGAAGAACAAATGGCTGCTTTTTCTACTGGTTTACAGTATCAAACCAAACATCACAAACATTACGCTTGTTCTCTCTGGAAAAACAAGTACATTTAAATGTCAGTAGGGGAAAAAGAATACTAAAGAATCTTCAAGCAAATAGCACCATGACAAAAGTGGCATGGGCATCATGTAAATCAGATATGGTGAAGGGGATGTTTATATATTGATTCTGAACTAAAATTTTGGCAAACAAAACAAACTTTATTCAGCAATAAAAAATACAACCACATATGAAGTACAATTTACTACAAAACAGATAATTTCATCCAACATAAAACTCATTGAAGATCCCTACACTTAAACAAAGTTCTACTCATTAACAAGTCATGTGTTGGCAAGATGCTTAGTATGCCACAATCTAGCAAAAATTCAATGAGAAGTTAAATTGTTAGGAAGCAAATCAATATCCATCATCCAATTGTTTCAATTGAAAATTTTACCCACAAATAATCTTGTTTATTTAAAAAAATTAATCCCAATCCTCCTTAGAGTAGCGGCTGATTTGTTGAACCAATCAATATAATTGAATATATGTAGTGAAATATCAGCGAACACCTAAGAACAGTCGTAAAAACGAGAGAAAGACGAATTAAGCATACAAAATTACAAATGGCAAGAAGGTTCACCAAAAGTTTTAACAACACAAAGAGCCATCTAAATCTTGTCCAAACTCTAGTAAACAAACCTTGAAATTCGCCACCCGCCACCATTCGGTAATGAAGTCTTCTAACTTACTCCAAGTTTTAGTGTTTTACTTTCGAATCAGAAAGATAAATTTAGCGGTATTACACTTCCAAATTCTTGGTTACCACATTTTTTTCTTTTGAAAGTCATTGTTACCATGACGATTTCAATTTTATCCATGATTCATCAATGAACTCTAATATAACTGGAAGGCTAACTCAATATACAAATGCCTAGACTTGGCTGAAGCCACTTAGAAGCTGATTTGCCGCTTCGCGTGTATCTCGCGTGGACTGTTTTATTTTGCGTGACGGATTGTTTTGCAAAAACTTGGTCACCTTGGTCACCTTTCTCCGCTGTGTCCTGCTCGGGTAGCGGGTCTTTGCCGGAGACCCAGTTCTATCAGACTTCTCCAGGCTGCTCTGTCCTGGGTATCCTCTTCTTTGACACCACATAGCTTCAAGTCTCTCCTGATGGTATCCTTCCACCGATGCTTTGGGCGTCCTCGTTTCCGTCTCCCCTCCACTTGCATCTCATAAACTCTCCGAATGTCTACATCTTCTTCACGCCGGCACACATGTCCGAACCACTGCAGTCTTTTTCTTCTCATCAATTCCAGTATACTCATGACATTCGCTTCTTCTCTTAAGCTTTCATTTGTTCTGTGCTCCTCCAGGCTGACTCCAAGACAATAGCGTAGCATTCTCATCTCGCATACACTGATCTTCTCTGCTAGTTGTCTGTAACAGGCCATGTTTCATTTCCATACAGAAGCACTGGGCGTATCACCGTTTTGTAAATGAGGATCTTCAGTTTCTTCGGCATCTTCTTATCACAGAGCACTCCTGTTAACTCCCTCCATTTATTCCATGCCTGGCTAATCCGTAGTTCAACCTCAGTCTTGCAACCGCCATGGATGGTGGTCCCGAGATACTTAAATGTCTCGCACTTTGGTAGATCTGTATTTCCGGGTCCAGTATATTCTCTTAGCTTGATGTTTCCTATGCAGCCAATCGGTGGGAGGTACTCCGTCTTGGCTCTACTAACTTTCAAGCCAACATCTTCTAATATTCTTCTCCAATCTTCTAGTCTTCCTTCCAGATGCTCTCTCTTCTCATCACACAAGACCAAATCATCTGCAAACAGCATACTCCAAGGTGTGTCCTCTGTCGTGTCATCCGAGATTACATCTATAATGATAATAAACAATAGGGGGGCTTAGTGCCGAGCCTTGATTTAACCCGACCTCTACTTGAATTTTCTCAGTCTCACCAACGTTCGTTGCGACACTAGTGGTAGAGCGCTTATACATATCTTTGATGGTTTCAATATAGGCCTCCAGGACTTGACGCTTCCTTAGACAGTACCATATTAGCTCCCTCGGGATTGTATCATATGCCTTTTCAAGGTCCACGAAAACCATATGCAGCTCTTTGTTGAATTCTCTATACTTCTCTTGCAGCATCCGCAGACAGAACATTGGCTCAGTGGTTGATTTTCCGCGTTGGAATCCATATTGGTTGTTCTTTATCTTCACTATTTCTCTCAGTCTCGCCTCTATCACTCTCTCAAATAATTTCAGTGAGTGGCAGAGGAGTTTAATGCCTCGATAGTTTCCACAGATTAGGGGATCACCTTTCTGTTTGTAAAGGGGCACTATTCTGTTTTATTCTCCATTCTTCTGGTATTCCTGTCTTCATTATTTCTCTGCAGCATGATGTCATCCACTCTGTTCCTGTGTTTCCCAATTTCTTCACTAGTTCGATGAGGAGCTCATCCGGTCCTCTTGCTTTATTGTTCTTCATCTTCTTGAGTTGTCTTCTCACTTCATCTTCCGTAATCTCTGGTACTGGCCCATGGACTGGTTCAAGATGGTCCAGTTCTTTCCTGTTGTTCTTCGTGTTCAAAAGTCTATCAAAATATTCCATCCATCGCTCTTTGATTTTCTCATCTTCGCTCACGATCTTTCCCTGCTCTTTGACAAAGTGATCTTTTGCTCTTCTCTGTCGAGTTTTAGCTAACTTGTAGATTCTTTTCGGTCCGTTTTGCTCCAGATCTTTGTATAGTTGCTCCTGACCTTTCTCTCTAACAATCGCACACTTTTCTTTACTGATCTTGTTCATTTCTCTCAGAGTCTCCCTGTCTTCCTCCAAACCAGATCTCTTCCATCTCTTAAAAGCTTCTTTCTTCTTCTTCACAGCCTCTTGTACTTCTTCATTCTACCACCAGGATTCTTTTTCTATGTATTTCCCGCCTCTACTAACTCCCAGTGTCTCCTTTGCTGCTTTTAGTATATTGGGGTATGTTTCATTCCATTTCCAATCTCCCACCATGCTTTGTTCCATTAGCATTTCTGTGATCTTACTTTCCAGCTCATCTCCTTCCTCATTATGTAGTTTCCACCAGTTGATCTTCTTCGGTCTCTCTCTTCTTATTCTTCTCCTCTTCTTGATCTTACAATCCATCACAACGAGTATATGCTGCAGTGCAATTTCCTCACCAGGGATAACCTTACAATTTTTAACATCGCCTAGGTCATCTCTCCTTATCATGATGAAATCTATCACGGTCTGGCTAAGGCCACTTTTGTACGTGTAGGTGTTTCCATCCCTCTGTGTGAAGAATGTGTTTACCACTGCGAGGTCCTTGCTCCTTGCATAGTCCAAGATCTTATCTCCTTCTTCATTTCTTCTTCCGATTGACTTTCCTCCATGACATCTCTCAAATCCCTCTACTCTCTCTCTTCCGATGTGCCCATTGAGATCTCCTACCACAATCAGCTGTTCTGTTTCCTTCACATTGGTGGTTACTTCTTCAAGTTGGTTCCAAAATCTCTGCTTCTCGTCTTCTTCACAGAATTGCTGAGGTGCATAGGCAGTCACGATGTTGAACGTCTTTTCAGGTGTTACAAGTTTCATAGTTATGATTCTATCGGACTTTCTCTGGGTCTCTATCACTTTATCTTGCCATTCCTCACTCAGGCATATAGCCAGTCCATTCTTTGGCTTTCCTCCTCCGCTGTAGTACAGCTTGTAGCTCTCTCCGATGTTTCTTGCCTTCCCTCCTGATTTCCCACCAGTCCATCTTGTCTCTTGTATGCATAGTATGTCGATCCTCCTCCTCTTCATCATGTCTGCTATTTCTCTGCTCTTTCCAGTCAGCGTCCTGATGTTTAGGGTCACAACTCTCAAGTTCTTCTGTCTCGCTTGCATTCTTTTCACAGCGTCAAGACAGTAGTGCCGCTGCGCATCGCTTACGGGGTATGCCCTAGCATTGTCTTCTCTTCTGATTGTCTCCGGCATATTATCATGTGGCATATTCTTTTAAGGACCGGATGCTCTTCCTGACGTCCACCTTCTGTGTTTATCCGGGCTTGGGACCGGCTGTCTGCTGCACTGGCTTGTCCAGCATCCAGGCCACATTATTGTTTTGCAAAAACTGCTAACTTGGAAATAGAATACTAGCCTAAATGATTTATTTTTTCAAAACCGTTTGCAAAATTTGGTTATTAATGTGTTAAGATGCATTGTGGACGTTCCTAGACATGTTTGTATACGTAACGCTGTATTACATAAAACATAAAGTGAGAACTTGCGTCGAAATATGAATTTCTCATTTGTCGTCGAAAGACCAAAAATTTAAGATAAAACTGATAACAGGTAGTCTGTAGCTTTGAATGCTGTGCAAAATACACACAATCCGCTTAATATAACATGTTTCATAACAATTTTATTGCTTTTAAAGTTAGACCTGCTTTGTAAAAATTTCACATGCTCTTTTTGTAATGTGTAAAAGTGATGATTTGAAATTTTGAACTGTGGGTGATTGTTGGTTCTTGTCATTTACTTCTCCCACTTCTTAAAAACTGGTGGAATATTTGACATGCATCCATATTTGTGTATTGAGCATTTTATCAGCAAGCCCATGCTTATAAATAAATAGCCAAGTGTACAACATCACAAGTATTGCTAATATAACCAGCTCTACATAAATGCCAAAAAGCAACCCTTATCATCAGTGGTTTGAACCAGGGTTTTAAAATGACTATAAAGCAAGTAAAGCTATATCATTTATCAAAATTTTATAGTATATCATATTGATTGTAAAATCAGTTTTTTCTTGTAATACAGATTATGATGAATGTATATACAATGTATTATATTTTAGGATATGTGTTTAAAATGTTTGGTCATGTTTGTGAAAATATATGATGATCTATAATATTAGACTAATAATCTTTTTCATACTTCTATTACATTACAATTTTTGCTTAAGCGTTTCAAAAGTTATGAATATGGAGTGTAATTTGTGTTTTTGTCTTTTTTTAAGTGGGTATTGACCCTTTTTTAATATTGTCTCTTTAATGGTGCATCTAATAATAACACAATAGTATGGCATAACAGTCTTTTTTAAACGAACTCAAAATATTTTTTGCTAACTTTTTGAAATATTTTGCAAAGTGTTTTTTTTTGTTTACGCTCTGAACTATCACAAAGGACTGGGGCGAGCTAATTTTGCTTGGAAACACAAAAATTACCGAAAAACAGCGTTTTTTGCCCCAACAGCTTCATTTTCAAAGATTCAAACAATATTATAAGGATAGACAAGTGTATTCTACATCCATATAATGAAAAAGAAAGAGGGGTGTCAGTTTTGTATTCAATTTATAAGGCATGTTTTCACGTGCCAAAACAAAGTTCGCTTTTCATCCTTCTAAAAAGAAGCTTAAACATGTACAAATGTCGTTCAAACTTGTTTTATATTAAAGTTCAAACATTGTTTAAGGTTTTTAGACATTAAGCTGGCTTGAATTGCACTGTTTTGTGCAAAAAATCCGGCAATATCGAAGTGATGTATTTTGCCTCCGTACCCTCAATGGCGGCGATCATGCAGGCCTCAAAGATGGCGTCCAAGTTAGCTTTCCAGTTGTTGTAAAGTTCACTGTGATGCATTTAGATCTTTCCACCAGATATGCCATTGAACTAAAATACGTTTCCGTGCCTCAAGCATATAATTGAAGCCATGTCTTACGCCAAACACGCGAGGTTTTACCCCAGAAAACACAAAGAACAAAAATGGGGATTTAACCCCCCTGAAATAAATTTTATCAGATTTTCATTATTTTCCCCAAAAGACTATATGTCATGCATTTGAACACATTTTTCACAAGAAAAAAAACTTTTACAAAAAAATCGATTCCACCCTCCTGAAATAAATTTTATCAGATTTTCATTATTTTCCCCAAAAGACTATATGTCATGCATTTGAACACATTTTTCACAAGAAAAAAAACTTTTACAAAAAAATCGATTCCACCCCCCTGAAAATGAATTTTATCTTACTTTCATATTTTCATCAAAAGACTATAATTCATGCGTTTGAACACATTTTCCACAACAAAAAGAACTTTTACAAAAATAGGGATTCTATCCCCCCTGAAATAAATTTTTTCACATTTTTATGTTTTCACAAAAAGACCATAATTCATCAATTTAAACACATTTTCCACAAGAAGAAGAACTTTTACAAAAATAGGGATTTCCCACCCCACCCTGAAATAAATTTTATCATATTTTCATTATTTTCACCAAAAGACTATAATTCATGCATTTGAACACATTTTCCACAACAAAAAGAACTTTACAAAAATTGGGATTCTACCCCCCTGAAATAAATTTTATCATATTTTCATTATTTTCACCAAAGACTATAATTCATGCATTTAAACACATTTTCCACAACAAAAAGAACTTTACAAAAATTGGGATTCTACCCCCCTGAAATAAATTTTATCATATTTTCATTATTTTCACGAATAGAATATAATTCATTCATTTGAACACATTTTCCACAACAGAAAGAACTTTACAAAAATTGGGATTCGACCCCCCTGAAATAAATTTTATCATATTTTCATACTTTAACAAAAAGACCATAATTTCCAGAATTTGAACACATTTTCCACAACAACAAGAATTTTAACAAAAATTAGGATTCTACCCCCCTGAAATAAATTTTATCATGTTTTCATTATTTTCACCAAAAGACTATAATTCATGCATTTAAACACATTTTCCACAACAAAAAGAACTTTACAAAAATTGGGATTCTACCCCCCTGAAATAAATTTTATCATATTTTCATTATTTTCACGAATAGAATATAATTCATTCATTTGAACACATTTTCCACAATAAAAATAACTTTACAAATATTGGGATTCTACCCCCCTGAAATAAATTTTATCATATTTTCATTATTATCACCAAAAGACTATAATTCATGCATTTAAACACATTTTCCACAACAAAAAGAACTTTACAAAAATTGGGATTCTACCCCCCTGAAATAAATTTTATCATATTTTCATTATTTTCACCAAAAGACTATAATTCATGCATTTAAACACATTTTCCACAACAAAAGAACTTTACAAAAATTGGGATTCTACCCCTGAAATAAATTTTATCATATTTTCATTATTTTCACGAATAGAATATAATTCATTCATTTGAACACATTTTCCACAACAGAAAGAACTTTACAAAAATTGGGATTCAACCCCTGAAATAAATTTTATCATATTTTCATACTTTAACAAAAAGACCATAATTTCCAGAATTTGAACACATTTTCCACAACAACAAGAATTTTAACAAAAATTAGGATTCTACCCCCCTGAAATAAATTTTATCATGTTTTCATTATTTTCACCAAAAGACTATAATTCATGCATTTAAACACATTTTCCACAACAAAAAGAACTTTACAAAAATTGGGATTCTACCCCCCTGAAATAAATTTTATCATATTTTCATTATTTTCACGAATAGAATATAATCCATTCATTTGAACACATTTTCCACAACAAAAAGAACTTTACAAAAATTGGGATTCTGCCCCCCTGAAATAAATTTTATCATATTTTCATTATTTTCACCAAAAGACTATAATTCATGCATTTAAACACAATTTCCACAACAAAAAGAACTTTACAAAAATTGGGATTCTACCACCCTGAAATAAATTTTATCATATTTTAATTATTTTCACGAATAGAATATAATTCATTCATTTGAACACATTTTCCACAACAAAAAGAACTTTACAAAAATTGGGATTCAACCCCCCTGAAATAAATTTTATCACATTTTCATATTTTAACAAAAAGACCATAATTTCCAGAATTTGAACACATTTTCCACAACAACAAGAATTTTAACAAAAATTGGGATTCTACCCCCCTGAAATAAATTTTATCATGTTTTCATTATTTTCACCAAAAGACTATAATTCATGCATTTGAACACATTTTCCACAACAACAAGAACTTTTACAATAATAGGGATTCCCCACCACCCTGAAATAAATTTATCATGTTTTCATTATTTTCACCAAAAGACTATAATTCATGCATTTGAACACATTTTCCACAACAAAAAGAACTTTACAAAAATTGGGATTCAACCCCCCTGAAATAAATTTTATCATGTTTTCATTATTTTCACCAAAAGACTATAATTCATGCATTTGAACACATTTTCCACAACAACAAGAACTTTTACAATAATAGGGATTCCCCACCCCACCCTGAAATAAATTTATCATGTTTTCATTATTTTCACCAAAAGACTATAATTCATGCATTTGAACACATTTTCCACAACAAAAAGAACTTTACAAAAATTGGGATTCTACCACCCTGAAATAAATTTTATCATATTTTGGAAGGATGATTACTACCATCGAGGTAGTCTGGTAGATGTAGGGAGAGCGATAAGCTGGGGATAGGTCATATTTACATATATATGCTATAATGCGTAGCAAGAAATGGATTTCAGGGAGACTTTATACTATGTATCGTGCATATGCATATATATATAACGTGTATAACAATGTGCCCCCCCGGTTATCACCATAGTGCAATGGTGGCATGACCTTCCCCCTCCCAATTATTGATTTTGGTACACCCGAGGCTAGTAGTATGGTTGCAAACTAGATTCGTTCTATTAACGATTATTGATCTAACTGTAAATGACAGCAGAAAAATGTTTTTGCCACTGACATAGTAAATTCTCAATACTTAAGATTTTCATTTTTCAAGAGCGGGAAGGAGGGGTTTTATGTTTACATTGCCTATTTTTAAAGCGTATTTTAGCCAATCATCGTTCTGTATTAACGAATTTTACATAGTAACGACATGAGTGATGAGTACCGTTACATTTATTTAAAGGTAGATAGTCCTGGCTTTTGCAATCACAAAAAGGACTGTTTGTGTTTGTACTGACTGACGCCAGAATCACGTGACTTCGATAATGACTACGGTTCAGGATGTTGAATCGTCAATCAACATTAACAGTTCTTCTCATGTCAGAACTCCTCTAAACTTGAACGGCTGACTTCTACAAACATTTAACATGACTGACATGAATCAGCCAAATTTATACATTTAAAAAAGTATCTTGATTTCGTCGAAAAGTGCAACTAATCTCAACTTTTTTTACTCTCAATACATTCAGATTACTTGACTCGTCAACTGATAGCTAAACGTGAGAACGAAACGCATCTTGAAGAGAAGTTAGCCGAAGCGAATAGAGATCGTGAATTGGTGGAACAGAAGGTAAAAGATCTACAACTTCGTTTGAAAAGATTTGCGAAGGATGACAAGGCGAAAGACCACAAAATGCGACAAATAGAACGCGAGTATAAAGAGCTTGAGAATCAGATGCAGAGGATCGAAGAATCTCTTGATTCTAAAGGTAAGAACAACAATGAAGGCGAAAGTATAGAATCGGTTAACGGGCGTCAAAAGAAGAATTCAACAAAAGTATGTATTTTGCTTTAAGTTGTACATATTATGCGTACGATCGTTCTTCCGAGTTTTTCTTGTTAAAATTAGCGTTATAACAAAAAAGGCCAATGTGTTTGTGTACTTGTCTTACTTAGAAGATTTTTTATTAAAAAAACACGACTCGATGTCTATAAATACTAAATTTATGATGACAGCGATTGCTGTTGGTTTACTCCAAGAACTTTCGCTTCTTTGACGTGTTCATATAAGGCTTTAGCCTCCATTCCACGTCGGCCTCTGATTGGTCCACTGTTCCCAAGCGAATTTCGTAAACTGTAACATCAAAACATACACAATGCTTAAAACGTTCCAGCAATGCAACTTTGAACTGCGCGAAAAAGAATGCGACAATCACGAATTCTATTTAGTAGCCTTTCATTTCAAATCTTGGTCCAATCTCGGAGAGTTCGATGTTTCACCAACTCTTTTATAACTATGATGTCTGAAAAAAGAACTTACTTATTCGCATAAAGCTTGAAATTTTGTTTGCCGGCCTATTATGAAAGTTGCGTTTGCCAACCTGAAAGAAATGTAGTCGTCTTGATTGGCGAAGGTTACAACTCTCTTGCTTTCGTCCTTTGGAACAGGAAATAAATATTTCAAAATGTTTTTGACCTGAAAGTAGAATTCATAAAAAACTTAAAGTTTTTAATCATAACTTGGATCTGTAAATTGTATATCCACAGAAAACCTTAGATATCCCTTAAACAGTAAACACATAAAACCATATGGATAACTAAAGATGCCCTTAGATATAGCCATAACGACAGAAAATCAGAAATAACCACATTTATCCTAAGATAACTACAGTTATCCATGGATAACCACAGATAACCATATCCACAGTTATTTATGGGTAACCACAGATAACCATATCCATAGTTTCCATGGATAACCAGAATTAACCACGGATAACCAAAGATAAATAGCAATAGATAACAACAGATAAATTGATTACCCTTTCTCCAAATTTTGATGAGCACTTGTGAAAGATTAAGTGCGGATAAACCTCTGACATGATTCCAATATTTGGGATGTCATGTCCCATAACTGTGTTTGACAACGTAAGTAGGCAGTTGGTCCATAGGGAAGACGACACACAACAAGACCATCTTGAAAAGTAATTGTTTTAAGGTTTAATAGCTTATAGTTAGGGTATTGCACTTGGAAATGCTGATCTTCAATGCTAGGAGGTAGGCAATACGTGTGTAATATGAAGTTGGCAATAGGTGTGTGATATGAAGTTGGCAATAGGTGTGTATTATGAAGTCGGCAATAGGTGTTTGATATAGGGTTGGCAATAGGTGTGTAATATGAAGTTGACAATAGGTGTGTAATATGAAGTTGGCAATAGGTGTGTAATATAAAGTTGGCAATAGGTGGACTTAACGGAAGATAGACTTAACGAAAGTATTTTAGAGCAAGATCACCGATCGTCCTTAATCAATCTCACTTCAGAAAGATATTTTACCTTAAAACTGTTTACTTACAGTAAACGCTACAATGAAAGTGTAGTTACAGGGGGACAACCCAGCATTCGCCTTCAGCTCACAAAGCTTTTTTTGTTTCAAACCAGTGAATGAATTTGGATAAAGTTGCATAAGAAGAGTTAAATAAAACATAGATGTTTCGGCTGTTTGTTATCAATAACTTGAGATTCATCTTGATTATGAAGTTGTGATCGCCCCAGAAACGGAAAACCATCCATACACTTATCCACCGAAGTTTCATTGTAACTTTAATTTTCTTTCGGAGAATCTACACGCTATTATACTGAAAAAGAGCTATATTTTTCAAGAAAAGAAACATCCTAGAAAACATTTAGGTCAGCCATGCCGCTTTGATCGAAACGAAATTCGGAACCCGGAAAGCTTTTCAAATGCACGCGTGACTCTTGCAAAGAGCCAAATTAGCTTCAAACTGGCTTCACCCAATCATTAGGCTTTTATATAGAGTTATCGTTCCAGTCTACTTACAGTTCACTGTTGCACTCATAGATATAATAGAACCTAGATTGCTAACGCATATCGCGCGGCCGTAGCAAATTGAACATTCCAAAATGAAGTTTTTTGCAATTTTCATGGTCGTACCCTTTCCATGCTAGTTCTAGCCACTTTTTTGAGAAATGGGATGACATTGCGGAGTTTTTGTGTGTAAATTTGGATGCATTTAAGTAATAACGAGACAAATATCGCTCCGTCAAATTTTTACCAAGTGAGAGAAATACCAAGTTTGGTTTATTGCGAACTTTTGAAAGGTGATTGGTCCTACAAAACTGTTGATAATTCATAATCATAATAATTGAAAACTTTGCGGTTTAAATCACTTCTAATCAAAATCATCATGCCTAGAGCTGCTAAGCAAAAACGAGAAAAGGAAAAAGAGCTTGTAGAAACAGCTAAAAAGATGCGAAAACTGACAAGTTTTTTTAGTAGTGCTCCAGCAGAGAACGTTGTTGACCAAAACATCGACTCTGCCGTCAGCTACAGAAACTCCATCAACGTGTTTATCTCCTCATTCTCATTCCAAACCAAAATTCAGTTATTCTGACTCTACACCGTCTTCAAAGATACTAGCCGCGCCGCCGACCGAGCCAGTTCACACGCCTTCTCAAAACCTAACGTATGCGTCTTTGCCAAGTTCCACGACTTCCGCCCTATTGGTAGGACCTATGCAAATTGAGTCAACGGAATGTTTGCTAGGAGTTGATTGTAAGCGTTTGTGCTGTACAGGCCGACAGCCTTACCATCCTACCCTAGAAGAAATAAAGCACACGTCTAGAAAGCAAACCAGTACAGGAGGATCGTCGAATGTACGAACTTGTCCGTCTTCTATATTTTTGATATACATGGGTGACATACTGCATGACAAAAAGCACCATTGCCTGATACTTCTGTAAAAGAGCGATGCGTCAAGACCTTATTACTTTCAGTCATAATGGTGAAAAAGCTTTTCTCCTAGGAGAATTCAGCGACTGGAAGAAGTGCCGAGAAAAACTTAAAAAACACTCCCAGTCTAAATTTCACGCAGAGGCGACTGAGAAAGTTTTATTATCTGATGATTCGAGAAGAGATATTGGAGCGATATTGGTCAGTGAATGGAAGAAAACCCAGGAAACTCGAAGAAGAATGTTGCTAAAACAACTAAGTAGTATAAGGTATTTGGTACGCCAAGCCCAAAGTTTGCAAGGTAAAACTGAACTTGAGAGTAACTTGCAACAGTTGCTAAAATTAAGAGCAAAGGATGTACCTGATTTGTTGGATTGGATTGACAACGGAAGATATCTCAGTCACGACATCATAAACGAGTTGATTAATATGATGAGCAATGCAGTCCTGAGATCTATAGTGGCAGACATCCGTAAGGAATCACAATTATTTAGCCAAACTGCAGACGAGTCTAGAGACATAAGCAACAAGGAACAACTAACATGTGTTTTGCGCTGGATACCTAGAACCGACTTGTCCGTCCACGAAAATTTCCTCGGAATGTACGAGCTAGAGAAAACCGATGCTAAAACAATCACCACTTCGCTGAAGGACATTTTGTTGCGATGCAGTTTGACGATAGACGACTGTCGATGGCAAACATATGATGGAGCAGCAAATATGGCTGGAGGCAGAAGTGGGGTTGCTGCCCGAATATCTTCAGAGAATCCTCACGCCCTGTACATTCATTGCGGTAACCACAGTCTTGACTTGGCTTTGCGTGATTGTGTAAAGGAGAGCTGGATTATCAGCGATACGTTGAAGGCGCAATACCAGCATATTGCCAAAGAGATTGAAGACAGCGGCACGCAATATGAGAATCTGCATTTGCTGTGTCCAACTCGATGGACAGTAAGAACCAAAGCCATCTCGGCTGTCTTGCACAATTACGAGGCCCTCTACTCTGCATTACTTAGCATTGCCAAAGAATCTTGCAAGTCCACCGTTCGTGACACAGCATCCGGTATGGCTAGCCGATTGAAGAAGTTTTCCTCGTACTTTGGTTTAAGTTTTGCGCAGTATATCTTCAGCGTGTGTGAACAAGTAGCAACTACCTTACAGAAGCCTTCAATAGCGGCACAAACAACTGTTACTTGCATAAATGCCTTAAATACAACCTTGCAGCGTCAACGAGACAACTTCTCTTTGTTTTACGACCAAGTAGTTGCTTCAAGCAAGGCTATCAACTTTGTAGGCGATCCAACACAACCAAGACCGAAGAAAGTCCCGTGGCGACTTCAACACGGAGATGGCGAGCAACATCATTTCCAAACTGCGAAAGACGCCTACCATGGCCAGTATGTTGAGGCAATTGATGCGTGCTTGGCTTCACTACAGGAGCACTTCGATCAAAAAACATATTCTGTATTGATGAATATCGATACCGTGCTCATTAATGCAGCAAACGGGCGTAAGTTTGAGTTGAATGATGAAGTTGAACACCTTTACGAAAATGATCTCGACTTTGACCAGCTGAACGCGGACTTAAAGCTTCTTGAAGAATTATCTCGCAGCGACTTCCAGAAGAAAAGAAGGTGACATCAATTGACACCATAACATCAATATTCTCAACCGAAGAAAATAACTCATCGCAGATTGTCATGGCAATGTCTAATGTTGCCCGACTCTTGCAGATTTACCTTCTTGCTCCAATGATCGCAACCTCTGGAGAACAATCTTTTTCATGCCAGCGGCTTGTCAAGACACATCCCAGGAGCACAATGACGGCAGCACGCTACAATAATCTTATTGTTATGCATGTAAACAAGGCCAGAACTGACGAACGCGACTTACGTTTAATAGCTAAGGATTTTGTTCTGAAAAACGAACGTAGGGTTAGATTTATTGGGAAATTTTAATGAGATCGCATTACTTAACAAAATTGTTCATGTAGTCATCTTAGTTCAATTTGTTAGCACGCACGCCGAGCAGTAGAGAATACGCATAGCATTCTAGAATGTCTACCAATATTTTGTAGACTCTGAAACTTAATCATGATTCATGAAACAATGCATATCTGTAATATACCTAAACAGTAAGCTGCAAACTCACATGCCCTTTTCGGTCAGTGCCCCGCCATTTTTGAGATACTTCCGCCGACCCTGGGTACAAGGACGGAAAATACGAAAAACCTCGTTTTCGTAATACAAATTATAGTTTTTTTGCCCGCTTGAGCCGCCATCTTGGAATGTTCAATTTGCTACGGTTGCTACGTTTAGCTTGTATATACGTCAGCAATCTATTTTTATTATATCTATGGTTGCACACTGATCCCATATATTGAATTTGTTACTTCCGGCAATGTTTTGTAAAAACTAATATGATTTGATGAATTCGGTAGAAGCTCGCTCAGTCGATCGGTTACTGATGAGGAATGCAATGCGGGGCTTCCACGTTCGGTTCGTGTGCAGGGAATATTTGATAGTTTAAATTTTTTTATTAAATTTTCAGTTTAATAACACAAAAATATCGGGTAAGGGTTAGGATAAGGGTTAGGGTTAGGGTTAGGGTTAGGTTTAGGGTTAGGGTTAGGGTCAGGCAATAGTTTCTCTTCAAATAGCTGCAAATTCAATATGGCGGACTGGGTGCAAGCAGTGACTTAGAACCCAGTCTTCTAAATGTCAAATTACCGTGTCAAGGTGAGGCCATTGAACAAAATAGATGGAAGGCTACCTTAGTCCTTATTTTTAAGCTATTAGAGCCGAGTCTTTCTACGCATTTGTAAACACACGGCCACAAGACGGAACCGTAAATTAACTTGTACAAACTATGAATCTCTAGAACAAAATTTGGAAAAATTTAACTTTAAAATTTTAAACTTAACACCAAGTATACACAACTTTTTGTCAATTACATTTTTGAATATTAATCCATAGCCAAGCATAACTAAAAGGAATTTTGCTGTTGTTGTTGATTTTATTATGTCTGCTAATGTGCGAAAAACTGAAGCGTGTTTGTTTTGAAGTAGCATAAAAACGCTCAAAAGAATTCTAAGCAAACATTAGTTTTGTAAATGTATTTTTACCCAAAACAATTATTTTTAATGTTTTTCCGTGGACGTACAAATTTACAAAAAACAAAATTTTTAGTTAAACATACACGAGATTTGGGAGGTCACATCCTCCCAAACTATTAAGGCTTCTAAAGATTTGTGTACATACAAGTAATTCATGGGAAGCGTGTATATTATTGAATACTTCTAGTTGAATCCTTTTAAAATAAACAAGTACTTGCTGAAATGTTTCCGATTTGTATAAATTGAGCGATCAACGATGTCATTGTTTTTCACAATTTCCACACTTTGATATTTTCCATTTCGAAATAGGTTTTTAATAGGAAGCATCTTAATTGACTGAATAAAGGTTAAGCCCCATAACTTTTATGCCACAATACTTTTAGGCATTTATTTTTTCAATAAAATCAGAAAAAGGTTTCGGTAAAAACATGTTTCTTTAACAAATCTCGCGTAACGTGTTGCTTTGCGCCTGCAATACACGTAAATTGACTTCCAGACACGCATGTCTGTAGGTCAAATTTGGCTTCGAATATTTATTGGGCTTTTTTATTACAGGTAGCCTTCCATCTCTTATAGTTCAATGGGTGAGGCAAAGGATTTAAAGGTGGCAAAATGTAAAACTCAAAATGAAAAGTAAGTTAAAACAAAGCTTAATAAAACCAATTCTATCAGACATTTAACGAATTAAACCTAGACCATTAACTTTGTAACTCTATATCAATTCATCAAAAGCAGATATTAGTCGTAAATATCGTCAGTTTTGCCACCTTACAAGATGGCGGCTTGCCTTACTCATTACTATACAATATTATTGGAGTGAGATATCTAGTACATTGGGTTCTAAGTTATTAGGTGCAAAGCATAGAACTAAATTGATGGAAGGCTACCTCAGTCAATATTTTGAAGCCAGTAGAGCCTAGTCTTTCCACGCATTTGTAAACACACGGCCGATAGACAGAAGCGTGAAATAACTTGAACAAACTACGAAGCTTCAAAAATAAAACACAAATTCTTTTTTGTCTTGATTTGGCAAACAAAACTTTCACAAATGAGACTTAACACCAAGTATGCACAAGTCTTTGACAATTACATATTTGTAAAGGAGGCCATAGCCAACCATAACTATAAGGCATTTTGCTGTTGTTGTTTGTTTCGGTATGTCTGCCAATGTTCTAAAAACTAAAGCATTTTTTTTCAATGTAGCACACAAATGCACATAAAATTTGAAAAAAAACATCAGTTTTGTAAATGTATTTTTATCCAAAACAATTGTTATTAATGTTTTTCTGTAGAAGTATAAATATACAGAAAAACACAATTTTTAGATCAAACTTACACGAGGTTTGGCTTTAAAAGAATAATTAGATAATATATAATACTCGTCACCTACTCCCAAACTAAAGGCTTCTGTAAATAAGTGTACGTACAAATATTTCATAGAGAAGCATGTTTATTATTAGCTACATCCAGTTTAATCTTTTCAAAATAAACAAGTACTTTCTGCGATGTTTCCGATTTGTATAAATTGAACGATCAACGATGTCATTGTTTTTCACAGTTTCCACACTTTGATATTTTCCATTTTAAAATAGGTATTCAATAGGAAGCATCATACTTGACTAAATAAAGATTAAGGTCAATCACCTTCAATGCCACAGTACTTTTCTGCGTTTATTTTTTGAGTAACATTAGAAAAAGGCTTCGGTAAAAACATGTTTTTTAACAAATCTCGCATAACGTGTAGCTCGCGCGCGCAATACTCGTAAATTGACCTCAGACAAGCGTGGCTGGAGGTTAAATTTGTCTTAAAAAATTATTAAGCTTTTCCATTACAGGAAGGCTTCCATCTTTAATAGTTCAATGGTTTAAGTCTGGATTAAACTACATGTCTTACGTTTTCTGTCCGCCATATTTAATTTATGATATAAAGGTTGCTCAGTGAACTTTATAACAACTGGAAGGCTAACTTGGCCGCCATCTTTGAAGCCTGCATGATCGCCGACATTGAGGGTACGGAGGTGGAATACATCGCTTCAAAATTGCTGGATTTTTTGCAGTAGTCTTCGAGCCAGCTTAATGTCTAAAAACCTTAAACAATGTTTAGACTTTAATATAAAACAACTTTGAACGACATTTGTACATGTATAAGCTTCTTTATAGAAGGATGAAAAGCGAACTTTGCATTGACACGTGAAAACATGTCTTATAATTTCAATAAAAAACTGACACCCCTCGTTTTTTTCATTAAAAGGATGTAAAACACACTAGTCTATCGTTAAAATATTGTTTGAATTTTTGAAAATGAAGCTGTCTGGGAAAAAACGCTGTTTTTCGGTAATTTTTGTGTTTCCGAGGAAAATTAGCTCGCCCTAGTCCTTTTTGAAAGTTCAGAGCATAAACAAAAAAAAACACTTTGCAAAATATTTCAAAAAGTTAGTAAAAAAATATTTTGAGTTCGTTATAAAAAAAACTGTTATGCCATATTATTGTGTTATTATTAATTGCGCCATTAAACAGTCAAAAGGGTCAATACTCACTTAAAAAAGGAGACAAAAACACAAATGACACTCCATAGTCATAACTTTTGAAACACTTAAGTAAAAATTGTAATGTAATGCAAGTATGGAAAAGATTTTTAGTCTAATATAGAATCATCATATATTTTCACAAATATGACCAAACATTTTAAACACACCTAAAATTTAATGTATTACATATACATTTATCATCACCTGTATTACAAGAAAAGACTAATTTTACAATCAATATAATATACAATAGAATTTTGATACATGATATAGCTTTGCTTGCTTTATAATAATTTTAAAACCTAGTTCAAACCACTGAGGATGAAGGTTGCTTTTTGGCATTTATGTATAGCAGGTTACATTAGCAATACTTGTCATGCTGTACACTTGGCTATTTATTTATAAGCATGAACTTGCTTAAAAATTGCTCAATACACAAGTATGGATGCATGTCAAATCTTCCACCAGCTCTTAAGAAGTGGGAGAAGTAAATAACAACAACCAACAATCATCCAAAGTTCAAAACTTCAAATCATTACTTTCACACGTTACAAAACGAGCTGGTGAAATTCTTACAAAGCAAGTCTAACTTTAAAAGTAATAAAATTGTTTTGAAATATTTTATATTAAGTGGATTGTGTGTATTTTGCACAGCATTGAAAGATACAGACTACCTGATATCAGTTTTATCTTAAATTTTTGGTCTTTCGACGACAAATGAGAAATTCATATTTCGAAGCAAGTTCTCACTTTTATGTTTTATATAATACAGCGTTACTTATAAAAACATGTCTTGGAACGTCTACAATGCATCTTAACACATTAATAACCAAATTTTGCTAACGGTTTTGAAAAAATAAAGCATTTAGGCTAGCATTCTATTTCCAAGTTAGCAGTTTTTGCAAAACAATCCGTCACGCAAATAAAACAGTCCACGCGAGATACATGCGAAGCGGCAAATCAGCTTCTAAGTAGCCTCAGACAAGTCTAGGCATGTGTATAGTGATGTTTTGTACTGGAAGTAAGTCATTTCCTGTACACACAATGCAATGACGTAAGAACCAGATAACAAATACGGCTAACCTGAAGTTTACTCCTCATTTGACTCTGAAGATGAATACCGCTAAGGTTGTCGAAACGTCAGTCAACAACAACAAAAACAGTCCTTCTCAGGACTATACCAACCTGGACGATCTACATTTACAAACATGAAACGATACTCCCGGGTTCAAACCATTTACTTTATTATGATGTTTGTATTGTTGGTGACTGATTGTGTTTTGAGGTGTTGCTTGACAGCTTCTGCGAAGAAAGTGGATAGTAGTGATCCCATTGGTGCGCCTGAAATTTGTCTGTACTATGAGGTTCGGAAGGAGAATTCATTTGAGAGACAAAGGTTAAATAAGGCTAGGGTGTCATTTTTGACTAGCTATGTTGTAGCTTGCCAAGTTTTGTCGTTTGTTAGTAGTTCGTTTGTATTTTGTTTGGCTATGTCATAACACGAATTTTAAAAATTAAACAAAGCTTACACGCAAGGTGTAGTTTGATTTGAATTTTACGAGTCATTGGTCTGGAACAATAAAGTCACGTGAGATAGAGCGTGGGAAATTAAAGCATTCCGTTTTTAAAGGACTTTTGTTGTGAGTGAACACAACTCATACAATAATAATGGGGAGGGATGCATAGCTTCAATACATGTCCCATGGTTGGGAATGTGACTTCTTTGTTCCTGACCAATGACTCGTAGAATTCAAATCAAACTTCACCTTACAGGTAAGCCTTGTTTAATTTTTAAATTCTACTTTATCATTGGTCAGTTCATAAAGAAGTCACGTGAGACTTTAAAGCAATGTGACCAGAGATATACCGGGCGAAAAGCGAAGTTTAAATATAGATATCAAAGCCCAGCAAAGTGCTTTTAAAAGAGCCATTTAATGCATAGAAAGAAATATTCATTTAAAAGTGTAACGTTTCGTCTTGACTCTCAAGACATCATCAAACAATATTGAATTACAAGTATAGAGGGATATATATATATATATATATATACAAAGTGTATAACAATGTGCCCTCCCGGCTATCACCATAGTAAAATGGTGACTCCTGCACTTGGGACACAGGACGTACGGTTACACATTGTATGGATTGTATTGTAGAGTCACCAGAGCGCTCAAACCTATATAGGTGAGCAATGCATAAAGCGAATGCGGTGAACGTCTCTTTATGAGACTCTCTACGCAATCCGAGTGTATATATATAAATATATATATAATAGCTATTTACATAATATTAAATTACATGGTGGGATGAAAACGTGTTAGTAAATATTGGATAAGATGGTATAACGAGGGATAAGTAGAAACACGAAAGAAACAAAAAAATAAACAAGACGGACGAAATTAGATTAAAGCCACTGAAGGACAATGGAGTTTCCTTGGACGTTAAGAGATGGTTTCATTTTGTTGATTAAAAGGCTTTCGTGAATAAGAATTTCTTGTGAGTTTGAGCATGAAGAGAGTATTTTAAAATCCTCGTAGGTGGCTGTGTGTCCTGTGGATTTATATTGTGATAGTATGGAGGAATGACAGGGATGTTTAGAATGTTTACCAGCCAAAGGTGTTATGCCCAAATGCTCTGAAATTCGAGTGTGTAGGTGGCAGGTGGTTTGACCCGCGTACGATGCGGAGCATCATCAACACTTAAAAGAATAGACAACATTCGATTTCAGAGTTTTGGGCACTTAATCCTTGAAAGGAAACAGGCTGGAGAGAAGAACGGTGGGTCGAAAGAAGAATCATATGGTGGATCGAAAGAAGAATCGTATTTCACAGTGTGGGAAAGCGGCACGACAAAAGCGATTGATTTTTGTGCGGAGTTGGGATGAGTGTAGACCAGTAAATGGAAGGCCGAAATACAGTATTTTCTTGGGTACGGTATGAACAGGTGGTTTTGGGTTTAAAGACTTTCTCAAGAAGCATTTTTACACAGTGATGAAATATGTGACAGGGAAATAAATTGGAAATAAATAATTATCGTGATTTTTCGATTTCAGTATGGAAGTTTTCATAACTAGAGCACACATTAAAGAAGCGATGAACTAAACATAATATTAAACTGCGTTTATATGTTAGTGGGACGAAGCTGTGGAAATTAGTAAAATGACCAGTGAACGTAGGTTTTCTGTATATGGACGTGAAGAGCTTTCCATTAGATTGATGAATAGTGATGTCAAGACATAGAAGTTTTCCATTGTGTTCGATTTCACTCGTAAACTTAAAGGGGAAGTCAGACCCCAAAAAAACTTTTTATCAAATGAAAGATTTTATTTTTACAAACCATATTCCAAAGTTTGAAAGCTCCAATCAAAATTATACCGGAGATATGAAACCACAAAATCATGAAATTTTGCTGTAAAAGCTGCAGCCATTGTATACATGCGAGCGAAGCCGCAATCGAGCAGCGGCTTCCGTTCTTGACGTCACTGCGCGGTAAGGAACTTTCAATCAACATCACATAACACATAATCATTTGTGAAAGCTCTCTGTATTTATCATTTTGAGCTTGCTTAATAAATAACGTGATGGATACGAATGATTCATACGAATTTTCAAGTGATCACTCTGCTGTGAATGATACATTTCCGGAAAATGAGCAAATAATGACGTACGAAAACATGATTCAGCCTTACTCATATGAACCGGTTGAAACCGACTTGGGTAGCGACGCCGAAGACGATTCGCAAGGAACGAGTGCTGAGTCTTCAATTGAATCTGGCTCAAATAGACTTCAAGATAAGTACTGGTAATAGTTATCTACAAATATTTGATTTTTTTTCATTAAGTGTACGAAATATACGCCAAAGTCAAATCCGTAAATGACTTTCTTCTTTCAAGGTGTACATGCGGTCATTGTCAAATAATGGACAGACATGAAGAATGTATATGTTGCAAAGAGATTGCTGCTTGCAGGGATATTAATGAAGAGTCAGCTGAATTCGAGGGTATTGATGTTCCAGAACGTATCACTGACAACCCTGTATTCCAAAATTTATGTTTAAATTACTGGGTATTGAGATTGGCGTGGAGTCAATACAAGCAGCAGTATGGGAAAAGTGCTTTTGAAGGACCAGAGTATAAGAGGCAAAGGCATGTTGCTTACAGACAATTTGTAAGATGGTGTTGGGGAATTTTGGGAAAAGAAATAAGGAATCCTTTGCCATCTTGTGCTGTTTGTTGTATTCGGGCATATTTCCCTCCACCTGGTCTAGAAGAAGATTTTGTATTTAAAGGTTTTGAATTTGCTGATGAGTGATGCAGGTATAGTTTCATTATTTTTTCTTGCCCATCCTTGACCTATGAGCATATATCACTTCCTCTTTACTTGGCTTGGGTACATTTACAATGTTTTTGGGAATGTTACTTAACCTTGCTGTTGGAATTTGATGGTCATATGAGGCAACATTTTCCATTAGGCTTTGCACAAAGGAAAATGATTTGTTCTCTGTTATTGGTTTGGCTATCCATTTATTACGGCCTTTTGGAAAAACTATTTTGTATCTGGAATTGCCATTTTTCAACTGAGCTTGCTTTCTTTCAGTGTTTGAATTATGATCAATCACAGCCAATTGGGTTCTTGCAACCATGCCATTGTATGAAAAATGAAGCGTTTTGGAACATATTTCAATAGTAATGAATGGTACACTTCCAGGTTGCCAGTGTGATGGAATTCTGTAAGTTTTGTTATGTCTTTCAACAATTTCTTGTTCAAAACGACATCTTCTAAGGCAATGTAGTCTGCAGACCCTGGTGTTAACCATTTTGTCTTTCTTTCTCTCCTCCTAGAAAGCTTCTCGTGTGAACACTTCCTAAAATACTTACCACTTTTCCATTGGTGTATGTCTATAACATGATTCAAAATAGACACCCACTTTTCACATAGAATATCAGCGTTTCCTTCACATGTTTGCACACACCACAGATGGTTCGACACTGACTGAATCCACTTTTGAAGGGAAGCATGTTTTTTTGCTTTTTTGGTAAGCTTTTTTGTTATCCATTTAGATAAGTGCCATACATCATATTGGTGAATAATATGAGGATATTTTTTCCGCAGCTCTGATGTTATTTGGATGTGGCGATCTGTGGTCAATGATCTAATTTGGATTTTTTCACCCATGACATTATTCAAAGATCTCTGGCAACCTTCATTCTCCATTGCATTGGAAGAAGACACTTCAGATACCTGTATCAAAGAAAAATCAACAATTTTCCCACTGTTTTCTTCCATCAGCGTGTATGTGCCATACTTTGCATTGTGACCTGGACTATCACATCTTCCATCACCACATAAATCTATTGGTATGTCTGCCTTGGTATATTTTTCTATTATAGTTTTTTGCTGTTTTCTATAGGTGCTATTAATCACTGGAAAGACAATTTCATCCTGCATATTATAGAACTGGTCCTTGTTCACAAAACCTAAGTTCAAAGCATTTGCAAATTGCTTCAATGGCTCATATGTTGAACCAGTAAAGATTGTTGCTGCTGGTATCAAAACATTTCCAGCTGGTTTATTGTGCAACATAGGCTGTGACTTCCACTTGAAGATATGATTTTTGTGGCAAATTGCCTTGTACATCACCATGCTACCCACTGTAGATTTTTCAATCTCACATATGGAAGAACAAAATTTGCATGATATGAACAACTCATCTAGCTTTCTTTCAAAAACAATGAATTTTCTCTCTGTGTTTTGCTTATCATCATCCGATTCATTGCTGGAACTTGGTGAAGAACACACATAATCTTCATCACTACCATCTGACAGATCACTTTCAGTTGAGCTTTTATCTATGGTATTCACAGTCTCCTCATGCTCTGAACAATTATCTTCCCACATGATGCATTCTCAATCTGGGTGATGTCATGCATGATTGGTGGTATAACAACAGAAGCTAATGGTAGGTTTGACATTGAATGTGCACTATTGTTCATGGGACTAGAGGTTTTTGAAAAGTTACTGTATTTTATTTTCCTTCTTGGCTTTTTCCTCTGTGCCAGTGTCTGAACTGCAATACTGCGTGTTGAAATCTTTTCACACTGTGTTTCAGCATCAACACTACTTGGAGTATCACTATCACATAGTATTGCCACACTTCTTCCAGCTGAAGTATCTATTTCTGGCTCTATCTCAGTCATGGTCATGGACAATGTGAGTGAAGAGTCTTCAGCATCACTGGGTTGTTCAAGCATACTGGCTAATTCCTGCACATTGTGGAATTTAGATTCATTTAATTAAAAAATGTTTCAAGTGTAATGTTCAAAAGAAAATTTTAATATAATGATCTCACTTATATATATCAATACATACTTATTCATGCTCAAGATAAATAATATCAAAAATTATTCTGTAAAAATAACATTAATGGGCTACCTCTTGCATCGCTTTTCTTTTCTGCCTCTTACTTGAGGATTCCCGCTCTGGTTTACGCTTTAGAAAGGGGAATATTGAAGGGACACTACCGGGTTTTAATGCTTTTTTTGCTTTCATTCCAAATAAATCTTTCAGGGAACCTTCAAAACAATCTGGCGTGAAATGCGCGCTGCACACATAGCATGAATTAGGTTTAGGCAAATTATCACGTCGAATTCGCCCTAGCCACATTTTACGAATATATTGATCATTTGGCAAGCGATGGTAAGATATTTCACTTCCTTTGGTTTTTTTTGAACAATTAGTGCAACCGGGTACCATACAGTAAGGCATATTTATAAAGAAAAGAAAAAAAATATCGAGAAAGAAATACGCATCGAAGACTTTGTGTTTGTTTTGTATATGAAATTTTGAGCGCTATCGCGCTCACCGCGCAGTGACGTCAAGAACGGAAGCCGCTGCTCGATCGCGGCTTCGCTCGCATGTATACAATGGCTGCAGCTTTTACAGCAAAATTTCATGATTTTGTGGTTTCATATCTCCGGTATAATTTTGATTGGAGCTTTCAAACTTTGGAATATGGTTTGTAAAAATAAAATCTTTCATTTGATAAAAAGTTTTTTTGGGGTCTGACTTCCCCTTTAATATTGGGGTGTTTGTGGTTTAAAAAGGTAAGAAAGGGTTTCACATGGTCAGCAGTACGAAAAAAGAGAAAACAATCATCAACGTATCTTCTATAAAGCAAGGGCTTAAAGTGAGAAGGACAATTTTTGAGCCATATTTCCTCATGGAATGACAGGAATATGTTAGCGAACAAACGTCCTAAGGGACCTGAAGAGATGTCAAAACTTGCCATTATAACATTATCAGTGTTGATGTTCAGGGATAAAATTTCCTTGGTGAAAGAAAAGGAATCTTTAATCATGAAAGAATTGGAAGAGATTGGGGTGAGAATGGGGATGAAAAATTTAGCTATCTTATACGAGTAATGATTTATACATGATAGGATAGGCCTTAGTGGTATGTCGGTTTTATGACTTTGGATAGTCCATATAGAATACCTATTCGTGAACCTGTTGGGTAGAGTTCGTCATATGTTATTTGATCAATCGATTTAGATGCTTTCAAGTTTTTCAGGAGAGTCTTTACCTGGTTTTTACTTTGTAGGGTAGGGTCAATTTGACGGGGTCTTGATTTAAGCGCACGAACTTTGAGTTGTCGGATAAGATTTCATCCATTTTTTTGTTTTTAGTCCTCTTTGTTTAAAATGACAACGCCATTTCCTTTATCGGGTTTCATTATGACGATGTGGCGGTCGTTTCGTAAATTATTCAACGTGTTGATGTCTTTCCTTGAATACAAAATGCTTGGCGGATTATAACTGCAAAAACCGGATTGTGCGAATTCTTTTATCCGAGTCCTTATGAATTCCGGGTAGAATCCAGAGGGCTCATAAATGGGTTCTTGCTTAATCTGGGAGTATAACCTTTCAAAAGGCGTGAGAAAATGGCAGAAATTGAGTTTCGATGGTGGTAAGGCAAAGTTTAGACCTTTTTAAAGAATTTCTTTCTCCTTGTCTGTGATTAGTCGGTGTGAGAAATTTAAGACTACCGTATTAGGATCTATCATGTTTGAGAACTTATTGTCAGCATTGAGGTGGAAAAGCTTTTTGTCTTGTATACGTTGGTGATTGTTCAGTTTCTTTGTAATTTCACCGTCAAAGTGTTCTTTAGGTGAATGAAATAAATTTTGGAGATAAGCGAAGCAAGGTTGGCATGTGCTGTTGTTAGCTGTGCGGATAGGGTTACGTTCGTATTCTAGCGTGTTTGGCGTTGATTTCGTTTTGTAATAATTTGTTCTGGCATTGGCGATAGGCGCTGGAGTTTCGTAAACGACGATTGGCAACCTTGAACCACGGAAATCGTGGTACTACTGAGCTGTTCTTACAAGCTTTCAAAAATTGAAGGTCCAGTTTGGCTTTACCAAGTTTCAACTCCAGACGTTGGAATTTTCGAAAAGCTAAAGAAAATCTATCAGAAGTGTTCACCTAAAGAACACTTCTGACGGCGAAAATTCAAAGAAACTGAACAATCACCAACGTATACAAGACAAAAAGCTTTCCTATCTCAATGCTGACAATAAGAACTCAAACATGATATATCCTAATACGGTAGTCTTAAATTTCTCACACCGACTAATCACAGACAAGGAGAAAGAAATTCTTTCAAAAGGTCTAAACTTTGCCTTACCACCATCAAAACTCAATTTCTGCCATATTCTCACGCCTTTTGAAAGGTTATACTCCCAGATTAAGCAAGAACCCATTTATGAGCCCTCTGGATTCTACCCGGAATTCATAAGGACTCGGATAAAAGACATCGCACAATCCGGTTTTTGCAGTTATAATCCGCCAAACTTTTTGTATTCAAGGAAAGACATCAACACGTTGAATAACTTATGAAACGACCGCCACATTGTTATAATGAAACCCGATAAAGGAAATGGCGTTGTCATCTTAAACAAAGAGGACTAAAAACAAAAAAATGGATGAAATCTTATCCGACAACTCAAAGTTCGTGCGCTTAAATCAAGACCCCGCCAAATTGACCCTACAACGTAAAAACCAGGTAAAGACTCTCCTGAAAAACTTGAAAGCATCTAAATCGATTGATCAAATAACATATGACGAACTCTACCCAACAGGTTCACGAATAGGTATTCTCTATGGACTATCCAAAGACATAAAACCGACATACCACTAAGGCCTATCCT